GTGTTTATGGGAATATAAATACTGCTATAAAAACCGAGGCGTAGCCGAGGTTTTTATAGACAGTGTTTATATTCCCATAAACACAAGACAGAGGTGTTTATTCTATTTATACCTAGCTTCGGTTTTGGCCTGAAATACTGGTCCGAAATAGCTATTTTAGTATCCCAGTATACAATAGTACAGTCGTCCCTCTCTAATCCGGCACTTTATAATCCAGCACCCTCGATAAACCAGCACAATTTTCAGTAGCCAAAATGTCCTCTTCATGCACATTGCAGCAGTAAATCAGATTTGTTAATCCAGCACCCTCCCTAATCCAGCAGATTTTCGTGGCACAAATGGTGCCGGATTATAGAGGGACCACTGTATACTATTATGTTTCATTTCTAGGGTACCCTGTCTTCATTTCTAGGGTACCCTGTAAGAAGGCCTTAGGCCTGTGGGGATTGCCCTATCAAAAATTTGATAATAATAATAATAATAATATGTGTAGGTAGTATTGCGTGTTCCAGACCTAAGACCTTTCTTTCAACCAACATCTGCATCAACACCCTGGTGGCTGGGTGGTCAAGATAGGTGCTTGGGAATCTTATGGTTGCAGGTTCGATTCCTGCTGAAACTTCTTTCTTCTCTTCAATTTTTTTCTTTTTCAATTGGAGAAAATCTAAGTCCCTTGAAAGTTGAAAAGTTACAACCTCTAAGTGGGTAATATAGCAAAGTATATACCCCAAGTTAAAGTGGTGAATATGGAGATATATTCACCAGTTATAGATCACAGGAATTAGTGGGGGTTAATATGAGCTGGGTATAAATTATATTATCACTCTCTTATTATTGACCCCCACAGAAACTTGTGATCTCTAAGCGGTCAAATATCAGCATATATTAGGGACCTTTCGCATTTGCTACGAAACGAATGCGAAACGAAAGTTTGATTCGGCTCGTAATCGTTTCGTTGAAAACAGATTTCAGGTTTCGCGAGTCGTCATGCAAATGTGCATGGCAACTACGAATACGGCCGCGGGCGCCGGTAGTTTGGCGTACGGGTTTTTACACGCACACGTGCATGGATCATGGAATCAAGGGAAAAATGTGTACCTTGCAAAACATGTGTACCTATCCAAATAAATGTGTACCTGACGGATTCGGAGCGTGCCACGAATGAAGAGGCTTCCATTCGTGAAAACGAGTTCTCCGCAGGGACTCTGACGAATCCTCGAACCCAGGTGACGAATCAGCATTCGTTTCGTATCCGTACGCGGGGTGCGAAAGGTCCCTACTGACCGCTTATATTGACCACTTATTATTGTTGACCACTTAGCCCGAGGACTTAGAACTTTTTCCTCAACTTAGAAAAAAATCAGAACTGAAAGAAGAAAAATCTGAAGCCAAATGTTGGGATTTGAACCCAAACTGTCAGATTCTCAGTCAAAGAACTTGGGGAACATACTACAAGAGACAACTGAAAACTTCTGTTTACACAGAAGTAATGTCCAACGTAAACGGCATATGTACATACTATTATACTATTACAATAGTATTCCTTTCTTCCTATAGCAAAGCAAAAACAGTTTTAGGTATGCTATGTCGTGATAAATCTATTATTGCACTCATAATCGGTCAATATATGAAATATAGACCTCGTAAAAGACCTCGGGGGACCTCGGTCTTTTACTCGTTCTATATTTCATATATTGACCTCTTTAATCGTGCAATAATAGATACTTATTATACATGTACATGTAGGCCGATATACATTTATACCTCACTCCATATACACCCACACTCATATACCAGATCTCCCATGAAGTTTATAAATTTCCATATACACTGTTCAATATACACCACTAAGGAGGTATATACACCACTGAGGAAAACCATCAGAAAAAAACCCACTGAGGAGCTTTCTTTCTCTAAAAAGGAGTGTAAATAGCTTTCTTTCTCTAAAGCTATATTCACTCCTTTTTAGGGAAAGAAAGCTATATTCACTCCTTTTTGCTCTTGAGCTTGCGCATGGAGAGGTATAAATATATTATCACTCCCTTAGTATTGACTCACATAGATTTTTGCCATACCTAAGCAGTCAAATATTCCTGCTTAGGGCTATATTGACCGCTTATATTTGACTCCTTTTTAGCGATTGAACACATGCTTTGGTTAGTCGTGATAAATCTAATATTGACTTCGTACTTGGTCAGTATAGGAAATAAAAGATCTCGTAAAAGACCTCGGCTTCGCCTCGGTCTTTTACTCGGCTTTTATTTCCTATATTGACCTCGTACTCAGTATATTAGATACTTATAACAAGGGACCTCGTGTATATCAAGTGTATATTTAAGTCGGCAGGTAAACCGCGAGCTCCCATGTAGGCCGATATATATGTACATGTATATAGGGAGCAACACCCTATAAAATTCGAAACCAAAATAATACGCAATCCTGGTCCAAAAAATCCAAAAAAAATAATTATTATTGCAAGTTCAGTAAAAAAAAAAAAGGTGACAACATGCTCACATACTAGTACAGTTGAACATCGATTATCCGACCACCTCTGGGCAGACAACTGTCAGGCGGTGTTCAGATAAGGCAAATGTTCCGGATAAGAAACACACACTGTAAATACATGTACATTGTAAATAGAATAGAGTGCTACTTTTCAAAATTTTCGTATTTTTTGAATGGCTCACTACATGCACAGTGCGTACTCTACGGCACGTGCGCCCAAAAAAACTGTTATGGATAATCAAACGGTCGGATAGTCGATGTGCGGATAATCGATGTTCAACTGTAGTAGTAAACCAAAAAGGCCTGAACAATTTTAACTGCAATTGCAAATAAAAATAAAAATACTTGCAATTACAGTTTCAGGATAATTTGCATCAGAGGCTGTACTGTCTATGTGTGGCTAGGGGAGAGGAGAGAGAGAGAGAGAGAGAGAGAGAGAGAGAGAGAGAGAGAGAGAGAGAGAGAGAGAGAGAGAGAGAGAGAGAGAGAGGGAGGGAGGGAGAGAGAGAGAGAGAGAGAGAGAGAGAGAGAGAGAGAGAGAGAGAGAGAGAGAGAGAGAGAGAGAGAGAGAGAGAGAGAGAGAGAGGGAGGGAGGGAGGAGAGAGAGAGAGAGAGAGAGAGAGAGAGAGAGAGAGAGAGAGAGAGAGAGAGAGAGAGAGAGAGAGAGAGAGAGAGGAGAGGGAGGGAGAGAGAGAGAGAGAGAGAGAGAGAGAGAGAGAGAGAGAGAGAGAGAGAGAGAGAGAGAGAGAGAGAGAGAGAGAGAGAGAGAGGGAGGGAGAGAGAGAGAGAGAGAGAGAGAGAGAGAGAGAGAGCCTGAGAGAGAGAGAGAGAGAGAGAGAGATGGAGGGGGGGGGGGAGGGAGGGATAGAGAGAGGGAGGGAGAGTAAGTTACATTTATAAAGACAGGTACGTCTAACAAATGAGGACTGAGACCTCTACAACAGGGTTTTTACGCCTGAAAGCAGGTGCATGATTTAACAAGCAGGTTGTCAATCTAGATTTTATGCGCAGATGGAGAAAAATGCTCAAAAGTTTTGTAATGAGATGAAAAGTAGAAACAATAAGAAAAGATGAAATGAAAGCCTGCTCACAACCCCGCCCAGCCTTGCGGACTGGGAATGGTGGATTAAGAACCCGGGTTAAACGCTCGAGCAAGCGCTCTCACTCAAGGTGTTCACAGCAACTGATAGCACTGGTATAATTATAATAAATGTAGAGCCGAAGGATTTTTTGCAATTACACACCAGTACTGTATAAAAACCGAGGTCCGCGAAGTTTTTATAACTGGTACCGGTATGTAATTGCAATAAATCCTGAAAGCAAATTTATTTGAATTTGATACTGTTGATGGTGTGGTCACTAATGAGTGTGGGTATTTATCAAAGGTCAGTATATGAACTCATATGGGGAAATGATAGAAAAGAAATAATAAGATAAAGAGAATAAATTTCAACGCACATCAATAAACAGAGTCCCACATACAGTACCTCAGAAAAGTGGATCTTCCGACCAGTGTTTTTGCTGACATCGCCACCAGATGATGGAGAGAGAGAGAGAGAGAGAGAGAGAGAGAGAGAGAGAGAGAGAGAGAGAGAGAGAGAGAGAGAGAGAGAGCAGTAAGTTGCACACTTCTTAGGCTTATAGACTTTTGGTACAATCATGCACTCCCCAGACAGCGAGACACACATCACCATTACCACCACACAATGTAACTTCAACTTACTGACTTGCCTCATTTGCTGGTAGCAATGTACTACAGTTGTAGTAAGTTACTAACCCGGCATCTTGATACTACATGCCAATGGCAAACTGAAGACAATTTGTTAACAGCAATTCTTTTTTACTTCTGAAGTATTTTAAAAAGTCTTGGTGTTACACCACGAGGAACAGCAGCAGCAGCTAGCAGAGTGTAACTAAGGCCAGTGTGGTAGTGTGAGACAGAGCAGTGCAGTGCAGTGCTGGCACATGCTGCACTACAACACAATGGCAGACTATCATAGGCTTAGGTGAACAGGACGTGTAGGACGGATATGCAAACATCACATGTGAGGACAGCAAAGAACTGGTCCCAGACTGTGCATGCATGTACATGCAGTTCAAATAGCATAACACTCTACTAAAATGTACAGTGAATGCAGCGTCCTGATTTGCAAGGCATGTGCATGTGTTTGTGCATGTGTACTATGTGTGTATGTGAGTGCGTGCGTGCATGAGGGTGTGCGCGCATGATATAAACAGCAGTCGTAAAACAATCAAAGAAATGGGAAAAGGCCCAGACCAACACAGGCATAGGGCAAAACAAAGAAGTGCCCACAAGAAGTGTTGGCAGTCGCCCAGATAATGGTATTTATACTTCATATGACAAGTAACCTTAGCAGCTTAGAAAGCAGACGAGACCTTCTGTGACTATCAGTCAAACAACAGCATGCACAGCAATGAAAGCAGGAAAGAAAGCACACAACGTAAGAACATCCAGCACACACACACACACACACAAAAAGTAGCAATCACTGCACACGGACAGACACAGACACATACACAGAAATATGAAAAAGAAGCCGAGTAAGCTTCTCTGCAGTGTCTTGGGTAGCAGGACGAAGGAGGTATGGCCAGAACTCACCCGGCTCAGTCCTCGATAACAATGACTTTCTTGGTTTCCGGCTGCGGAGTAGCGCGGAGCGTGTTACTGTGAGGGGAGCCAATGGATGGCAGTGTCGGTGGTGGTGGCTCCACAGCTTGTTGGCGCTGGTCAACACTGGTACTAGCACTGGCACTGGCAGCAGCAGCAGTGACACTACTAGTGGCAGCAGCTACGGCAGGACGATTTAAGTGAGTCGACGCTGACACTGTTGGCACCGCGGAGCCCGACAGCGGGGCTGCGGGCTGTGGAGGAAGTGTGTGCTTAACTACAGGCACGGCAGCGATACTAGCACCAGTAATAGCATAAGCTAGCCGAGGCGTAGATGCTGATGTTGCAGACTTACTGCTACTGCTGTCCACCAAGCTGGTAACAGAGGAAACGGGAGGTACTGTTGAATGCTGAAAACAAGAAGACAGGCGTAGAACGCAACACAACACAACACATTTCATTTCCACAGTCCATTCAAATAAACTAGTCCTACGGACTTCGTTTGGAAAGCCTGGTTTTGGCCTGGTTTTGGCCAGGGGAAAGGAGCAACAGAAGAGGGTTTTGGCCAGGGGAAAGGAGCAACAGAAGCTTACTCATGACTAATTTTTAAAAGCGGGCTCACAGAAGTATTTTTGGCATTTTGCGATTGACAACTGCGAAACTGGGGAAAGTCCTACAGTCCAATTGTCTTGCTAGTCTTGTCACCATCCAATAACAGTCAGCATTCTTTATCCAATAACATTCAGCATTCTTTATCCAGTAACATTGAGCATTCTTTATCCAGTAACATTCAGCATTCTATATCCAGTAACATTCAGTATTCTTTATCCAATAACATTCAGCATTCTTTATCCAGTAACATTCAGTATTCTTTGTTGCCGTGGGGCATAGCTCGTGCTCATCTTCATAGCGCTTTCCTTCCCCTCTCGGGCCTTTCCTAACCTGAGCCTTCCAAGTAAGTTGGAAGGTTGTTGGTTCGCGCCTCATAGGTGTGTTGGAGTTAGGTGTCAGGTTGTTGAACATCTCAGTACTCCTTGTCAGTTGTGTGCCATGTTGTCGCACCAGCTGACTGTATATGACCTGGTTACCGAGAATAAGTTACTCACGAACGGTCGAAACTAGACCTCGAATGAAAGCTTCCACGAACTGAACATCTGTACAGTCTGGTTGTACAGCTCAGCTCTAACGTTACAGTAGAACACCAGAGTCAGCCAGTGCCCCCCCCCCCCCCCCCCCTGTTAAGCCAACAAACATACCTTTTGATAAGCAGCAGCACTGTTAACTGCAGAAGCAACATGAGCAGGCGGTGGCTTCTGCTGATGAAGCGGCTTGGCTGTGACTGATGCATCTGCGGTGTTACCGAGACCAACACGTGTTAGGCGACTGCTTGCACTTGTCACAGTCGATGATCCCGATGATATTGGAACAAGCTACACGCATGCACGCACGCACGCACGACACACACACACACACACATCCACGACACACACACACAGGCAGAGTTGCAGCTCGTGATCAGAAACATGATGGGTTTAGCTGTCATGGTTGAACAAGCCCATGTGTACTCACAACAATGAGTAAACTACAGTAGACTGTAGCAGCGCTTGTAAATTCTAGGTTTGAGTCAGGGTGTACTGTTCATGCTGCTAGAGAGCAGAGTGTACATACACACTCAACAATAAGTGACGAAGCTGGGACAGTCACAGAGTCTCATTTGTCACCATAGAAAGACAAGTCGTTGAGCATCACAAGGTAAGCTGCTGCAGTATAGGCATATTTACCTGGGGCGGTTTGCCACCGACTGTTATTGTTGCTGCTGCTGCTGCTGCTGTTGCTACAGGTGCATGCTGGGAAGTGGCTACGGGCACTGGCCGGGGTGTAATAGCCTGGCGAATGATTGCCTCTTGGGACAAGCCAAGGCGCTGGGAGATGGATGGTAGCGTGGCCAACAGGTGTGGAAGGCGATTGACCTCGGAGCGAAGCTCACCCAGCAGGTCATCCATCTGAGCCAGTGCTGCATGAGAAAGAGAAGAAATGGCAATCGATACAGTCATCACTCACAAACCATTAGAGGAGAAACAACTCACCCAAATTCCTCATCGACTAGATTCAATGCTATCGACTGACTATTGACTGCTTATCGACTGACATCGGTCTCATGCATGGACACAAACACAATCATATCGACATATTTACACATACCGTAAAGTACCGTCGATCCCCCCCCCCCCCCCCCCACACACACACACAAAGGGCACCATGTCGCTTCCCAGCTGGTTTCTCGGCAGGGGCGGGAATCAGATCAAGCCTGTCAGCGTGCAGCACGACGTACAACAAAGCAAAAAATCAGACTTGGCATGCTGGATTGTGTAGAGCAGTGCAAGTGTCGGTTAAACACCGTATTTCACTGTATACGCCAAAGTCAAGAAACAGGCAGGAATTCGACAGGGGGTGGTCGACAGGGGGTGGATCAATGGTACTTTACTACGGCACATACATGCACATGCACAACCAACAGAAGCACAATACGAACACATTGTGGGGTTGAAGGTTCAACGGATCCATGTGACGTGTCACGTGGTACTACCGTAAAGTACCGCCAGAGCGCCCCATCTCGCGAGAGCGACCCACCTTGATTTTACAGCCAGAGAAAGGAAAATCGTATGGCAGAGTGCAACGAAGTGTGTACGATGTAAGAATCTTAGTGTACTAAGGTCACACTTGGCAGGTTTTGTGTGGAGCTTGTGTCCACTGGAAGGTACGGATTGACTGCAAAACGTGCTATGTGTACAAGGTTCATGTCGTATGACCTACAGACAGCAGACCACCTCCACAATACGACCACGGAAGGATGAGATGGTGGGGCGCTCTGGCGGTACTTTACGGTAGTACCGTAACGTACTGTTGATCCGCCCCCTCTCTAATTCCCGCCCCCTGTCGATTTCTACCTGTGAAGCGACTTCGGCGTATACAACGAAAATACAATGTTGAACCGACGCATGCACTGCTGTACACAATATTTGCCAATCCAGGATGAAAATGTGCACAATCCAGCACATCGAGTCTGAACTTCTACGTTGTTGTACATCGTACTGCACTTGACAGCCTTGATCTAATTCCCGCCCCCTGTCGAAAACCCAGCTGGGAAGCGACATGGCGTGGAGGCGGATCAACGGTACTTTACGGTATGTGCCTTGCATCATTCTAGTACTGGTGTGTGTGTGTGTGTGTGTGTGTGTGTGTGTGTGTGTGTGTGTGTGTGTGTGTGTGTGTGTGTGTGTGTGTGTGTGAAAGTGGAATGGATTCACACGTCAAGTGTGCTTCGCAGTGCATGGCCTGAACTCACTGGACAAGTGCATTGTATTACATGTACCTCTGGGTATGGGTGCATGTATATGTTTCTAAAATATGTGCGAGTTGATAAGGTTTTTCCTGAATTGACTTTGTCGTTTCAACGCTACAAGCCATCCCAAGTGCTGGTAGGGCAAACACAGTCACACATACAGTCACACAGTCATATGCACACATACACACACACACACACCACACACCACACACACACACCACACACACACACACACACACACCACACCACACACCACACACACACACACACACACACACACACACACACACACATACACACACACACACACACACACACACATACACACACACACATCAGAAACACTTCAGCAAGCATGGATAGAAGAAAGAAAGCACTCTCACACACCATTGGCTAAAACTCTGTTAGCGGCCTTGTTTTTGACCAAAGCTGGTTGCACCAAGTATTGGTTGCTTTCAACTAAAGCTTCCAGCTCGGCAAACCTAAGAATAATACATATCAGCAAAAACAAACAAAAACAAACAAACAAAATAATCATAGTACAGAATGTGGTCATGGCGAGAAGACATTGGCGCACGCACACACAGAGAAAATATACAATGTGCTAGGAAAGACACTGAAAGAGGAATTGAAGAGGCTGAGCCACAAATATTGGTCCTGTGTATACGCGTGGAGAGAGGGAGGGACAGAGAGAGAGAGAGAGAGAGAGAGAGAGAGAGAGAGAGAGAGAGAGAGAGAGAGAGAGAGAGAGAGAGAGAGAGAGAGAGAGAGAGAGAGAGAGAGAGAGAGAGAGAGAGAAAACACTGCACAGACTCTACACAGACTCTGGCAACACCTAGCAAACCTTAGCAATACACGCACACATACGCACACATACACTACTACTCACTTTGAATTCAAAGTCATCACCGAGTGCTTAGGATCCTGCACCAAGGCCTGTGCATGAGCTTTTTTCAGCTGCTCCTCGATAAGAAGGGCTTGCTCCAACAGCTAACAAGTACAGACACATTGCAAACATACACAACACACAGTGTAAAGCAGCAAGTACTTCCCCAGTCTTCTCAATGTTGCTGCCCATCCTCGGATCAGTTCAATCTGGCAGAACGCACGTTTGGACAGCACATACGTATGAGAATTCGGAGAGCATTGTTGAAGATATAACACAACCCTCACCTTCAGTCGGCGGTTCAGATATCTCACTTTGTTCTCATAGGCAACAGAGTGTAATGCATCGCCCAGAATGCTCAAGTTAGGGTCAGCAATGATGTCGGGCCATCTAGCATAGCCATGCCTGCACAAGACAACACAAGACAACACAAGATACAGTAACACTAGCCATAAGACAATACAAGCCAGCTGAAACTCACAATACAAGCCAGCTGAAACTCACAATACAAGCCAGCTGAAACTCACAATACAAGCCAGCTGAAACTCACAATACAAGCCAGCTGAAACTCACAATACAAGCCAGCTGAAACTCACAATACAAGCCAGCTGAAACTCACTCCATGGCTTGCTGTGATGACAATGAGTGGCAAGTGTGTCTACTTGGCATAACCATGAAAACAATAACAGTACCAATGGGGAACAAAACCAACGTTCACAAGTTCTTAACTCCTATAGAGATTATGGGATTACATCACATACTCCACAATACCATGGCACAGCACATGACCAAACACAAAACATACTCCACAATGCTATGATACAGCACATGGCCAAACACAGACATGTACTTACTCCACAATGCCATGGAGAAGCCAATAATCATGACGACGACCCCAGACTGGCTCGACGAGTGCATCAACCTCATCTGCCAACAGTGCAGTTACAGGCAACTCTGATCCTGGACCACTACGTTCCTTCGCCCAGCGCGCGTGCAGTTCTGTAAATCCACCATCGGCAATATTGAACATGAACTTTGGTGCTTCCTTAGCTTTGTCCAGAACTGGATTGGAGTCACCGTTAACTGCAGGCTCAGTAGAGGTACCAGCCATGGCAGAAGTGTTAGCATCGCTGGCCGGCCGTGGCTGACCCGGCCCCACTGTTGTTGTCGCTGCAGTGCTGCTAGCAGTGGATTTATCAGATACAGACGTTGAGCTGGATGTTGCAGAGGCAGCCGGTGTCAGCGCAGATGCTACTCCAGGTTTAACCGCTGCTGCTGCTGCTACTGGCAAGGACTCTCCTTTGCTGCTGGTACCATTAGTAGATTTATAGGACAGTACCTTGAAATAGACAACAACAGCAAACGGAAGCGACATGAACACTTTTTAACCAGCGTCTCATAAATGTAAACAAAACGAGCAGTTGTGCAGCAAGGCCATCACTGCATTCTTCCCAATACGTTGTGTAATATAAGTACATTCATATCTAATATTAATATTTTATCCGTAGCTCAAAGTAAAAAAATCTTGAAATAGTGACGTGATGTCATCTGCCAGATCTCTGGCCCTTGCCCATCAAAACGTATGTGACCCAAAGTTACAGATATTTCAAAGTTATGGGCAGTGTCCGGTCCCGCACCACCCAGATAAGAGAGATATGAGTATTCACACTAATTTTCAAAGGTTGAAAGTAAGCATTCGAGCATGAGTGTGTGTGTAGAGGATGCCTGCTGTGCTGTGTGTGCCCGCTGCTTTCGGACTGCGCAAGGCCGCGGTCGTCCCGGTGCTCGAGGACTGGTCCCCGCCCGACTGCCCAGCAGCGTAATTTGTTCGCTCATGTATGCGTGTGTTCTCGCCGGTTCCGTTTGCTCCACCATCTCCGGCGTCATCAGACTGCGTGCTCCATCTTCCTCTCTGATGCCCCTCCGGGGCCCACGTGACCCCTGTGGCAGCGGCTCTACAGGGCAGGGCAGGACAGGACAGGTGTGTGTGTGTGTGTGTGTGTGTGCACGTATGTGCTACATGTTTTTACTAGTGTTGAAACGAATAATCGAATAATTTAGAATATTCGTGGGGTGAACGAATAATCGAATAGTCGTAGGAATTATCAGAAATAGAAAAAAATAAATAAATAAATAAAAAAAAGATCTATGCTCAGTGCTGACCCTACTGATATTTGCACTGCGTAGATCTGTTCGCAGTATTTCTTCTCAATCTCTTCTCCTCTAAGTTTTAATCACCTATCGGTATCTAGTAATACTTCTGTTCTTTCCATACGAGGGAAACATGGATGCAGTGAAGATCCAATAATTTAAATTATTACGCTCGACCAAGACCCTATGCGATATGCAGAGCTGGATCAGGCGTTGCACACTCTGGGGGGGGGGGGGGGGGGGGGCGGGGGTTATGTACTCTTGGCGGTACATGTTATCCGGTTTTGCACCTCCACATAACAAAACCCGATAATCAGCAAAAAAAATTTTTTAACTACTTAAAAAGTGCTGAAAAGTGTTGAAAAATGCCATCATGCGTACGATAGAATATAGATTATTCGTTCGATGGAGGGCGAAATTGTTCGATAAATTATTCGTTCGAAGAATCCGTGTTCGGTTTAAACACTAGTTTTTACCTTCTGGCGAATGAGCTTCATGATACCAATGCGATTGAGAACAAGGTCCGTATTCAGACTGTCCTTTGGCACACCGTCAGAGTATGTGGGTTCGCGACTGTTGCTTGGTTCACACAAGTGACGCATGTACATGTTCATATACATCCTGTGAGTGACAACACATGATAAACCACACATGATAAACACACACATGATAAACCACGTCCAAACACATGATAAACACACACATGATAAACCACGTCCAAACACATGATAAACCACGTCCAAACACATGATAAACCACGTCCAAACACATAAGCAACTTATCAATTCTGTATCTGCCTTAAATCAAATGAGCCAAACTAAAAATTAAAGAAGAACTGAAGACAGAAAATGAATCACAGCAAACAAGTCAGGAAGGACACGTCACCAGATCCTCGATCACTTCCAGTAGATGGTCACTCATGCATGCCATGAGAAATCAACAAGCGTCCAGAAATGATGCTTATATGACTATATCATCACACACCGGAATGGAAGATAATGCAATACTGTACCTAATGTGAGCTACTGGTTTCCTCTTCCTGATCAAAGTGGGAAGCCTGGAGACAAAGCAGGAGCACAATCAAACCAGCAAGAGCAGTGATTCTATTAAACTCACAACTTGCATCCAAGTTGGCAGTCAGACCAGCACAGTGCACCTCTGCTAAGATGGGTGGCCAAAGATGCACTACTCACTACTCACTACACACTACTACACAATCCAAGGCATAGACTACTATAGATTGGACCGAGCTGATTGGACTGAGCGCTCAAACACAACTTTTGCCTACTTTGAGTAATAGCACGGGGAGGGGAGAGGGCACTGAAGGGTACTGATGACGTTGTGGACGTTTGTTTTCTCAGGACGTACCAGTCAAAGTTCATGGTATGAGGCAATCCAAAGCGCATGACAGCAGTGTGAAAGGCCTTGCGCTGGCGTGTAGTGAATCCCAGCACCTCCAGCTGCTTGTCCACCAGAGCCAGGAGTGGTGGTACAGGGGCTACTTCAGCCTGAAGACGAGCAGCCGCAGCAGCAGCCTTACGGCCACGCTTCCTTGGGCCTAGAGCAACAACAAGACATGGCATATACTGTAGTATTGTAGTAATAGTAGGTACACGCACATGCTAGAAATAACGTTACACAGTAGAATGGGTTGTAGATAGATATGAGCAAAGGTAAAAATGCCAAGACATGTTGAAGATGATAAAACTACACAGTCATACACAATACTACTGCAGTCAGTCTAGGTATTTCCCCTATAGTTTGTGCCACAATGACATAGTGAGTACATTGCAGTGGCTAGCAATGGAGGCGAGCCACTGCTTTGCTATAGCACTGCAATGTTCTTGACATTCACATAGTGAAAATATTACTCACCAGTAGCTTTCTCCTGTGAGTCCTCATCCTCCTCATTGGATGATTCTTCATTGCTAAACGATGCATCAGGATCTTCATCTGTCAACAAGACACAACAGACCCGGTATGTAGCAGCAGCAGCACATGATGAGTTTACAACCTACACTACTACACTACCTCCAATATCCTCACTGCACTTGGAGCAACATTAACGCTGAGAGCAACGGACAATGCCCCCTGAGGAAGAACGATGATTGGCTGTAGACCTAGTAAGAGTCAAGTGACATGTATGATTAGCACATACTCTTTGCATGGCGGTCATAGCACATACTCTTTGCATGGCGGTCATAGCACATACTCTTTGCATGGCGGTCATAGCACATACTCTTTGCATGGCGGTCATAGCACATACTCTTTGCATGGCGGTCATAGGAGGACTCCTGATAGCCGGAGTCCATGTAGTTGACTTGCTTGCGTTGCCGCTTGCCTTTGCCCATCTCACTGAGCTGGCCCTGCTCTTCTTCCACCATGTGATCAAAGTGATGACGCAGCAAGCGCTCCCAGTAGTTTGTATCAATCTGGGTATCATCATCTTGCTGTGGGGTACACAACAAGAAAGCAGCACATATTCACGGACAAGACAAAGAGAAGATAAGGGGTTTAGAGTAGTGCTGCCACTACTTGGACGTGTATCATCATACATGCACTTGTTAGAGACAGGGACCATTCTGACAAGCACAACACATGCAACTATTACAGAGATCCCGAGGAGCACTAGAATCAGACCCGAACCGTGTCACTTCCAGCCATATGACCCTGCATAAGGAAAGCAAAACATGCGTGTGTGGTGTGACAACCGTGTTTTGCGTATCCCTGCACTGGTTCCCTAAGGCAGGTTTCACTATAATAGCGGAAATTACCAGAAGAGCTCCCAACCCCATTGAATTTACAGATAGGGAAAGGAAAGGTGCATGGCAGGCATGAGAACCTTAGTGTACTAAGATCACACCTAGCATGTTCTAGTGTGGAGCTCGCATATGCGCTCTAAGGTAAGGTGAGTAGGGACTGACTGCACAGAGTGCAATGTGTGTGAGTACAAAGCACATTATTGTATCTGCTACAGACTGGACATCACCTCTAAACACGTCCACGAAAGGGACAACATGGTGGGGCGCTCTCACGGTACTTTACTGTGACAGGATTGCATGTGATGCCTTAGCTGTGGTTTGCATGTGATGCTGATGCCTTAGCTGTACTGTGCCACTGTCAAGTATAAGCAAATTATAGAAACCAGAGTTGAACGAGTAAAAACTAATTTGAGGCTACCATAATGAAGCACAATAGTAAAGTTCGAAAAAACAATAAAGGCGCCGAACCTTGACAACCTCCACTTCGGGCTGTGGCTCCTCAGCCTCCTTGATGGCAAAGCTTGCCACCTATACCACCAGCAGCAGCAGCACGGACACACCAACATGAAGAAGAAAGACAAGAGAGCAAGGAGAATATGTAACACCAGAGCTTTCCACCTGGCATGCACAAAATACAATGTAAGCAAGCGCACACACCTGCACACCTGCACACACCTGCACACCTGCATACCTGCACACCTGCACACGTCACCATGGGCCGTAGTGTAGTCAAGATGATCTACAATGTACAGGGGCGTGCTCGGCCCCCCAACTAGGGGGGTGCACGGGAGCCGAGGGGAGCCCCCCCCCCGGCAATTTTCTGCAATTTGTTTGCAACCTTTCTTGAATTTTAGAGCATATTTGCATACATTACAATTGCCTTGGATCAGATTGAACATTTTTGGGGGGTGCACGTGCCCCCCGTGCCCATCGCCGAGCACGCGCCTGATGTACACGGCATGCAATCACACAATCTACAGGAATATACATGCTCAGTGCGCCTACATGATTGTACTGGCTCTGGATGGCTTACCTTGAAGGCACTAAAGTACTCATTCAAGCCATCTTTCATTTCACCAACGTTACTCTGCTGGGTGCGATCCAGCAGCTTGTCCAGCATTTCATCATCGTACACAATGCGACCAGTATCTTTGCTAGCTCCATCTGCTTCATCTTTGTTACCATCTGTTGCAGACACAGACATACGCACACCCACCCACAAACACACACACAGAGGTGTGCACACGTGCAGGATACAAGAGGAACACAAGCATTCATAAACATGCAGCCGACAACCAATGCCACATACAATCAAGTAGATTTAGAGAAATACACTGAAGGACAGTCTAGAGAAGGACGAAAGCTGACCTGAAGAATGCAAAGCTGCTGTTGACACAGGTGGAAACTACATGTATTCTAAACCAAGTACTACACATTTCCACAAGTAAGGTGCATAGTGACACACAGGTGATACACACCTTTCTCGTTGTCATCCTCAAACAACTGCTGCGTGCCAAAACGCAGAATGTCGTCCATCTCCTTCTTCGTGAACTGGGCTTGGCTTTTCCCACCCAGGCCAGGCCTCACCACCATGTGTGTCAGCATCATCTTACGTTTGGCCACCTACACATGCATGACATACACATCAAACAGAAGCAAGGCTGATTGGACAGTGCCAGCACAAGTACAGAGAAAATACTTTTTTTACACACCCTTTACCATGTTTACACAGGTATTCAGCTGATCAGCATGACGATCGTACAGAATAGACGCAGAGTTCTTTATCTTACTATAATGACAGTAAGGTGTATTGTTGATCAACGCACAAGAAGGGCAGGATAAGGGCAGGCAGGGTAAGCACCGATAATATCTACAGTATAGTCATGTACATGTAACACTACACTGCTACACTGCCTGAGTAAGCTGCTGTGAGTCTGGTCAGGCTCTTTCCCCACAGAGGCTGCTGTCTGCTACCGTTCAGCATATATCTGGACCCAGGCCACCTTGTAGCAGTAACACCATAAGTTATCCTTGAAATTGTACTCGAGAATAGAATTCTGCGCTAGAAATAGATGAAACTTCTCTATTAAATAGTGCCCTGGCATTAGGAGGATAGTTGGAAATAGAGCTATCACATAGCCTTCTAATGGCAGCAGTGCAGTACTGACAGCTTGAGGACTCATATACTCATACACTGTGAATGATACACATGTGTAGCAAGAAAGAACAAGCAACACGCCGTGCTCGCCAAATCAGTGCCGTGCGTGGCATACCTCAGTAACACGCTCTTCAACAGATGATCTGGTGACAAAGCGATAGATCATGACAGTGTTCTGCTGGCCAATACGATGAGCACGACTCAATGCCTGTGAACAGAACAACATGTGTAGCAGAGTATAGTTATACTACTCAATGCCTGTGAACAGAACAACATGTGTAGCGTTTAGTAATCAACAGAGGAACATAGTCACAGTCATTCTATCTCATCAGTAAACAGAGTACCTCTGGTACACAGAGGTACACAGAGGTATAGAATGATGAGAGGAAGAGTGATGGAATGACGTTCGAGTGGTGTAATACCGTAAAGCACCACAAGAGAGCCTCACCACCAAGTCCCTGTTGGGGTCGTGTTGTGGAGGTGGTGGCCTGGCTGCTGTAGTTCAGAAGACACGTATCCAGTTCTTGTACGCACATTACTCTTTCTACAGTCAATCCATACTCAGTTTACCTTCGAGCGGATGCCAACTCCACACAAAATCATGCTAAGTAAGACCTTAGTACACTTATAAGGTTCTCAACTTCTCAACCGTTACAGACTTGGTTGCACTCTGCCATACGATTTTCCTTTCCCTGGCTATAAAATCAAGGGAGGTCGCTCTCGTGGTACGTTAGAGTACTACTTCCTGACGAAATCTCAAGGGAGAAAATTAGTTCGGCAACCAAGACTATTATAGTTGGTATTGTAGCGTCTTCGACAGTGGCGGTGGTGGTGTAGTTGACGGATTATGAATTGGCTGAAATGGAGCCTCCGTGTACTGATCGACATTTGGAAAAGTAATTTCCGTTGCGACAAAGAGGCGGGGTACCGCGTCACAAAGGCTTGGGAACAGGGCAGAATCTGTGCCAATGCCTTCAAACCAGGAAAGCAAAAGCCACACAGGGAGACAAAGCCATCAAACCAGGAAAGCAAATGCCACACAGGAAGACAAAGAACATCAGATGCATGCATATAGCAATCAATGATATTAGAATGCGCACTAACCTGAATATCATTATGTGGATTCCAGTCAGAGTCATAGATGATCACAGTGTCCGCCGTCGCCAGGTTAATACCCAGTCCTCCGGCACGAGTGCTTAACAGAAAGACAAATCCAGAAGCTCCAGGAGCTGCACCCCCCCCCCCCCCAACACAGACACACACACAGACGCGCACACATGCACATACACACGGAAAGCTGGTGAAAAGAATGATCACAGCACAGAAGACTGCACAAACACCGATACAGCCAAAAAACACAGGGTGTGAAAAAACTGAAAATCTAGACAGTAGACAATAATACTGGTTTAGGACTACTGAGCACACTCTACTTCAACAGAGAACAGAAGGTATGGCCATTCTTACCATTGAAGCGATCTATAGCAAGTTGGCGACTAGCACCGGAGATTCCACCATCGATACGCTCATAGTTGTATTCCTTGTACTCGAGAAAGTCTTCGAGCAAGTCCAAAACACGAGTCATCTATTCAGCAAGAATACGTGTACACGCACATACATGTACACATGCAAAACGTCAAACTTTAATCTCAGTGATGCATTTCACAATCCGTCTAACTGTTCTTTTGATGCAGTTGAAAGACAAGTGCTGGTCTACGGCTCCAGGTTTTAGTGTATGGTGTTGTCTGAGAGGAGCATGGACACTCGAAAAGTTCATAAGTTGCAGCACACAATGATTGTGATGCAATATTCCCTGAAAGGCCAGCAGACCCAGTCAAAGATACAGGAACAGAAAACCATGGGCAAAGGAGCAAGACACTTCTTACCTGTGAGAAAATCAGCACCCGGTGGCCGTTCTTTTTCAGACGAATCAGCATCTTTTCTAGCAGTGAAAACTTGCCACATGCTTCAACCAACGCTCGGCCTTCAAAGTTACCTACTTTTGTACGCGGTGCCTCCTGAGAAAACCAAATCAAGGCAGAGCAAAAAAATCACGGTTCGCGTAAGACTCGGCTGGATCAAGAGCAAATGTCCAAGCAAAACAGCAACACCTTTCACACTCCCAGCAATGCAATATTATATTTCCAGTTACATGGATGAGTGCACATGTTCAGAATGCACAACACCTTGAGAGGAACAGAGCAAAGGGGTGGTGACCATGCAGTGTAGGTAAGCCGAGCTAGCACAGAACATCATGCCTGGAAACAGTGCGTGGGCATATGCGGTGGTGACTTACTTCGGATGGTCCCGGGAAGAGATACGGGTGATTGCAACACTTCTTCAGATCCATCATGACATTGAGCAGTGTGACCTGATTTCCACCAGCGGTGGATCGGCGACTATTCAATGCTTCAAAGTTACGCGTCAGAATGCTGCGATAGACAGTTCTAGTCAGGCATGAACAGACACAGTGCAGAGTGCAGAGTGTGCTCAGCAAAATAAAACAAAGGTACGTAACCAACACATAGTCCACTGTTGCAGCCCACACGGCACAGAACAACAACAACATTTCATAAACTGTAATCGTGAGCAAATACAACACCAGCACTGGGGTTGAAAACAATGTGAGCAAGGCAAGTGTCGATGGTGTAGAGTTGTTACACTTATCACTAATCACGAATTGACCAATAGACTACTCACTTCTGTATTGGTGCAAGATCCACGCGCACAATCAGCTCCGTCTTGGTTGGCATGGTCTACACAGCAATACAGGCAAGCAAGCATTAGACTCGCTCAAGTCACAGAGGATCTGGATTTCATCCTGTATAACAATTATTGCACACAGTAACCCCGCTCTACTATCAAAATGCCATAGAAAACACAAAGTCTTCTCTCCTGAACAACTGGGGTGAAAGTTGTCACAGCTCAGAATGGACATTTCACACAAATCCCTGTCAGAGAAGGCTACAACTCAAAGACTGCATACCATTCACAACATACCTTCAACACATCTGCCTTCAGGCGTCGCAGTAGATGAGGGCCAAGTAGATCATGGAGCTTAATAACCTATTTAAAAACAGAAAACAGTGGCTAGCTTAGCTACACTTCTCCATAAGCAACACAAAGACACACATAAAACAACCGGCATGACAGATGCCATTCTGCTGCTCACAGGGTGCACATGACTGTGTACACGTGTGTGTGCAGGGGGGGCTATCCAGCTATCCAATGTAAGTGCTTGGAAGTTGAAACATAAACACGGGTGATTCTGCCACATTGCATGGACACAGGGGAGGGGGGAGGGACTAGGCTCAAGGGTCATACTCGTCTTTATGCACACAATGCAAACAAAGCTGTTACTGTCTGCTGTTTGCAGAGTTCAGCACGTAGAAGTACACCGTTTCCATCTCAAGAAGATAAGAAGAATGCCTCAAAACTCTGGAATGTTGACCAGTGATAGTTTACCTGTTCCTCTTTGGAAACGTCCTGGAATTCCGTCAGGAAGTTGTTCATGTCACTGTGTGTCAACACAAGTGCGCACATCATACAACATTAGCATTAGTAACGAGACCCCTCAACACCCTGCAGCTACGTTAGCAATGCCACCACAGCCGAAGTAGCAAGATACGCAACAACAACGCCGTGTTCCGCTAACACTGCCCCGCTTGAAGCCATCAAAGAGGCCAGTCATCTGTGTAAAGTAAGCTGCATTCCTAGATAAGCAAGATTCTCTTGCATTTCTGTCATTGTACTTTGAAGTACAAGTATGCTAGTCTCTACATTTTACTCTATCTTCATCAAAATCTATCCATTCATAAGGTTATTGTTTAATTGTTCATTTGAAGAGTACTAGTACACAATTCTGGGGGGGGGGGGGGGGGGGCACAAGACAATAGTACTTGAAACAATGTGCATTTTGACCCCAGATTAGGAAGTTGCATGTGATCTACGATCTGTACAACACGTGATCATGATCAACGCTGTAATCTGCCCCCTACGGCTGTTACGTAGATCACAAAATCGGACATTCAAAATGGCGTCATTTTTTTGAAAATTTTTGAATTTTTGAACGCGACGGCCCCCAGAGAATAGCTGAGAATTGCATTTTTCACGTTGGTATCCAGGCCATTTTGGCTCCCATCGACACGGTTTACCATACAACCGCGATTTTCGTCCAGGGGAAGCTTCAAGGAACGCATTGATGCCTTTTGGATCGTCTTTCCCAAGAGGCGACAGGTTTCTGTCGCCATGTCGCCTCCACGTCCTTTGTTCTTTCGATTCCCAAAACTGCTCTACTTTCATTGCTGCCTACATCCCGGCTCCGAGTTTTCGCAGCTGCTTGCTGTGTTTTTGGTGGCCCGAGAGACCTTCTATAGCTCGAAAATCGCGCTCTTGTCCCAGATCGTGCAAAGGAAGTCTCGATCGCGCATCGACATTTTAGCCTTGTTTGTTGCTTTCTGCTCTGCGATGGAGCACCACTCGAGTATTCTTGAATCCGTGTCGCATTGGTGGCCAAAAACTTGCCAGTGCTAGTCACAAAACTCCATATCCGGTGAAGAATTATGTTGAAGAGATCGCCAAAGTTTTAAAAATTGATGTTTCCAAAGATTCCCCTGACGTGCATCCCCAGTACATGTGCTCACTTTGTCAATTTGCTATTGCACCTTCAATGAGAGATGACACATATAAGTATTGTAGTGGGGGCTGCAATGGCCCAGTTACATGGCAACCACATACGAGATCTAACTGTGCCGTATGTAAGAGTGATGCTGTACGAGCCAAGGGCGGCCGTCCACCGAAACGGAAAGCCGTCAGTGAACTGCGTGGCCAAGCGGCAAAACGACAGACATCAACGGCATCAACATCAGCAGAACTGCCAGAAGGCAGTCCTAGCTCTCAGCAAAGACGCACCAGCAGCAGTAGCAGCAGTGACACCAACACAGTAGCACACACCACTGATAGTCAAACATCCACAGTTACTTTGGACGAGATTTCGGCGCACGCAGCGCCTATGTATCGGGCTGAAGCAGCATTAGAGAAAGAGCGGTTTATTGACAGTGGAGCTGTGCAGGAATGCATGATATGTTTGCAAGTGGTAAATGGAGCAGTTCAAGCCAAATGCTGTGAAAATATATTCTGCTCAACATGCGTGCACACGTGGATGAAGAGTCACAATACATGTCCAGTATGCAGACAGCCAATGGCACTGGCGACACTGCAGAAGCCATGCAAGCTAGTGTGCAATATGGTTAGCAAGTGGGGTGTACATTGTGACTTCCATGAACCAGCATTGTCGTTCAGAGGTGAGTCCTTCAGCATAACTAATTAAATGTACTGCTCAATGTGTGTGTGTGTGTGTGTGTGTGTGTGTGTGTGTGTGTGTGTGTGTGTGTGTGTGTGTGTGTGTAAATGTGAAATATCAGCGTTAATCGTATACCCAGTCGTTAAATCTTTATTCTCACAATATCCAGTGGTCAATAAGAGAGATAATATTTTATTTAAAAAAAAAGAAAAAAAAGGCATTGCCCTTTTTCTTCTTACATGTATTTTCCTTACCCTTTAGATTGTTTCTTGCATCGTCTCCATCGCTTACATTGTTAATAAAGTAGTCCACATGTCGCTTCAGCTCGTCCTACTTATTGCCATATTAAAAAGGAAAGAGTGAGGAATAATTTGTTGTTGTTGTTTCTTGTTCTTTTTCTTTTTTTGTATATGTAGGAGATGATCCGATTGAAAAGCTTTTTGAAGAGCTCTCCAAGGAGGAAGAGCGCATAGAGGAAGACCTGAAGAACATACGTCCTATCATCATCACGGATGATGAAGAGGTGCAGTTCCGCAATGCCACAGAGTGCTGGATCTGTGGCAAGAAACTGAAGGGTGCTGATCGAGTGCGCGACCACGACCACCTCACCGGACTGTACAGAGGAGCTGCACACAACGCCTGCAATTTCTTCTGCGGAAGAAGATGGCTGATGGACAAGACTATGATAGTGGCCTAGATTCGGATATCGCCGATCTGATACCACAGATCATCATAAGCGACGACGATGACGATGAGCAGCACCAAGAACCAGGACCAGGACCAGGACCAGCACCAGTACCACCACCACCACCACCACAACAGCCACTACAGGCTCAGCTTGTCGCGTATGAGGAGGTGGTGGTGGTGAAAAGAGAGCTGATGGGTGATGGAGGACTGGTGAAGGTTGTAACCTTGACAACAAAAACCTTCAAGTACAACACAGGTGAAGAATTCACCAACGTACACCTGTTCACTAACATTGAGCATCATTTTTTTTCGCCTCCATGAATTACGAGGTCATGTCACATCATGTCCGTTCAATCCATCCACATCCTCAGGAACGCCCATTCGTACTGCAACCAAAGCTGCAACAGTGGAGGAGATCTTAGCAGCGTCACCATCAAAGCTACGGGGCAATGTGAGTGACAGACTGACCTGTCACCTTGTGTCCGCCAAAGCAGAAGATGGGAGGCTGGAAGTGAAAACCAGCAGCCAAGGAAGACCGCAAGTTTTCATGCGAACAACAGTTGGCAGCAAGCAGCCGGAGGAGGCATCAGCCAGGACGCTGAAACGACGGTCACTCTGCTGGACTGGGCGCTACCAGCATCAAACCACCGTCAGGCACTGCCCTTGCCATCAAGGCCGATCTAAGCCTTCCTTGGGCGCAACTCCGGAAGCTGCGCAGATGGCTCCGCTCCTTCGGAGTTCAGCTTGAATCGGAGAGAAGCATTCGCTCATTCATAGCCACCACCTTGCCGAAATACACAGTGAAGCAGCTCCCCTTTGTCAAGCGGACTGGCGAGTTGTCACTTGCTGCAGCTGTCTACTTTCCAAACCTAACCGACATCATTATCCACTACCTCGACATACTTGACAGCGGCAGCAAGCTGACATGGCATGATGGCGCCATCCCAGAAACGGAGATATGGGTCAAGCTGGGCGGTGACCATGGTAAGACAACATTTAAATTCGTGATGCAAATCGCCAACACCATGCATCCAAACTCACTCGCCAACACTGTGCCAATCTGCGTGTTTGCAGAGAAGGACTTGCCGGCAAACCTGGAAACTGCACTCTCAATGTATCGGAACCAAATTGCAGAGCTACAGGGCCAGAAATGGAAAGGCAAGACCATTGTGCCTTATCTGTTTGGTGATTACGAGTACCAAACCATGAACTACGGCTTGTCGGGTTCCAGTGGCGTAAGGCCTTGCCTCCATTGCTTGTGCACGAAGAAAGACATGCAGGTCCCACCAGCGAACCGCGACGTACAGTATGGAGCACGGTCCTTAGAGAAGATGGCGGAGGACTGTGCACAGTTTACTAGCGCAGGTGCTCTGCTGTCAAAGGCAAAGCTGTATAACAACACCATCCGACCAGTCCTATTGCCAGACCTCGGTGTATTCCCGTGTATCTTTGATGTATTCACACGCGAGGTCCGTCTTCTGGACATGCAGCTTGCAGAACAATGCGACGCTGAAGAGCAAGACAGTGGACGGTTTAGAGCCTTGTCAACTGCAAATCACAAGTTGTCTGGCTGCAAAACAGCGTTCTCGGAAGCAACAGCGAAAGCCACCGCTCTGGAGAATCATCTGCACTTCATCGTCTTGTTTGGCCAGCAACAGGGCATGGCGATAGAAGCACTCGCAGGCGTGCTACAACGGGAGGTTGAGCAAGCACAGGCCGACACAGAGCAGTGTAGCTCGCAGCTAAAGATTGCTGAAGACGAACTGGCCAAGTTGCGCCGCAGCAAGGATGTTCTCGGCCCGTGCGAAGCGTCCATAGAGCCAGTACTGCAGAAGAACATTATCCATCGGCAGGCCTATCACGGCGGTGCTTTCGTAGGGAACCATATCCACCGTGCCCTCAAGCCCGCCGTGATCACAGCTATCACTGAGGCCCCAGCAATTGTCATTGGAGATCGGTGCCCAGCTCTGCGGAATGACGCTCAAGTAGTCAGTGAGCGGTACAAGTCCCTGTTCAGCCAGTACGCAGCGTGCAGATCTTCCTTCAGCCATTGCAACAAATGTGGAGAGGAGGAACTGCAGCAATTGGAGCTCTCCATTGCCTCGTTCTTACAGAAATGTCGGAGCGAGGTGGTGGAGAGAGGCTTAGGTCACATCACTCCAAAGCTGCACCTCCTTGAGGAACACACTGTGCCGCTGATGCGGAGAGTGCACGTCGGGCTTGGTCTACTGTCGGAACAGGGCGCGGAAGGAATTCACGCCGAGTTCAACCTGCTCGAGAAGAGATACGGTTCCATTCCTGGCGAGCTTGAGCGCCTGCATGCTGTTGCAGAACAACACCTCGTATGCACCCTGCCAGACGTTGCAGATCAACGGCCCAAAGTTCGATCGAGGCAGCGGACTGCTCCATCGCAGGCAGATCAACCAGCCAGTCCGCCATAACACTGACTACACGCAAAGCCAGAGAGGTAAGGTCTAACTGTTCACTTCTACTTCCTCCAATAATAATTCTTCTTCTTGATGTTTTCGACAGCAAGACTTCTGTTCTTACTTCCTTGTCGTTTCAAAAAATATTTGGGTTTAGACCGACTTTACCGAAAGAAAGTACTAAATCCGGCGAAATTATATAATTCTATACATTTTGTACTAAGTCGAAAGGATTTCAGTAAATCCGCAGCGATTTCAAACTTTTCGCCGCCATCTTGTTAGATGTCCACTGCGTAACAGCCGTGCCCCCCCCCCCCCCCAGACCAATGAGGCCATATATGGGCACGTACATATATAAATCGGTCCTGCTTCAAGGGCGATTGGAATAGTCAACCCAGGAGCGAAATTCACATGGTTTCACAAGCTATTTGCACAGGTCATCTAACTGTTACTAGTACCTAGATGCCAGGACTCCCTGAAGAAAACTAAAACCACAAGCAACTAAAGGTTACCGTAATTCCGCGCATATAAGCCCATGGGCCTATATCCGGATATGAGCCCACCTCCGTTTATAAGCCCATGGGCTAATAAACAGACACAAACGCAACTCACGTGTCAAGTAGAATTTTTCACAAAAAAATAATAATGGACTCTTCCTAGCATGGTACAGCAGGTCAGTGCAGTTTACCAGTAGAGTATGGTAGACTGACCATGAGCATGGACTTGTACTTTTTCGTGAACCTTCAAAATTCGAATATTGGCCCATGGGCTAAAAAACGAACATGTTTTACTGGATATTTTATCCCCAAACTGCATTATTTCACATATAAGCCCATGGGCGTATATGCGCGGAATTACGGTATAACTTGTAATACTTGTTGCCAAGAGGGACTCACTAAAACTCAGCAGGCGATAGGAAGTTGAGCAAATGGAACAGTTCTTCAAGTGTATTCTGCAACGGTGTTCCAGTCAATAGCAGCTTGTACTTTATATGGTAGGCGGACATGATCCTGAAATACTGCACACACCACCGCCAACAATGCAACCGTCCGAATCATATGCGCACATACACACGCACATACGCATGCAGGCACACAGGAAGAAACAATTCAAGCACTCAAATTCGCTGCACACAGCAATGACATGCATTTCACTCAAACAGGATATCACAAATCTAAAAGGCAACCTGATGACTGGAAAATGGAGGGCGAAGTACAGCATGAGAACTGCAGGTGGTCTTCTACAGCATGCTATCTGACCATACCTGGCTCTTGTTGTTTTTCAGGCGATGTGCTTCATCAATGACAAGAACTTCCCAATCGATGGACTGCAGAAGTGTCTTGTCTAAAGTAACCATTTCAAAGCTGGTCAGTAACACATGAAACTTGATGTTAGATCCGGCCTGCATATGCACACAACAACAAGGACAGAAGTCAAGAATCAAACAGCTGACGTTATCTGTGAACAGGACCGTATGGAAATAATTGATTGCTGAACACATGACAATCGCACAATTTCAACAACAAAAAAAGGCAACACAGCTATACACAGTTCACAGCGCCACACAGTCCACAGCTCCACACAGTCCACAGCTATACACAGTCCATAGCTATACACAGTCCACCGCTACACACAGTCCACAGCTCCACACAGTCCACAGCTCCACACAGTCCACAGCTACACGCAGTCCACAGCTACACGCAGTCCACAGCTAGACACAGTCCCCAGCTATACACAGTCCATAGCTATACACAGTCCACAGCTACACACAGTCCACAGCTACACACAGTCCACAGCTACACACAGTCCACAGCTACACACGGTCCACAGCTACACACAGTCCACAGCTACACACAGTCCACAGCTATACAATAGTCCACAGCTATACACAGTCCACAACTATACACAGTCCACAGCTACACACCGTCCACAGCTATACACAGTCCACAACTATACACAGTTCACAGCTCCACACAGTCCACAGCTATACACAGTCCATAGCTATACACAGTCCACCGCTACACACAGTCCACAGCTCCACACAGTCCACAGCTCCACACAGTCCACAGCTACACGCAGTCCACAGCTACACGCAGTCCACAGCTAGACACAGTCCCCAGCTATACACAGTCCATAGCTATACACAGTCCACAGCTACACACAGTCCACAGCTACACACAGTCCACAGCTACACACAGTCCACAGCTACACACGGTCCACAGCTACACACAGTCCACAGCTACACACAGTCCACAGCTATACAATAGTCCACAGCTATACACAGTCCACAACTATACACAGTCCACAGCTACACACCGTCCACAGCTATACACAGTCCACAACTATACACAGTTCACAGCTATACACAGTTCACAGCTGTACACAGTCCACAGCTACACACCGTCCACAGCTATACACAGTCCACAACAGTCCACAGCTATACACAGTCCACAGCCATACACAGTGCACAAAGAACAGGACCACACCCACTACTTACCTTGATCTTGTAGAGCTTGCTGCTATTTTTAACTGCATCTTCGTCAAAGGAAACCTCAGTCTCCCTGAAAAAGCAAACAATAATCGAGAGCATGTGGCTGAAGGAGATAAGTCTCAAACAAATATTGAGCATACCAAACACAACACTCGGTGGAAAGAAAACAACCCATATGTACAGAACAGTAGCGGCAGCATACAGGAAGGATAGGCGAGGCAATACCGGTTAGTCTTCTTATCTCTGCACAACCATGAACAGCCAACACAATCATGATCTCCCCCAACCCGCCACCGATGCACCCACCCACCCACCATCTCCAACATAAAGGTACAGACACATGGAAAACCAAGCATAAACAAACTCACCGGAGAACTCTCCTGGCTTCCTGCGGTCCACAGTAAGTCACTGCATACAGATCAGGTGCCCAGAATTCAAACTCTCTCTCCCAGTTGATCAGTGTACTGAGCGGTGCTGACACTAAGAAAGGACCCTGACAGTGACCCTGGCAAAATGAACACACACACACACACACACAATACAATTTTTTGAATTATAGTGTGAAAGCACTGTATGTGCGTGTGTGCGTGCTTGCTTGTGTGTGTGTGTGGTGGTGGTGGGGGGCATGTGTGACTGTTTGCAAACAACTGATAAACATAACTAGCATCAAGAGTACATAACCAAGAGTGTGCAACTCCTATCTCGAGCTGTGATGGGTTCACCCACGGCGGAATTTTTTATTGCGTCATTCTTTGGCTGAAGTATGATCAAGTGCGTATACTTTCCCGCGAATTTTTTGTAGATACGGTGAGAGTTCACCAGGTTCAGGACACATCGATCTATCGTCCATTGTTCTGCTCCGACTACCGTAGCTGTGATGTACAAATTCTTTGTACTTTGATCTCTGGCTACGCATGATGGCATCAGCGAGCCAAACAGCCGCCAAAGACTGGTCATTAAAAAATTCCGCCGTGGGCTAGGGGATCGTCGAGTTGCACACTCTTGGTTATGTACTCTTGCTAGCATGCAATAACCAGCAGTACTAACACAGGGAGAGCATCAGTGGCGGATCCAGGATTTTTCCAAGGGGGGTTCAATTTTTTCCCACCCTACCCACAATGACGAAATGATTAGTCATTGATGACATACAATTAACATGTATAAAAAGTTCACACGTTCGCGTCATCGGTACCACCTGTAATACAATTGATAAGAGAGCCCATATGTACATGTTGCATCCAGTACTTCAACCGTGCTCAGAATGCTGCAGACAGATCTCTTGAATCTGGAGGACTTCCTCAGCGAACGGGGACTGGTGCTGAATCCCAAAAAGTCTCAGCTCTGCTGCTCAGACGACCTGCTGCGCACCTGGACGTGATCCCCAGCATCACCTGCAAAGGCACCGTCATCCCCGAGTCCAGCCATGTTCTGTACCTTGGCCTCCTATTGGACTCGTCGCTCAGCTTCGAGCAGCAGGTGTAGCGTGTGTGCGCAAAGGCACAGTGCAAGGTTGCCTCATTCCGCCACGGGCGCCGCGATGTCTCCATGACCGGCCGCCGCATGTTTTACCTGACAATTGTCCAGAGAACCTTGGACTATGCCAGCACATCTTATGTTCACTGCTGGTCTGCTAAACTCCAAGACAAACTTGAGTCAACCAGCAAAACGTGCCTAAGGCGAGTGTTTGGCCATGATGAGTATACTTCTATCGATTTCATTCTCACCAAATATAACCTGTATACTTTCTCTCGCTTTGTACACTTGAAGCTGTTTGTGTTTGTTTTTAGGTGTCTTATCTCGTTGCACCAGATATTTACCCCCCCCCCCCCCCCCGCTCTGCATCATGCCGCACAAACGCTGCTACCCGCGGTCAAGCTTCAGCCGCTCTGAACCTACCCAGAGCTACGTCGTTTACGGCCTGAATGATATTTCATTTTTTGGCAGCAGACAGATGGAACATGCTTCCACCTGGATGTCGTCAAGCTAAGCCCCTTTCTGCATTTGTCACAAGCACCAAGTCATTCCTAGGGTTCCCAGTAAAAAGGCAACGCCTGTTGGGAGTTCCCTAGTAAAATAATAAATTCTTCTACTACTACTACTACTGACGTAAAGTACCGCCAGAGCGCCCCACCATCTCATCCTTTCGTGGTCGTATTGTGGAAGTGGTCTGCTGTCTGTGGGTCATACGACATAAACCTTGTACACATGTAGCACGTTTTGCAGTCAATCCGTACCTTCGAGCGGACACAAGCTCCACACAAAACCTGCCAAGTGTGACCTTAGTACACTAAGATTCTTACATCGTATAAACTTCGTTGCACTCTGCCATACGATTTTCCTTTCTCTGGCTGTAAAATCAAGGTGGGGCGCTCTCGCGAGACGGGGCGCTCTGGCGGTACTTTACGGTACTACTACTTGAACATGCATGCAGCTGCTATACAAATGTAACTGTTACTTCAGTACCCCTATTTTCAACACTCTGCAGCTAAACATTATTGAAGACACAAGGAAATATTTTCAATGTCTTTGCCGCAGAATAGCTGATTGGTACTTTCTCCAGCAGATCGTCTATAAAAATTGTCAGCCGTATAATTACGAGAGAGCTTGGAAGCTCAGGGCCCTACGCTATGATTTTTTGCCTTGATGACCTAGACAAAAAAAACATAGGGATGCTATAAATTCTTATAAGTTTCTACTTTTTTGTTTTTAGACATAACCTGGGATTCGAACCCACACTATCGCCCTGCATGCATCCCCCGATACACTTCGCATACATACTAATTCTTCCAAGTTGCTTCACGTTATGATCTTGTATTTGAAAGCCCTATTTGAATATGCATTGTGACCAGCCGTGGCTAGCTGTGTTTGATGGTACGGTATGGTACGGGACAGATACGGGATAGCGCCAGGCGGGACACAAACACACAAACAAACACCAAATTAAAGCTGTGTGGACCCTGGCTAGCGCCAGACGTTACTGAAGTAACGTCTTCTGCATAGCTACGGGAATAACAATAATAATATTGTACTCCGAGCCGCCCGATGGTGACTCCACTAGAGTAGGTTTCTGCAGGCTTTCTGCATCTGCCGTGCCTTAGTCATTGTCTCCAGTTCGGAGAATTTTTGATTTATTGGATGATGGGACGTTGAACTTGAAGGTGACTTTCAAAGTTTCGCTCTTTGTTTTACCTTTACACTTTTCTTTGGAGTGTCACCAAAATTCAAGGGCAGCTGGTCTTGAGCCTGCCTCTTTTAGACGCTTCAACGAACTCTAAGTCAGGTCACAAAGCACGAGCCACGACGGCACTCCACCATTCAGAAACTAGTATTTGAAGCTTACTTTCGACGTTTCCGCAGCAGCTCAACAAGTGCAGCTCTTTCTCCGAAGCGAACGCGTACCGGTACAATGTAGCTGTACATTCAGTGCGGATCTACAATGTACATGTACATGTACTTACTTTGTACATTCAGCATTTCAGGTCCCGGTACAAGACTACAATTTCTTACATGACACGTGATCGTTGCCGGGGCCATGGCCAATAGGCGATCTTCCCGCCGCGGGCATAATCAGGCCATCAGGACCGTTTGATGTCATTTCGGGAATGTTCGGACCGTTTGATGTCATTTCGGGAATAATTTTTCGACCTTTGACCTTCCCTAATATGTTGCTTCGCGATGTAAGAAATCAAATCAAGCATGCTCTGTCTGTCATGATGGCTGAATCTTGCCCTTGCCTGCAGCCCTCGGGCCTACGGCCCTTGGGCTGCAGGCTCGGGCAAGATTCAGCCATCATGACCTTCTGAGCGTGCTTGATTACATACGTAGATCTAGCAAGCTGCAGCTAGCGGACCGCTCCGGCCTGGGCCGACTGGGCCATAGCATGGGTTAGTGGTCACACCTAAACTATGGTCGGAAAAAATCAGGGGGGTTCGTTAGACCCCCCCCCCCCCCCCTGGATCCGACCCTGAGCATCACTAACACGGTGTATACATGGACAACAGTATTACAGCAGAGAGAATACCACTCTCCCATAATCTCCCATCTCCTTCATAAACACCCACACACCCACACAACCTGGCAATATGAACTAACCTCTTTCACCAAGGAAGACAGGAATGCTATTGTTTGAATGGTTTTGCCCAGACCCATTTCATCGGCCAGGATAGTGTTAGTGCCCTGTGCCCAGGAGAAGCGGAGCCAGTTCAAACCCTCCAGCTGGTACGGATGTAGGGTGCCAGTCAGAAAGTCAGGCTGTTCTTCGTACTTTGTCGAGCACTGCAACACACACACACACACACGCGCGCGCACGCACGCACATGGACACACACACACGGACGCCCGCATGCACACACACACACACACACACACACACACACGGCGGTATTCCATAGACTTCACACAAAGCATTGCCAGGATCTATGGTGGAACATGATAAGCCATAACAGAAAATTCACTCTGTGTGGTGACATGACAAGCACATAACACATCACATGACCATCCAAAGTAACTGGTAAGGCCGGACAACAAAGCGCACCGAGCAAGGCCAAGGGACAAGGGAAACACATCATACATGTACCAGGTCTGCTATCAAACTCTGATTATCAAGGTGGACAAGCACAGTTGACAGTGTTAGCAAAAACCCAGTCAAGGACTGTAGTCTGTATCGCTACATGGCCGCCGTCGTCGTCAGCAAGACCTTTGCAGGATCTGCTCACATTAGAAAGGGGCATATGACAGGTGCTGCATATAGTAAATACATGTATGAGCATGACAGCATAATATCACAAGGTGGAGGACATGTTGTAAGGAGACGTGTTCCCGACTACAACCAGACACCAGTTAGTAGTCAGATGTAGTATACATGTACCTTAACCCTTTACTGTCCGATTAAAATGTATACAAGCCCACGCAACCACGAAATCTGAAACTAAAATGAGACGTAACTTTGGTTTGAATTTGACGATTTCCGCAATCTTGGGCATCCTGGAAAGGTCTTGACGAGACGAACGCAATGAGCCCACACTCGGCGCCACAGGATGCACTGGTCCAGCGCTGCAAGCCAGGGAACGTGCAAAAGCGCTGAGCTCACGCTCGAGATCGATCTCAATCCACCATGTCACCCCTGTTGCTCGTATCGAGCTCAAATATTTTCGTAGGGACTCCCGGGAACCTACTTTTGAATTTGAATCGGTGTAGCCTTGCCAACAGGTGACGTAAACAGGGAAAATCCCAGCCGTCGACATGCGCGTCGCGCTCTGAACGCACTTTTCCCAGGACCAGAATTACGAGTGCGATAACTCAGCAACCGCTGTTCTTATCGCTTCGGGAATTGTTCGAGGCGACAGCTGAGACTTTTCTCTTCGACCTACATATTTCGATTTCTCCAAAAGACCTAGATTTGAGCAAGTTACGATAATTTCAAAATGCCTACCCCATCGATCCCATTGGATCGATGCTTGTATGTACGGACAGTAAAGGGTTAACCTGCTCCTCTGCCTTGGGACATGCTGCCATGGTCAGCCGAACTATTTGTACGTGTACATGTACATGTGTCCAGGCCAGATACAGAGAATACTCACAAGGCACTTCCTGAGTGTGAGCATGCCAAACCAGTAACTACGCTCAACAATGCTGTTCAACTAGAACATGTCTGACGCTAAGTACATGTATATGGCACACACCCTCCTCACACCCCCATCTACATGTATCTCAGCCAGCATGATCACATGCCAACCTATTGACAGTAGGAAGCAGACAGAAGCAAATGCAACGTACAATCTTGACGGATTTGGAGTGCGACAGCTGCTTCTCCTTCTTCTTCCTGTCCTTCTTCTTGTAGGTCGGGTCGTTGAGTGCTCTGCAAAGCATAGTATTATAGTACACATATCACGCATACACATACACAAACACATACACAAAGAGCCACACCACAGACACAGACACATTGGCTCCGGTAGCTGAATATGCGCCCTTCTCCATATTTGCCACAGCTACCCACGACCGTAATCTAGCTTAGTACTAAGCCTACTCTCCCCTTATGTCATAACAAGATTGATGCTGATACCCCAAACTGTCTTTGTGTGTGAATTCAACAATAGCAAGGTCAAAGTGCGAGTGAGAGTTAGCGTTCTACTCACCGGATATCATTGTACTTGTCCAGCAAGCGGGGCATGTCACTAAAAAGGAAAACAATGTCAGTGAAGAACCGTTAGACAAAACTGCCAATAACACACCTGAAAACAACAGAGATGAGAGCAAGTTACACCAAACATAGCGGCAAGAAACAAGAGCAGCAGCACCAGCAGCAACAGTACAAAGACAAACGGACACATGAGCGCGTGCACACCTTTTGACCTTTTTGACGCCCATCGCCGAAGGTGATGATAGCGATGCTACGGCAGAAACCATAGCAACTTGTGCTGGGATTGCACCATTCAACAGCTTGCAAGGCTGATGAATTTACCGCCACTATTCAGCCTGGTCTACACCACACAGCTTGTGGCTTTTTCTGGCCAGTGAATCCCTACTTTCGATCTTTTTCATTTTTTCCCCGCACACACATCACACCACATACTTCGGCATCCACTGGCAGTTGGTAACCACCCAGGAGAATGAAAGAAAAGTCAGGAGTATGAGAAAGAGAAGAAAGACGTGTGTGACCACAATCGTTGGGAATCGAACCTGCAACCTCTCAATTGGAAATCGCTGCACATATCACTATGCACGCACAGACACACACATACACCATTGGACCATTGGACGCCCATCGCCGGAGGCGATGATAGCGATGCTACAGCAGAAGCCATAGCAGCTTGTGCTGGGATTGCACCATTCAACAGCTTGCAAGGCTGTAGAATTGACCGCCACTATTCAGCCTGGTCTACACCACACAGCTATGAAGTGGCTTTTTCTGGCCAGTGAATCCCTACCCCCCCCCCCCCCCACACACACACACGCACGCACGCACGCACGCACACACACTTACACCTCAGACCTTGCACATACACATGACATACACACAATGCTTTTCTGCCATAATTGCCCACCTATGGACATCGAGTCGCTCCCAACTGCAGTTGTCATAAGTCAGTTCCCGCCACTTGACTAGGTAATTCCTATCCCCTTCCTCGCCATCTCTGTGATCAAACGAAGCATAATAGAAGCATGAGAAAGCACAGCATAAATCGAAAGTCACAAAGCCTTCCAAACGGTGAATGCAGTTTACATCTTGGAACTTTGCTAATACGACGTTTGGCTAATGGCTATACTATGGGGCAGTCAACAAAGGGAGAGGGAGAGAATGAGTGAGTGAGCGAGTGAGAGAGACAGAGAGAGAGAGAGAGCCCATGAACTCGTGTTACAATGTCACACGGGGTGGCCAGCGTTCATCAGCAACCGACGTGCAGGAGAAAATCAAATACCCATCTCTATTTTACCATTGAATATATTACACCGCATTACATATACCGTAAAGTACCGTTGATCCGCCCCCTCTCTAATTCCCGCCCCCTCTCTAATTCCCGCCCCCTCTCTAATTCCCGCCCCCTCTCTAATTCCCGCCCCCTCTCTAATTCCCACCCCCTCTCTAATTCCCGCCCCCTCTCTAATTCCCGCCCCCTCTCTAATTCCCGCCCCCCTCTCTAATTCCCGCCCCCTCTCTAATTCCCGCCCTCTGTCGATTTTCTACCTGTGAAGCGATGTTGGCGTATACAACGAAATACGATGTTGAACCGACGCTTGCACTGCTGTACACAATATGTGCCAATCCAGGATGAAAATGTGCACAATTTAGCACATCGAGTCTGATCCTCCAAGTTGTTGTACATAGTACTGCACTTGATAGCCTTGATCTAATTCCCGCCCCCTGCCGAAAAAGCAGCTGGGAAGCGACATGGCGTGGGGGCGGATCAACGATACTTTACGGTAGAAGCACTGCTGATTCAACTGAGCACACTTACCTGTGCTTGACGATTCGCTGCGGTATGAGAAAGTCAGCTGCAACACCAGAGTTGAGCAAGTCAGCTTCAAGAGTGTCCCCCTTGACAACATTATCTGGATCTTGAGGACCCGGCGGAGTGGCCCATAAATTTACACGCCGGTACTTTTGAGAACATGAGCGAAACTGGTGGATCTCATGTACCTCCATCTGATCATGACAGACAAAAACAGAACAAAGAAAAGAATGACAATTGCAAAGCAGAGTATTGCTAGTGTTGGTTATTAGTGATGAATGAATGAGACACTTTTTAATACACTTTACACTTGCTCAGTATTTATACAATAGCTGAATAGGAACTTGACAAACATCAATGTGCGATGCTTAGAGGAAACAAGAAGCGCTGCAAGAAGGAGAGCAATGAGAGGTGACACCCACCTGCAACTCGCTGATCCACTCGCAATCCCAAAAACTGAAGTCTTTGTACCTGACGAGAAACTGGCGAATAGGCTTTGCACCAGGAGCCTGCAATCAACAACACCACAAACACACGATCACAGTGGCAAATGCACATGCAAAAGACAGGATATAACCGTATCAGTGACGAAATCTGGTGTGTACCACAAGCCCAAAAACACAATGCCCTAAACTCCACGCACGAGTAAATGCGTAGGAGTACCAGCGAAAACTTGCAAACGTCAAATCGTAGGAAAAGGACATAGGCAATGTAACGTGCTTCAAATTCCCCGACAGGCGACAACACTCCAACAGTACATATCCAAACATGAACTTTCACAGGACTACTACAAAGCATAGTGAAGATGTATGAGTTAAGGCCAAGTAAAAATAATTGATTGTTGATCGTCAGCGCCCGCCCCGATTTTTCAGTCCGTCCCCCGGGATTTATCTTATTTTTTATTTTCGTGATCAACGGTAGAAAACTCGTGTGTTTAGCGAAACGCGAAGTTTTTTTAGCAGTACGCGCGTACGCGATCTCTCATGTATACATTACATGTACAGCTTCAACGTGCTTTTACCGTAGCGACATAACGCAGTGCAGTGTGATTCCAGTGTACTTGTGTGAAATCTGGCAACTACAATACCGTGATGGCACCGTAGTCTGTACAGTGTACCACCTGATATCTACGCCTGCATTCATGGGAACTGCGCAGTGTGTGTGTGTGTGCGTGCCCGCCGCATGGCAGCAGGAAATTGTATCACAGAGTCATCTGCACATGTTTTTTTGTTTTTTCTTCGGCCAGTCGGCTACTATCATTTCGTCTTGGGGGTTAGACAAGGGGAAGTAGCCATGTAGGGGCGTGAGCCCGCCTTTCGGCACCGGGAGTTGCGGCTCGCTCGACTCAACTCTTCTGAGTGAAGAGGACCCACACCTTGATCTGGTGAGCTGCGTCGTGGGGATTTTGCAGTAAGAGTACGACTGCACATGTTCAAAGTGTTTGGAGTGTGCCCAGGCAGACTGGTAGCAGTCACAACCAACAATGGTAGTACACCCATAACCCCATAGATGTAATACATGCTAAGATTTCAAGATGTCCGGTCGATGCAGATATAAAAAAGTTATAAAACAAAAATAAAACTCTCCCGTCCGCCCTGATTTTTCGGAAAATTCTGACGATCAACAATGTTGTTTTTTTACTTGGCCTTATACAAGTAGTTCGGTGAATGTTCACAAGAATCCCAAGAATTTGGCCTGGAGGCTTTCACGGGAATCACCTCAAGAAATTGAAATGGCAAAGAATGCAATGGCCCAACACTTGGTCGAATAGAGACAGGCAGCAAAATAGCGAGGCTTGCATCAGATGCATAGGCAGGCAGGCCAAGGCGTCAACAACACCAGAAGGAAGACTTACAGCGTGGGGCTGAACACCCGCTGCAACTTGTTCATCCGCTGAACAAAACAACAGCAAGAAAGGAGAGAAGACAAGAAATATAATGGTCAGCACAAACACATGGCACAAAGAAGTAGAAAGAGCACATTCAAATTCGAAATAAGCACACTAGCACTGGTACTGGGAAAACAATCAGAAGGCACCGTATTCACAATAAGGAGAATACCGGTACTCTAGCAGCCACATGACAAAACGCACTATCAATCCTGGCCCCGCACCACAAATATTTCTGCATTGGCCAGATGATAGATGTAAAACTTAAAATAAAAGATGCAGCTGGAGGCTAGCAACGGTAAAAAAACTGTAGAACTGGCTTACTGAGTGGAAGAAGAGGCGGATCGAACCACTTCCATGTTAGCACACGAGCAATTTTCCCTTTCAATGGCTCTGCCTGCAAGGTAGAGGAAGAAATCAAAGCACAAGGCAATGTAACAGCAATGTTACATGCTTTATCGTGAGCATCAGCACAAGAGAAGTTAGGTAACATTGCGTAGCGTGTGAAGCAATGATAACATCAACACCATTCAACGGCACAACTATATGGTCATGTAAGCAAACTTAGCAAAGTGAAGGTACATGGTAACATGTGCTACGCTGAACAGTTACTCAGTCAAATATGATGGCACACAGATCAACCTGCTGTAGTCACTCTGCGCCATTGCAACACCTTGCATATTACAGACAGCAGCAGATGGCAAATCACAGTACAATGGTACAGGACTGGACTTGTGAATAGCTGTAAGTCACTGGAGTGGCACTAACTAACTTCTATCTTGCCATGCTGCCTAGGTACAAGTAATACATCATGCTAAGACTTTTTCATATCTGAAGAAATAGTCCACTGGATGCTACTCCAGATTTGTACAAGATCAATCATCAGGCAACTGATAGTACTCAACGAGGGAGAAAACACCGTGTGTGTCATTTACGTCACAATGGCTCTGCCTCAAGCACTGGATCATCAGTTTGCACCTGCCTTGTTCCACCACTACCGAGGCAGAATCACACTGCTAGCACTTACCAAGCAGCGAGGGCAGACCCACGTTTCTTCTGGTACTGATTTAAGCGGTGGGTTGAGACATGTCATGTGATACGTACATGGACAGTTGTCACAGCACAGCAAGTCACCGCCCTCGCGGCAAACCTTGCAAAATTCGTCGTAATCGTCTTCGGACTCCTCCACTTCAGCCTCAGCTTCGGAGGGCGAAGCGCTTTGATCGGTGCCTCCACGACTGCTCTCCACGCTGGTCTCTTTGATCTTCACTGCCTTGCGTTTGCTCTTGCGCTTCGGTGCTGGCGACTGTGTGTCCTGGTCACTCTCAGACTCGGAGCCCTACAGAAAGAGAGAGAGAGAGAGAGAGAGAGAGAGAGAGAGAGAGAGAGAGAGAGAGAGAGAGAGAGAGAGAGAGAGAGAGAGAGAGAGAGAGAGAGAGAGAGAGAGAGCAATCAACTCACGCAAGTAATCTTATGATGAAATATGCATTCAAACAGATAGCCAGTTTCCATGCATACATACACTTACACTTACACATACACAAAAACACAACGCCCACATTTGTGCTTGTTGAAAACACCACGAAATTGTCAAGTGGGTCTCGTCGAAAGAGGGGGAGAGATTCACAAGAAACACAATACACATCCGCACGCCACACACGTATGTACACCACACACAGAATAAGACAATGGAGTAAAACAGAACGTACCATAGACATTTCAGACTCAGATGCTTGTTTCGCTTTGGTGCGAGAACGTTCTTTCGCGCGTAGATCAGTGACGGCTTTCGGCTTTGGAAGGCGCTTCTTACGTTCCGGTGCCGAATAATCTTCCTCCTCGTAGAAGCGTTTGCGAGACGAGGCTTTCTCAAATTCAGCACCAATAGCAATGTCCCGGATTGCCTTCTCCCTGCTGGCTCTAGATGGTCGGGAACTGGCAGTGGATGACCGATCCAGTCTCTGAGCGGTAACCTGTCCCCATCTCTCTGCAACGGCGTCATCTAGCTGTCGGCCTTCCAGCCCGGCAACGGTCTTGGCCAGCCAGGGCTTGACAATCTAAAAGCAACAATCAGCAATCACACACTACTCAGTATAAAAGAATGGTAGCTCAGCATCACAGCAATATTGCAGCTCGAGAGAACGAATTACACAGCACCATTACCTGAAGGAGTGAATAGTGAGGTTCTGCCACACGGCACTCCGTACCAAACTCCGTGTCAACTGCAGTGAAGTTTGACATGGGTTTTTCGATTTTTCGCACCGGCTCTGCTGTTCGTAGCATGCTCGAACTCCCTGCCACATGTACTCTGTCCACTTAGTATTCACACGGAGACCAGTCCACGCTTCACACGGAAAACGGTATGAAAAATCCGTATGAAAATTGATCCCGTACCGCGGCGAGATTTCCATACATACTTTGGTACGTTTTACTGTGTGGCAGAACGTCACTAACGTCTGAAACTGAAGAAAAAGTTCCTGGATGAACACCACTACATTCGTACACTGTGTTTTGTGACTTTTGTCCACTCAATTGACAAACTGTAAAAAGTCAAATGCTTGCAGCAAGAAATGCTCGTATTTCAGAAAATGAGACTGGTTTGCCTAGTTCAAAGTTTGTAACCTGGCACCTGCACAACATCGCAAACATGTTTACAGCGCAAACATTACTTGGGGGGTTTACAGTAGATGGTGGCGTGTGTGAATAGCTGAATGCACTTCAATTTTCTATAATGAGCTCAAGCCATGCACAGTAGTCCTACCCAGCCCCCGGACACATCCCAGCCTACTCCCGAGATCGACACTGGATCTAGCCCCCGTACACATCCCAGTCTACTCCAGAGATTGACACTGGATCTAGCCCCCGGACACATCCCAGTCTACTCCAGAGATTGACACTGGATCTAGCCCCCGGACACATCCCACCCTACTTCAGAGATTGACACTGGATCTAGCCCCCGGACACATCCCACCCTACTTGCTAGGGTGGACACTGTACGTACGCGAGCAAAGTCTGGCTGGCTGGTGGCACGCAGAGCTTCATCCGGCAGTTCCCGATCGGCTGAGTCAGAGTCACTGGCTTCAGTGCCACCGTTTGTTGTAGCTCCCTTCGCAACAGCCGGTGACACTGAACGACTCCTTGCATGTCCACTGGCAGTAGTACCATTCGCACCTTTCGTGTCGACAGGGCTGTTGATACTCAGCGAATCAGGCTAAGGGGGGGGGGGGGGGGTGGCGTGTAAAACAAGAAGAAACAAAATCAATACAATTTACTTCCCAAGTAGATGTAACAATACTATCAAGCATGGATCAATTTCAACTCTCCGGCTCAGAGAGCTGTTTGGTGACAGTATTTAGTAGCCGTCAACACACATGAGACAGAAGCAGCAGCACAAGCAGCAGCAGCTTCTTTTGTACAGTTGCAAGGTCAAATGAATAAAAAGAAGTGAGCCTGAGAATAGGCCGTCGAAGTCTGACGTCACAGCTTCTTGACAACGCGTAGTTACTTGGCCAAGTGGTGACAAACAAAGTCGCGTCACCTGCACTTGTCGTGTTTCCAGTGGCAGCAGCATGCAGTGAACACAGCTACAGCATCATTTTGACTGAGGAGCGGGCGAGTGAGACTATTTTATTTCAAATAAACTGCTACAGTGTACTTGTCGCCGAGTTTGTAGTTTTCGCTTTGTAGAGAAGGAGAACCCGTAGCTGATGTTTTGCTTGGCCACTGCTGTGCCTGTACTGTCGTTCGGCTTTACATGTAGTCGCCGACCAAGAAGCAATGATGGGGGTCTCTGTTATTTCTATCGCAGCGATCGCTGATTTCTTTTAGTTCTGAGACCAACCAACTCTGGGCTCGTTTACTTGTCCAGCAGCAAGCGAAAATCAGAACTCCTATCTCTCAGGTGCTGGTGAACACTCAGCAGGAAACACGTCATGATGGCTTGAGAGCGAAGGAGAAACTTCTTGAAGTAAAACATAATTTGAACTTGCGATCTTGCACCAGCGCGCTCCAGCCAAAGTGATGTCGTGACCGTTGGAAACAGAACAAGTGCAGGTGACGCGACTTTTGTTTGTCACCACTTGGCCTTGTAACTACGTGTATCTACGAGTTTTCAGGCAGCGTGACGTAGGCACTTCGACAGCCCATATGCACATTGCAGGTGTTTCCTGTGTGCCGTGACCACAAGCCAAGCCATGGCCAACTGTACACGACGCATACATGAATACTAGCTGCGTACAACTCACATTACTCCCGGCTTCGTCGGATTCGCCATCGTTCTGGAATCAATACAAAGCAGATAGCATAGAAAAAAACATATATAAACACAGGATCCAAACAAAGGCAATGCACACAGTCAACCGTGAAGGCAGGTACTCAGATATCTACTGAAAGGTTTCAGACTTGGCCACAGTACGTATAACATACCTGCCAATCGTTACAAACCTGAGATCAGGATAATGACATACAGTACCTAGGTATCAAAATGTATACAAATGTAGCTGTGAGGCAAGCGATGTAGCTGGTGTATTTATTGAAGCCACAGGAGAACACAGAAATGCCCAGAGTGCATGAAAACCCAGGGTGCACTCACGTCAACATAGCGCTGTGGTCGCTTGCGTTTGCGAGAAACTGACTTGCCAGCTGTGTCCTGAGCCACAGAGTCTTTGTAACATACAGTGACACCGCATGATACACACACGCACACACACACACAGACAGACGCACAGACAGACGCACGCACATACACACACACACACACACACACACACACACACACATAAACGCATGCATGCACACACACACAGAAGCAACCTTGCTACTGGCCATCAACTAACATGACCTGATAGTGACAAAGCACCAGGCACTAGTGCATCAAGAGTACAGTCTAACTTTGCTGATCAGCAGAGCTACTAGAGGCATGCTGGCCTCCAGACTTTTAAACTATAGTTGTGCTACTGTCGTGCTTATAGAAATCTGGTCGGAGGTCAAGCGGCCCAGGGCGCTGGCCATGCAGCCATGAGTATGCATACGATCAACACGTGCACAGCATGCAACGTTCAGTACGCGCTGAGGGCGCCGGCCCCGGGTCATTCGACCGGATTTTCATGTCCACGACAGCAGGCGAAATCTGACAAAAAGTGCAGATTTGGCGCCCTGGAAGTGATACGACTGCTGCTGGACGTAAACATGTACCAACAACACACTGATGTGTACGGGGAATGGGTCCAGTGCGCCAGATGTGCACTTCGGATCAGATGTCACCTAGCGCAACTGCACTTTGAAGCAGCCAAGTTTGCAACGTAGGAGAACATCCAACAAGCACAAAGGCATACTTGTACACGCATAGCTGGTGATACTCCAACAGAACTGCGTGTAAGCAGTAGTGAAAGGCATCACCAGAGCATGCCATACACGTCACCACTCGAGTGTATGCAGTTGGGGTGGAGTGGCCATGCAAGTCCTGACTGCTACAAACAGTGCTGGTGAGTAACATAAGAACGCCAGCCCGCCGCCACAACCTGCATGGGCCTGCTAAATCCTCACTGTCATTGCCAAGACAGTCATTAATTTCATCTTGGTGCTTGGGTCAAATTAGGGGACTACTGTGAGAGGGTGAAATTGTTTGCGTTGCATTTTTCACCGTTTATGTGTGCGCAAATCAGCGCAAGGACAGACTAGACAGTGTAGATGTGAGCATGAACAAGAAGGGATACCACTGGTACATACAGTACGCAGTACTGGCGACAAGGGTAACACGTCGTGTAGCACCCAGCACAAAATAAAGACTACGATTCAGTATTCTTCACATGTTTGCAAGTGCAATACCGGCGCTGATTCAGTATTCTTCACATGTTTGCAAGTGCAATACCGGCGCTGATGCATGCCCTCGCGCTTGCACTCTTCTGACATGCATCAGCCAGTATTGCCCATGTACAGCTAACACACTGCCGTGCACCACACCCACCCACACACCCACACGCACGCACACACACACATATACATACACACACACACACACACACACACACACACACACAAACACACACACACACAGCACGCGCTGCACCAAGCACAACGTACAGCCTGCCAAGGATCATGATTGTACAGTGTACTAGTAACTATGTGCAACAGTACTGCAGAGACTCAGGGATTGGGGATGTGTTCGGTGTTACTGTAGCATAAAAAGAATAACGCTGCGTATGGACAGACAAATGCCTATGTGCACAAACGAGCAGGAGAACAGGGAGCTGGGAAATGGTCGTCTCAAACGGAGCGCTCTCGTTGCAACAGCATGCTGTTATTCGTCTACCTAGGACGGCTGACTTCCATTCGAACCATCAAAAAGTAGTCGCGTTTTCCCGCCTCCACAAACATCCGCGAGCGACGTTGACAAAGGAAATCTTTTTCGAACAACACTCGTGACTCGGGCCTGCTACTAATTACTTCAACGGCACAGCAACTGAGACTTGTTTCAGCATACCATCGACAAGTAGACATGAAATGGTGAGCGAACAGCGCTGGCCCAATCCTGACCCGGCGCTAGTATGTCAATAGTCAATACGCCATGTACGCACACAACACGTGATTGCACTGAAGCATCAAACAACTGGAAATCATGACAAAAGACTGAAAAGGATGATGCATGCATGGCAATGATACGAATGCATGTCTCACACTGCGCCGAGCGCCGCCAAAGATCAGATCGGCGCTCTTCTTTTTTTTCGAATGGTGATCTCTCAGAATCAAATCAAGAGTGGGATCATTCGCGAAAGCTACTTTGTGACATCGTGTGGAGGTCTCCAAATGCCTGAATTGGTGGTGGAACTGACCAATGCGGCACAGGAAGGCTACGGTGTGGCAACATCTCGCACACACAGGCAGCCAACACGACGCTCATATGAATCGCCTGACACCAGACATGAACAACAGCATTTTACAACCAGCGCGATACGCTGACCCACAAACAAAATTTCCAAAATATTTCGAGTCCATACAAAAAAGTTGGTGAAAGTGAAGATGCTAGTGGGGGAACACCGTTTTCGAGTTTACAGAATGAAGATAACTTGAAGACACGACTAATCAGCCAACCCACCTTCTTCTACGACGGAGTCTTTCTGCATGTTTGTGCCACCATCCACAGTCTACGATGTTCGTACAGCGTCCCGGCGATAATCGTCAGCTCGCCAAATAACTTAGATGGATCGAAACACCTGAACTGTGTAAATCTAACTTTCAAACTTTCCAAAACGACCTGGAAAGATGGCGGGCAAAAGAGACGAGAGACTTGAGGCACAAAGGTTCCCCAGAAACTCATTTACCCCATTGTAGAAATTGACCAATCAGCTGCCAGGGCGGGTGACACGTGACCCAAGAATGTGTACGGGTTATCCAAATACGTCAGCACGTGGGCGTGCATCACATGACACGTGGACCATTGTCCATTGCACCATAATAATGCCAAATTCAAATTCAAATAACTATGAAATTTGATCTAAAATTGAAACCACAATTGCACAGTTGAAGCAATTACTAGATATTGTGGACTTTTGAAAATGGAAACCAAAATGAAAACATCTTCAGATAGCCTAAACACTACTCAATTTTACACGCGACGTTAAAACCGTTGCAAATTCATATCGGCCGGAACAATTTGTAATGATGAGAGAGAATTCAAAATGCCGATTCGGTTTTAGTAATGGTCATGAGAAGTGTGGAAGTATTGACACCACTGTCCAACTGATAGCAAAAGGCCGATCGGTCAATTATGTGCACAGAAATGGGAAAGGCTATGATCAGCACAGGAAGATCTTCCACGAGTCGTCTGAACCGTATCCAGAGAAGAATGCACCGGCAAAAGTCGGCACAACATGCAATGGAACCGTGAAACTACGGTGGCAGCTGCAAATATGCCCAAATCAGTATAAGTTACAGACCACTGCAATACGAACAGGAGTGGAGACACGGCAGAACACACAAACAGAAATTGAGGAAGCTTAGCTGAAGCGGCTATGACATCTACCAGTTCTATAAATATAGCCGAGCAAGATCCAGGCTCTAACATAAAGTGCACACGCCGACCTATGGGAAATGCAACCAAAACAGTACTAGCATAACGGGAGAGGAAACGCCGAAGAAAAGGCTAAGCTCTAGACTAAAATGGGGCAAACATTCAAATTGGCAATGACTGCGGAAGGCGGAAGATAAGAAATCATCTACGATCGCACGTTGGACCCCAAGCAAGATTACAAGTGTGGAGATTATGCAAACATACAAGAACTAGGCTCATGAACATAATTGCAGGAACACTGCTATCAGCAACGTACTTCAAAAGAAGTACTTCGAAGTATCATAGAACACAATGATGGGAACAGGAACCAGATGATGAATTAATCTGCATGAACAAAAGGGCTTGCATTTCAACGGGGCCTATCTGCACAATGATGATACACTGCGTAGACGTGTAGGTATTGCTGTAGTACAAAAGCAGGCAGTGCTATTGATAACCTGCGAATACAGACCAGACCCGGTGATGGTGGTGGTGAAAGGAAGCTGGGAGTATAATAATTATAAATGTTCGAGGCAGTAGGAACGATACTGGGTATGGGACTATGGGTTGATGTGACCAGGAAGTCCAATGAGCATTGTGTGCGTGTGCGTGCGTGTGTGTGTGTGTGCGTGTGCGCGCGTGCGTGTGTATGTGTGTGCGTGTGCGTGCGTGTGTGCGCGTGTGCGTGCGTGTGTGTGTGTGTGTGTGTGTGTGTAGTGGCTGCAGACTGGACTGGTCACATTAACCACAGTGACCATGCAGTGCTTCAAGTATCACCAGCGTGACATCCATCACCAGCATGACATCCATCACCAGGCCTGAGTCATCCCGGCTCGGCAAACCATACTGTGCACGAAACGTGGAATAGAAAGGGATGCAGAGATCAGAAAACATAACACATCCAAACAAAATTCCAACCCCTATGTCAAGAATATTATATTATCGCATTTTACTACGAAATTCAACGCCAATAAAACTAATCATGGCAAAGCGCGGGGGAGAGGGGGGTGGCAACACGTACGAATGTGAAGCGCAATCAAAAGAGCACTGGCCCCTGTGTAGCCTGGTCAGCAAACCTCAGTGATTTGTTTTTGTTCTTGTACGTAATGCTGAATGAATAGAATTTAGACTGGATATGTGCACATGAAATACAGAGGCACGTTGTACATAATTACAGGAGACACTCTGACCATCCTGCACCAAAATCTGCGAATAACTTCGGCTACAACTGAGGAATCTGTGGGTGGTGCAAGTGGCAGTGGTTCGTTTCTGCAGTCCATTCTGATAGCTTGCATAGACCTCGGTCCTAGGACCGGTAGGACCTACCGGCACGACCATAATACACAAACATACTGCACGGCCTCTGTTCTAACATTGACCTAAAACCTGACCCTAAACTGTTGCTAAGGGGCGAGTCCAATTTTTTTAGAAGCGATCGGATAAGGCATATTACGAAACTCCATGGCAACAGTCCATGGTAGCCATGGAAACAGAGTATGGAATTTTGCATTCCACTGACTGCCATGGAAGGCTAAGAAAGACATTAGGTCCTCACCCCGATCGATGTGCCATGGTCAAAATTCACTTTGGACAGAGTTGCTAGCGCTCCGACAGGAACATGTACGGCCATTTTGACAATTGATAAGGCCACACGTTTTTATTTCTATGTTTCTCGTCACCTCAAAAACGTATGCCTCAACCAAGAGCAATTTAGCAGCACGATTTCTTGGGTCCTGCCAGCAAGACCACCCGTGGTCCTACCGGTAGGACGGCATGCAAGCTATCATCTTAAAAGGTCACCGGCAAGACTCTGTTTCTGTACGTCTTCATGCTGCCGTAACTACCACGTTACAACGTTTTTCATACACGAACAGCCACCACAAACATGCCCAAACTGGCCTGTGATCAATATGCTACAAGGGAAACAGTTCCCGACCAATCAGTAATGGAACAAGGGCTTGCGGTGGTGATTCAGAGTTTTCGTTCACAGACCCGGTTCACCATCAGACGACAGAAGTCCAAGTGCCAGCATGCACATGCTAGACAACTATGCAACAAGCTATCATTGAGAGCAGCGCTACTAGTATCTACCTGAATTCTACAGGGAATACGCACAACATACAATGCACAATCATGTACATAAGCTTCTGAGTTGCACAGTGGCATAGGATATTCCCAAGTGTATGTTACATCTTTTGTGTATGTTACAATGCTCCCTGACAGTGTGCGATGTACAACTGCTGGATTAGAAAATCGAATTATGTACAGTTTGAGTGATTTGCTTCAGAAAATCGCTGCAGTAGGCGGAATTCAAGTGCCGGATTAAAGCGTAGAAAATGAACTGAAAAAAAATCCGTTTTGCCAGAAAGTGTGCTGGTTTGCAAGGGTGCTGGATAAACAAGTGCCGGATTAGAGAGGGACGACTGTATGATATGTATGTAATACATTCCAATTCTGCAGGACACTCAACTGTCTTTTGTGGGCGTCTCAGGTATGAAAACTATAATATTACATATTACTTCTGAAGTATGTCCATGTACACATCTGGATAAGCAGAATGGGCTGGCCTGAGATCAGTGCAAGCCTGAGGTACGGGCTGGACTGTGCATGCTCGGTGCATGCTCGGTCCCAATACACAGGACTTAGGTGTGGTTGTACTAATAAAATATCACCTGAAGTGTAACTGGACTCGGATGTGGAGCCAAGAATTCATCAAGTTTCAAGTCTAATTGTAACAAAAGATTCAAGGGCGGTGATTTGTACTGGAGTTACAGTACAAACTAATGGCAGCAAGGGTGGTTTGTCAACTAGAAACTCTTCAAATTGGGTCTTTTCACGGAATGGATAAAGTGCTGACTTACACCAAATTAGCCTACAAAAATCCTCCAAAACACACTTGTAGCCTTCAGCACTGTCACAAGGTGTTACTTCTCTTTGGCTGTTTTATAAAGTCCATTTCTGTTGCATTGTTCATTAGTTGAATGATGGTTCCTGACGAGTGTTGAACGAAAGCTTGTTCGAATCTTTATCCATTGTTGTATTCACTATTGCATCTCCTTTCCTTTTTGTCATGGCACATGTTATCTATCGATTGACAGCATTTAAAATAAGGTATTCACACGTCCATCCACTGGCAACTGGTTCTCCTTATTGCCATTCTAAGATTGTTGTCTCCTCGCCGTTTGTTCAAAATAGGATTGGAAAGTATTTCCTCGGACACAAATATGCTAGGAAGAGGACAATCTTCAATCTCTTCACCAGCCACTTTTGATTAATTACCCCACAAGTATACTTCCTTGTCAGGTGGAATACCAGCAAAATGCAAAACCAAAATATATTGGCGTCATTCGTTTCGGGCCAGTCACCCATCACTTTGTATACCGGTACTTCAAGTACTAGTATGAGTAGCTGAGATGCTCTGCAAAAGGGCTGTCGGGTGACAAAACTACGCGTTCCATAAATGACACAAACAAGGCCGGTCCAGGAAGCTCGAGGTAGAGTGCTCATTGAATGTACGAATGTACAGAGCAGTATACACACACAACAGAGGCGAAAGGCTGTGTTAGCTGTAACTTAAAGTTTCACGCATCGGAGCGATCATCAGACAGCATTCACCATCGAATTCTCTACGAGCAGGCCTAGATATTTGATGCTAGAATGCCACGTCTTCACTTCGCACATATGCACTAACTTCCACACTAGCAACTCTGGATTTCATAACTTTTCTGACCACTCATTCACTGCAGTTGAGAAGCAAGTACTAGGTTACGGTTCTAAGTTTAGACCTACCTCATCACTGCCTTCTACTGACACTTTATTAAATGACATCACCATTTTTGAGAGAAGAATTCGTTGGTCCGACTTCTTCATGAATCGACCAGAACAGCCACTCTCATCTAAACTATTCATCCCAAAATTCCACCAGCCGTCAAATATCCAGCCACCCAAAGCATCCTCTGCGTCTGAATCGGCATTAGCGGAATTTAAAACTGAGCTCCTTAACAACGTTTCACAAAGCAGATGGTTGAAACGAAAGCCAAATGTTTCCTCATCAGAACGTAATGCTATCATCCAACTCAACCAGTATAACGATATTATCATCTGTGATGCAGATAAGAATCTGGGAACTGTTGTTCTTAATAAGTCTGATTACCTTTCAGAAGGCCACCGTCAGCTGAATGACACTAAGTTCTACCGTCTAGTTACCCACGTACCAGTAGGTATAAACGAACCCTTTACTCGTTTTGTACCAGAAGTTAATTTCCTGGAAGACGAACTTCTAGACATTTGCAATGATCATGATGACTTGCTCAATGTTAAGGACCGCTCTTGTATGTTTGCTGCTTTTCCGTTTAAACCCGCTAAGTTTTACCTTTTGCCTAAGCTACACAAGCCTCTAGGTCCGTGTGGGTTAAAGGGACGGCCTATTGTGTCGTGTATTAATTACTGCACATCTCCTGCCTCCCGTTTTGTTGACCACCATTTACGAATAGTTTTGCTCTCCCTAGCAGACACAACAATTCTTAAAGATACAACAATGCTTACAAATCGTTTAAAAACCTCTAGCTTTCCAAACAATGTCCGTATTCTCACGGCAGATGTGGAATCACTTTACACTAACATGAACTGGCATGACACTATAGCTGCAGTCGATTCCCTGTTAGTCAACCACCCACTTCGAAATCTCTTGTTAGATCTGTTAAAGTTTGTTCTAGAAAACAACTACTTCATTTTTGATAACATTCTATACCACCAAGAGTTCGGAATGGCCATGGGTACCCCAATGGCCGTAAATGTGGCCAACGCTTTCCTTTTCGTACATGAAATGAAGTCTATTACCACATTCAAGTCATCCATGCATTTATTCAATAGATTCATTGATGATCTTATCTTAGTGATCGAAGAATCTGCTAATTTAGCAGCTTTGCAAGCGTCTCTCTACAGTGAGCTTCCAAGTATCAAATTAAATTGGACATTGCCCTCGGACTCTTGCATCTTCCTGGATCTGGACATTTTCAAAACATCTAACAATGATCACTGTGTGTTTGAGTTTCGTACATTCCAGAAACCTCGCAACGCATACCTTTACATACCATTTATCTCCGATCACCCAAGAGCTAATCTGCGTGCTTTCATCAAGGCTGAGCTGCTGCGTTACAACAGAACAAACTCAAGACTTGCTGACATTCAACATGTAAGATCTTTGTTCTGGAAACGTTTACGCAGAAGAGGTTATCCTCCGCAATTTCTGGCTAGCTCATTCACTGATGTTTTGCCTACTGTAATGAATCATGCTATAGAAAGCAAAACTCCCAAGCCTAAATCTGATACTATTGTATTTACTACTCAGTACCATCCGCATTTCATTACTAATGATTACAAAGCTCTCATTAAACAATCCTTTATGAAAGACGGGAAAATCTTTTTCAGGAGAACTAAGCAATTGTTCTATTAATCTTGTACAATTTAGATTCCTCTACTACATGTAGTACTAAGCTTACATTCTATTGTACAAATCACTGACACTGGCAGAGCACAGCGCTCTGCGTTTAGGTGGGAACCAGAAATTTCTGGTTCCCACCTAAACTTTCCCGCCCATTTTTTCCCGCTCTCTTTTGATTCTGCATGATCTTGACTCTGTACAAACATTCTGGTACTATGACCGCATATTTTGACCCCCAGTCTTACGGTTTAGTACATTAGTTCAACTTGTACAACTTTTTTGACATTTGTTACACTTGTCTGCAACTCAAGTTATTGCGCCTTTAAACTTGCTTGATAGCGCATTTACCGCCCAAGCACCCATCTGGCACATAGAATCAAGCCCTATATAACTACTAGTCTTTATTCATATCATTTCATCCTTGTCTCTGACGAAGCCTTACAGGCAGAAACGCGTAAGATTAATGGATCATAACTATATATAAAGACTTGACCTTGCTGTGTGTGTGTGTGCTGTGTCGGAGGACCTTACATCCTACCACACCAGAATGCCACGTCTTCACTTCGCACATATGCACTAACTTCCACACTAGCATCAAATATCTAGGCCTGCTCGTAGAGAATTCGATAGTGAATGCTGCTGTCTGATGATCGCTCCGATGCGTGAAACTTTTAGTTACAGCTAACACAGCCTTTCGCCTCTGTTGTGTGTGTTCCATAAATGATGCAGTCGGGTGAGTTCATAAATTTCTTTTGAACGAGAAACTAAGGCCGTAAGGGGTCGTCGCAAACGTTTTGTTGTCGTCCCTGAAACGAACATCGTTCATTTCACACTCGCCCCCCTCCCCCCTTCCGAAATGAACGCAGCTTGCCCTGAAGCATGTACAGCATTGGTTGCCTTGTGATTCGGGCTCACACAAACTAATATAAACCCAAGTTCATACAACATGTGAATGGCTGAATGTAGCCTTTGATTACAACTTACAATATTTCAGTATTTCGTGACGTGTTTGTCTTGTGACATAACCTTCAAGGCTTCATAGCGAACGGACGCCGTACTGTTCCTCCATTGACTGTCTAAGCTGCAGACTAGACATCACCGTCACATTGTCATTAGCTCACCAGGCTGAGCCGGTCACCATGCGGGTCACAGCCACACGGCTCACACTGGAGTCCCAGTCGAGTCTGCACATCCATGATGTACTATTACTACTATACCATTACTAGTATTAGTAATCCTCACTCGTTGTATGCTGAGTGCTGCCTGTCCATATCACCATCCGCTGATCACCGTGATGACCACTGCGTCCGTCCAGTACCACTGCAGCCAAGTCACTTTCTCATCTCAAACGACGTACAGTCGCTAGCTGGCCATGCTTTTCTTCATAGCTCTTCTTGTTCGTCCATTCCACAGAGCGTCTCATACTCTTTCCTGGAAAAGGAATTTCGCCATTTGGGATCATCATTCTACAGTAACTGCAGTAGAAAATAGAGACATGAATCCTCAGCTGGACCATGGCACTCACGCCAGCCAAGCCAAAGTCAAAGAAGTACAGTCACAGGCCAGGCCGCAGATCTCCAATCGTTAGCCGGCTAGCCAGATAGCACAAAAATACGCTATTTTGCCTACACATACACCAGGAAAAGTACGGAGGACTAACCTGCGCTGGCCTGGAAAGGACTGGACGACCAGTAGACCATGGTAGACTCTACGTCATTGTAGCAGTAGATCTACTAGTAGATCTACTACTGCCACTGCCGCACTGGCAGTAGACATGGGTAGATCGCGTAGATCTATAGCAGTACGAGTACGAGGCGATCCGTCCGGCGCTGTCCACACGCGCGTAGACCATGGTAGACCTACGCCGCGCCGAGTCATGTCGCTGTCATTGCGTATAATACTATTGCATTACTATTGGCTACAATGACTATGTTACAGCATGTACAGACCGCTTCATGAAGTGCGGGAGGGGGGGGGGGGGATCGGAAGTGAGTGCACATAAAAACATGTCCATGACACGGACCATGTCGTAGATCTACCAGGCGGACCAGGCATCATGACTTATCTTTGTACATCTATCCAGGCATCATGACTTTGCACATCCATCGCTAACGCGTTATGCTGCTTCCTTACGCGACCTGTTTTATTATTATTATTATGACACCATGTACAAATCAATGTCGACCATGCATGGCATGGCACAGCCACAGCTACACACGCACCCACACACCATACACACACACACACACACACACACACACACACACACACACACACACACACACACACACACACACACACACACACACAATACACACACACACGCACCACACACATACACACACACACACACACACACGTACAGGCAGAAAGGGCCAGGGCCGACAGTCTTTGAAGTATGATCGACAGAGTACAGAGTACAGTCTGCGGCAGAGGTGCGACTCTATGTGCATGTGCATGTGACTGACCTAAGTCACAGTAAGTCACAGTAAGTCAGTGGCTTTATGTTACTTGCTATGACTTGCTTGTGTTAGCCTAAATCGGTTACTTACAGGGTATGTAACTTATATTTTAAACCACACCAGAACAGGTATTCTTTCAGGACCCTGCCAACAATCAGTATAGTTGCGTCAAGCTATGTTCGATTGGTTCGGCCAAGAATGCCCCACACGTACACCCTGTACTGGCTGAAGCCTAGTAGAAGTTGGCTCCCTACTGCCTAGCTTTAAAGCCAGTATGGCTGTGGATGCGGCATCAGAATGGGCGGCCTCTCCCGGCCATAACGTGCTATATTCTATAAACTGATCATGTGGACACATGCGTCACACGGCGCGGTACTATTCTTTTTAAAGTCAACGTCATTGCACTACAATCATGTATAATGATGACATGGCTATGGCTATGACTCTGGCAATGCTCCACAGACTGGCTCAGCAGCCAGGATATCTGGCAGTCTGGCACAGCCAATGGAGGAGCGCTGTATAAGCGGCATACCTACATCATGATGTCGGTATACATGTACATGTACCCAGTGTTGCAGGTGTGATCTATACATGACTGCAGAAACAGCGGCGGCGGCTGCAATGCAGCAGATGATAGCCATGCACTTAGCTCGCATTGTGAAAGGGCAACAGGCATTGGAGGGGAACTGTAATGCAAACTGATCACTACTGTTGTAGTCTCAAAAACCGTATCTTCAGACTACCATAGAGCAAGTCAGTCATGTGACAAGTGCAAGGTCAAAGTCATGCATATTCCGGACATAAATCTCACATGAGCCCTGAGCTTATGGCTGAGGAGGTGCAACTTCTTCGATCATGATTCTCGATGCAGATGCAAAGCCTGAGAAGGCATCGGCCTCTCCGAATCCGGGACAATTGCCCACATTCAGGGAAACGCGAACCGGGCCGGCGCCAATACCGCCACAATACCCTTCAATGTGACGTGGTCTCAGCGGATTGGAATTGTCAGGTCCAATAACGTACATGGCAGCATCAATAGGCGTGGGAGATGAGCACTCAGAGCCGTTGAAAGTCAAGAACCAGCGACGACAACAGTTGCTGCAGCCACCAACGCGCAGGTTGCCACCAAAGGCCACCCTCAGGTGTGTGTCACGACTGGTCTTTGAAAACTGGCATGACTGCACATGTGCATGGGTAAATAACACACACACATACACACATACACACACACACACACACACACACACACACACACACACACACACACACACACACACATACACACACACACACACACACACACAAATAACAAACAAGGAAAATCAAAACTTTCAGCCAGGAACTCCCTTTGATTTAGACTACAGTGACATTGTGCCAAGCTGGAAGCAAAGATTTAGGGCGCGTTCGAATTGTCACTCTTTGACTTTTCGAGGAGTTTCGTTTTTCTGAAGAGATGGCCTTATTGGCCTCTTCAGAAAAACAAAACTCCTCGAACTCCACAAACTCATCCGATGGGAGAGGTGGATTATCACCATTAGTTCCGAAGAGTTTGGAATAGCTACGTCACGTAGTATGTGGAGATGGTCAAACTGATCGGATGTCATCATCGCCATGACAATTCCACTGAAAAAATCTAACAATGATAGAAACCGTTCTAATGGGACACTTCAACTAATCTCTTTTAAAAATTTGTTCGAACAGTTGATGAAGACAATTCGAACGCCCCCTTAGGTTGCGTTTGGTTGGGCATTTTCAGAATGTAAATGAGAACCATTCTGGAATGGGAATCGGCAAGAATCACCTGACCAAACTAACGCGCCAGAATCAATTAGGAATCACTTGACATAGCAATTCCATGATGTCGTTGTGGAACGGCGGCTGTCTTTTCTTTTACCCGACTCTAGTTTCCTTGAGAGAGTCAAGGTACTTCTGAGTGCATGATTTGAGGCACTTCAACCTGTTGCTACATTGTTTGGCTCATCGAAGCCATTATCATTTTTGATTCCGGAATGAGAATGCTCATTCCAGCATGTGAGGTGGAATGATCATTCTCCAAAAAGAATCATTCTCAGCGATTCCCATTCTGGAATCATGTGGAATGTGACCAACCTAACGCAATTTTTTGACCAACCAAACGGGCGAGAATGATTCCGAGTGATTCCAAGTGGTTCCCATTTGGGAATGTGACCAACCAAACGTAACCTAAGAAGCACCATTTTTCCATGCAACACTGTGTGTACAGTGACTGTGTACCTGTGCACAATGTGCATGTACAAGTACAGGAACGAAGACGCTGGTGTCGTGTCCCTGCCCTTTTGGAGGGCATGTGCCCCTTTTGGCACGTGTGTGCTGGGTACGCGTGGTCGGTGTGCGGACTGCGCAGGTTGCGCATGTCTACATATTATTGTACGCATTCTTGTCGTTTGTGGCCTTCTTCTTGAGACTCTCTTTGGAGCAACAACAATAATCAGTTCTGTTCTCTGAGTGTGGCGTCCGTGTGATATGAGATATCGAGAGTAATCGGAAGGGCTATCGTGCGAGGCAATAAAAACCCCGACGACACTGGAATCGTGAAAATAAAAAATAAAAACATCGCTAGCCTGGAGTGGAGACCCCTGGAGACCCCTGGAGACACCCTCTTGCCTGCATGTATTCCACGGGGATTTCCACCTGATGAGAAAGGCAAAAAAAGTATCTGTACTAATGGAAGGGCTTTGAGGAAGTCGATTGTGAGGAGCTTGAAGCTTGTTCTTTCCGATTTAAAAGAGCATGTATACCCATAAACAATGTAGTTATAGAGGCATTCAGTGCAAGACAAGAGGCACACAGGACACGGGTATAATAGAATGATACCCCCCCCCCCCCGACAAACTAGCCTTGCTGGCCCTTGTTGCAGTGTTCTGTGTAGAATAGCATGACACAATGCAGAGATATTAAATGGCTGCAACGGAACAGCGTTCTTTTTATTTAGTGGTGTATTACCCTTACCTTTATGACTCCAGTGTTAATATTGCTTTCTTCCGTCCAAGCACATTGCTTCCAGAGTGCTTGTGGATGAGCAGCAGTATCACCGGGCTCTCCCTTCGGGCCGTACGGGCCTTGAGCTCCAGGCATGCCGGGCCGACCGGGCATCCCGAAATCACCTTGATCACCCTTCATGCCTTCTGGACCCGCTGGTCCCATGGGTCCGCTGTCACCCTTCATTCCAGGAAGACCAGGATCTCCTTTTGCTCCCATTTCACCCATTACACCTTTTGGCCCTTGGGGACCATGCTTGCCGTTGCGGCCATTCCTTCCTGGCAATCCGTTCTTTCCTGGGACACCTGGCATGCCACCGCCAACATTGAATGGGTTCTACATAGCATGCAGATCAGGATAACGTTACATAGCCACACAGATATATGTACATATCAGCTACACCTGATTGAGTTATAAGTCTGAGTGAATCCAGAGTGCTCAATCACTTCAGTGTATGGCAGAGCTTCGGCACATAGGCAACACAGCAGCATACAAGGACGGCTTTTCCGCAGCTACTGGCTGGCTGCATGAAGCTGAATCAGAGTTGTGAGAAGCTGTTCGGTTTGTCTACTGTTGGCTGTAAGTGTTCTACTAATCTATGTGCACCTACAGCTGCATGTTTGTCCAGCACTATGCAAGCCTATGCATGCATGCAGTTTCCTAGACCACTCAGGCTCTTGTACTGCACATCTGAGTCACTAGTCTATACGACGCACAAATACTACAGTACGCTGAGCCGTAGTACACATCATACCGAATCAGCCCACTGCCTGGACGTAACAACTGTGTAAGGTGTTGTGGGCACAGCAGCCTGCATTGTTGTAGAGGCTCTGCATGTTCTTATCCATCCACATGAACATTTGCGATTCAACTACGAAGTAGATACTTGCACTATGATTATGCAGGCCCATAGATACATAATAATTATGGGATTCAGCAGCAGTATGGCATAAGTGAAGTACATGGCACAAGTGCAGTGCTGTACATGAATAATGTATATACAACCCAACAGTACGCTTGTACGTGAAATATAAACCGACATACAAACCGAGGCGAAGCCGAGGTTTGTATGATGGTTTATATTTCACGTACAAGCGTACTAGTGGGATGTATTATACTTATGCTGACCTTCATACATTCTCAATCTCTAAAAAGGAGTTTGTATGGTGGTGGTCTATATGGGGTTTGTATGAGGTTTATATGCCCAGTATAAACCGCCAGCATGATGGGCAAGTTGACTGGAAGTTTGTACGAAAGGTCAGCATAAGGTACAAGTACAAGTATGCCGTAGAAGTGTTGGAAACAGTTCTCATCACTTGGAACTGACATGGCGGCGAATAATCATACAGTTCTGCTGCCACGAGCTACCCGGCTACGCCATGCTGGTGAAATACGTCACTTGAATGAAATCATTGCTAAAATTCCCATCTCTGTGGACCATAAATTATCCAGGGTTCTAGCAAAGCGGGGGGGGGGGGGGGGGGCAGCGCCCCCTACTCTGAGTGATTGAGCCCCTCCCCCCCCCCCCCCTCACTCATTTGTCAATTTTTGAGATTTTTCAGGCAATTCAAACGAAAATGCAGTCTGGGTGAAGTCGAGGGTTCGATCCTGTACGTTGCATTTTGCATAGCGAGACAATTATCTTGCAAAAGGGAAAAAATAGGTTACATATAACTGTTACCGGGGGTAACCCTGCCCCCCCCCCCAACTATTTTCTGACCTGGCTAGAACCTTGATATCCATGACTGATGGACTTTGGCCGATGGACAATGTGCAGCTCTGTCTGTCAGGAGTCAGCCCATATTAATGTAGCAGGAGCAAAACGGGTTTATCTTCTTGGCGTTTTGACAGCAAACACTATCAATAATCACTCAAGCAAAGGCCTACGTTCCCACAAGTCTACAGACAGTCATGTAAGGTAACATTGTTACCATGGTTACTGACTGTACATCTACGCAACAGACCACTCCTCGACTGACCTACGATGAGTGTGTGCTGCTCATAAACCGGAACATAGCATTTACTATAATTAATTTTAGTAACCATATCCATGGTTTACTCACCACGTTGCCGACTTCCAAGCCCTTGATGTTGCCGAACATCTCCCGAATATACGGAGGGAGGTCGTCGGTGACCGGAGCGACATTCTCGGTCTCAATGACGTTGTTCCGATCCTGTCCAGAGCAAGTAGAAAGGTAGCTGCCAAGAAGGCAAGCGACTAGCACGGAGTACCTCATTTTGCCTGGATCAGGTCGCTGAGAACTGCTGGATTTCTCGACTTGTGCGCAAGGAAGAAATCCTGGAACTCAGCAGCTTCTCGCTTGCTCATCTCGCTTATATCGGAGTGTCTCTCCGCTATGCTTGCGATAGGTGGAATGTGCATGCTGGCAGCAAAAACTAACCGCGCAGAGACACGTCTCGAGCTTGGAAGATCAGCACTCGATGCTGCTGCTGGTGGTGCTACAGACAGCGAGTGAGTCAAGTCCCTAGCTGGCTGCCTGTTTGTAATCTGCCCGGCCGGGTCATTGTCCTGATATGTCCGTACTTTTTATCGAGCCTTGGGCGAAAGCAGAGCAAGTCACTGGAGAGGATCAGTGCTGCATCAGCGAGCAGATTATGGAAAGGTTTTGCTCCTTGGGCTTGACAGTGACACTGATTACCGTCTCCAGTGTCCTTCATCTGTCACAAGCGTCAGCGCAATCTGCAAATTGGCACATGGCGGACTCGCACGAAGCAGCCAGAAGCGCTGAAATCTGCTACAAGGTGCAAAACCTTGCGAGCAACTCTGCAGACCACAGGACGCTAGCGCGCTGGGGATTTCCAGAAACAGAGTAATAGCCTGCTCCTGGCCAAAAACAACATGCAGCTGTGGGGTGACCTGTTGGACGAGAGATCTGAGTGGAGAGAATCAGATCGACTTTGCCATTCTTCAATCTTGACATGATAATATGACAGACAACATGGCAATGAAGCATTCCATTGCGGACAGATGATCAATCAGGCTACTCCACCATGTCTACACTATACGTGATGATGGCCAATGTCATACAGTCATCAAGTCATTGGGGATTATCCAGCTGTGGCGTGAGATGAATCACTCCTCCACATAGAACATTGAACTGTCAGTTGACTTGTCAAGGAGTGCAGGATGCAAGAAAGTAGGCCAGGCCAAACTTTGGAGCAGGTCAGTGCTTACATAGTCATTGTGCCCCGCTCCAGAGCTATCATCTGATCATTGTGGTTGTCCAGTCCTTTCATCACTCATGTGCCAGTCCATCTTCTGTCCTTCTACAGCTGTATCTGGTTGTTGCACTACTGTGTTGTTATACACTGACTGTGAGTGTATGTGTGTGTGCGGTATGTGTGTGTAAATCTATAGGTGCATATAAGTGCATTTGCAGATTTGCGTGCTTCTCTTGCTACGGGCGTATACATGGTGTGTGTGGTACATGGTGTGTGTGTGTGTGTGTGTGTGTGTGTGTGTGTGTGTGTGGCCAGCTAGTTCGGTTGGTGGGTGCACTTATGCCAGATAGTGTTGGGCCTGTTGCCAATGGGCTCGGCTGCTTCAAGGTGTATTGTTGTACCTACCACCTTTGTTGGTTTCAGGGTTCATATACTTTCTGTTTGAAGTATACATACCTGTTAACCATGGACTGCTTCCGGCTAGATTAACTCTTGTGTAATCAATGGTGCTAGTGAAGCTTATATCAAATCCACTCTGATTTAGCCACCCACACTAGTACCAAGTATTACCTTCACTGGGGGCAGGGGTACCTGCAGTTGGATCCCGGGACGGATACCCTGATGCCGTCAATCCTTTTTCTGCACCTTGTCCTCACCCACTTACTGAGGTGTGGTGAGCCCATAAGTGGGATCATTTCAAGTCCACCCTAGTTTGGGGATTTCAGGGGGTGTCGGCCGTTGGGTGGTTCAATGGCCAATTGAGTCATCTTTCCAAGATTCCTTTTGAGTCTCTCTCCCCTCTCCGGGGAGACCCACGTGACCAGTTTTGGCAGTGAGCAAGTACAAGTACAAGTGTGTGTGTGTGTGTGTGTGTGTGTGTGTGTGTGTGTGTGTCTGAGGTCTGAGGTGTGTGTGTGTGTGTGTGCCCTGTTGGAAGGCTACCTTCTTGCCAAAGCATTTGGAAGTTGGACTAGTGTCGGCTCCACAATCCAGTGTGTCGTTACTATAATAGCTTTCATGGCTGAGGTTGTTGGTATGTCTGTTGGCTCTGGGTTCCCAGTACTCAGTAGCCGAGGCTGGTTGGTAACTAAAGTAACTCCAATTTCACTTCAAGGTACCAGTGCATCTAGTGTCTGCTTCTATCAAAGCAGCGTGCTGTCTATACTGGTCACCCCGGGCCAGCAAGTGTAGGGTGTGCATAGGTAACTGTCTTGGCCGTTTTATGCCGATGTACTCCGTGTGGTGTAGACCAGGTGTGCATTGGTGGTCGATTCACATGGCTTTGCAAGTTGTGTGGATTAGACAGTTATCTGGCGCAAGTCTTGATATGTCTCAATCAGATCTTGTTCGCTATCGTTGCTATAAGAGAAAATCTGTGGTTGCACATCCAGTGCATTTGCAGATTTGCGTGCTTCTCTTGCGACGGGCGTATACATGGTACATGGTGTGTGTGTGTGTGTGTGTGTGTGTGTGGTGTGTGTGTGTGGTGTGTGTGTGTGTGTGTGTGTGTGTGTGTGTGAGAGAAAGAGAAAATCAGTTCATGCACTCCCAGCGCACTTGAAGGTGTGTGTGTGTGCGTGTGCGTGTGTGTGTGCGTGTGCGTGTGTGTGTGTGTGTGTGTGTGTGTGTGTGTGTGTGTGTGTGTGTGTGTGTGTGTGTGTGTGTGTGTGTGCTCCCCTTGCGACGGGTCCCGGACATGTACACCACGGTACAGAGTAAATGACGTCATTTGTGGTGTGCATGCGTGAATTTTAAATTCCCAGGTTTTTACTGTGCTGTGAAACTGTATTTGTGAGCCAGGCATACACGACTGCACATTCTGTCACCACAGAAGAAAGTGGACAAATTCCTCGAATTATGCACATAAGTATGCGGGCAAAAACAGGTCATTATTTTGATTTACGCAGCATGATTGGTAATTTAAAAAAAGGTTTAGCTGTTTTAAAAAAGCAGTTATGCTGTCTCTATGCAAGGAGTATCTGCCATAGGTACAACTTTAGTGTACTTCAAGTACAAGGATTATTGTATATTCTCATGCATTAGTATTTACACTACAACTTTGTCATACATACATGTACGTACTCATGGAAAGCTACGACTTTCCTGTCAATTCTTTGTACATGTGATCCCAGAGCTAGAACAAAGTACAACTTTTTGGGGCACACGTGCAGCTTCGTAGTATATTTTCACAGTCCTATACTTCTTCTTGAACATGTACATCGTCTTGAAGTTCTCATGGATTACGCGGGTTTTGTCATGGTAGACTTGCTCGAAAAAACGGATGGAAACCTAATAACACACAAAATGGTGCGTCTACGTACTCGTGTGTATCCCGCCGGGACAGTACAGCACAATGGCGAATGTCCCCATAATACATATTTTCAAGACGCAAGAGTACAATGATCCTGACTCGACTGGCCCTGATGCTACATTGCCATATTAGTCATGCATACACTTGTAGGACATGATGCGTGTAGCCCGCGGGCTGTGTAGGGATTAGAGTCGCAAACTCAACTGTCCAACAACAATGGTGTGCCTCTCATTTCCATACTTCATGCAAATATTATAGTTATTATAGGAAGTTGCACAACTACTGTCTGGAAGTATTGACTGGCAACCACAAATGTTATACCTACACGTACATGAATCACTTGCTTCTGCCAGTCACTGGTGACCAGGCCGGTGTAGGTGACAGTGCCATCTTGCTAGCCAGGTCTTTCAACCCGCTGTTAAACAGTCACACAGTGTACAACCAGTCTCTCTACAGTTACCCCCCCCCCCCCCCCGGGCATAATCCCGTTCACAACCCCCGGGCATAATCCCGTTCACAACCCCCGGGCATAATCCCGTTCACAACCCCCGGGCATAATCCCGTTCAGTCAGGTAACTGGTTGATGCTGCACCAGAACACCCTGCATGCTAGCTAGGACATTCCCAAACAGCGACTGGTCAAACCCTGTGCATGGTGACGCCAGGCTCAGTGCCACGGATGGGCAAGCCAGCCTGGTGACATGTGCACCATCGACTCTACATAAATGTGGTTACCCAGGCCCTTGACACCAGCCTTGATACTATTGATAGCATGCCCCTACTGGTCAGCAGTTTGTTCACTGCGGGTGACAACAGTATAGCTATTAGCACAGCATCAATCAATCAGGATTGACGGTTGGGAAGATTAGCCCTGGAGCAGTAGAGAGTTCAGCCACAGCAGGATAAGGCCGGATTGGGGTTTTAGTTCAACTGGAGCTTACCTGGACTTCTGCCATACAGCCTGACAGACACTGAGTGGTATATGTTGCGTTACTGCAACAGCACTAAGGGTAAATGCCCATGCACACTCTCTCAGTCCAACACAACCATCACACTCCGGTAGGAATTACAAACTACACTTGATGAAGACAGAAGGAGAAGTGGAGAACACGGGGAACAGAGTAGGCATGTAAACAGCACAGGCACGCAACAGTTACCGCTGGTGCATGTGCGTACGCGAAGGTGTGAAATAGGAAGCGGGGTCAAATTACATATGGATGCACCATGCCAAATATATAGGCACAGGTAGGTGACTGTACATCTCCCCCCGAAAAAAATGCGAACGGAGGGACACGAGAAAGTGTGGAGCAAAGGAGAGAGGAAAAGGAGCGATAGCAGTTCTGGAGCGGGTACCAACGTGAGCATTACTCAGAATGATAGAGAGAAAAAAAACATGAAAGGAACACAGTCATAGTTCAACTGGAACACATGGAGTAAACAGTGTTACTGTGTTCAGGTATTGGCAGCATAGCGTTGCGGCGCATGGCGAACACGGCTGGATGGTGGTCTGCGACCGGGTGGCAGAGGCTTAGCAACTCGAGGAGACTGCGGCACAGGCAGAAGAGGCGGCAGAGTAGAGTTAGCTGGTGGTTGCAGGGCAACACGGACGGGAGCAGGAACACCGTAGTCAACCTCGTACATGGGCTCAATGGAGGAGGATGAGCTGGAGGGAACAGGGCGTTTGGCTGACGCGGATGGCGTCGATGGCAACGCACGCATGTGGCGACGATTTCGGCGGACAGATGACCCAGGAGTGAGGTCGATCGTGTAAGAGCGTTCGGACAGGCGGTTCTGGACGTGTCCTGTTTTGTCCATATCGGGGACATACACAGGAGCACCAGGGGCGAGAACAGGCAGCAGTCGAGCACGGTGGCGTTGATTGTAGCGATCAGCCTGCCGAGACCTGGAAGATGCTTCCTTGTCGGCAAGGGCGGTCAAATCAGGCCACGCTGGAGCAGGGAGGGGTCCTGGTAGCCGGGAGCGGATTTGGCGGCCGAACAACAGCTGTGACGGTGAATAACCGTTGGCCAATGGCGTAGACCGGTAGGCCAAGAGAGCGGAAGGCAAGTCATCATTCTTGAGGATGAGCTGCTTGGCTGTCTGAACGGCACGTTCTGCAGCGCCGTTGCTTTGGGCGAAGCGAGGACTTGACGTGCGATGGGCAAACCCAAGCTCGGCAGCAAATGCACGGAAGCTGGCACTAGCAAATTGTGGACCGTTATCAGACACTAGCGTGTGTGGAATACCATGGGTAGAAAACACGGAGTGGAGACAGGCAATCACAGCGGCAGACGTAGTAGTGGTAAGTTGTTTGACTTCGATGTAGCGCGAGAAATAGTCGACAACAAGAAGGTAAGTGGATCCTTTGGCTGCACACAGATCACACGCGATCTTTGACCATGGAAGAGATGGGAACTCGGACGAGATGAGCGGCTCGGCTGGGTTAGGACGGGCCTTGGCACAGGTGGCACAAGACATCACATACGACTCAATGTCCGTAGACATACCAGGCCACCACATCACAGCACGCGCACGAGCACGACACTTACCAATGCCTTGGTGACCCTCGTGAGCACTGGCAAGGGTGGCGTTGCGCTGGGATGCAGGGATGATGACACGTTGGCCACGGAATATGAGACCATCAGCAGTTGAGAGCTCATCGCGAACAGCGAAGTACGGGCGGAGGCTAGCGGGGACCGAGGTGGGCTTGGCTGGCCACCCGTTGAGGATGAGGGCACGGAGGCGACACATGTCGGCATCAGCGTTGGTCGCGTTCCGAACGTCGACCAAGAGCGGGTCGGTGGAGCAATGCGATGTGACGGCAGACACATGCAGCTGTACTTCATCAGCAAGATCACTAGTAGGCGAGGACTCTTGCGGAGCACGGGATAGGGTGTCGGCAATGACGAGTGATTTGCCAGGCACGTGGATAGCGGTTGGGTTGTACCTCATCAGCCGCATCAGGAGTCTCTGGCATCGCAGAGGAGAGCGGGCGAGATCAGCGGAGTTGATGAGAGGCACGAGAGGCTTGTGGTCAGTCTCGACTGTGAACTGAGGACCGCCGTAGATGTAGTGGTGGAAATGCTCGCATGCCCAAACGATGGCGAGACACTCTTTCTCAATCTGGGCATAGCGCTGCTCAGTAGGTGATAGAGAGCGGGACGCATAGGCAACAGGGCGCCAGCGGGAGCCATCAGGCTGCAGGAGGACAGCACCCAGTCCGTAGCTACTGGCATCAGCACTAATACGGACGGGCTGGTCGGGCGAGAACAGTGCCAAGCAGGGAGCAGTAGTAGCGAGTTCCTTGAGGCGACAGAAGGCAGTTTCTTGCTGGGTGTCCCACTGCCAGGCGGTGTCGGCCTTCAGTAGAGCACGGAGCGGGGCACTGACATTGGCCATATCTGGCACAAACTTCGACAGAAACGTGAACATACCCATAGCACGGCGTAACTCAGGCACATTGGTCGGTGACTTCAGAGCTTGGATGGCAGACACCTTGGCTGGGTCTGGGCGGACACCGTCAGCACCGATGAGGTGACCCAGGAACGTCAGGGACTTCATACGGAGGCGACTCTTGGCGGGGTTGAGGAGTACGCCTGCAGAAGCGAGAGCTGCGTGGACAGCAGTGAGGGCAGCATCGTGCTCAGCTAGAGTGGCACCGAACACGAGGATGTCATCCATGAAGACGACCACGTTGGGAATGTGCCCAACGATTTCCAGTAGGCGACGCTGGAAAACCTCTGGCGCACTGGTGATACCAAAGGGTAGACGGTTGAAGTGAAACCGGCCAAACGGTGTCATGAACGTAGTGAGTGACGCACTGTCGTCAGCAAGTGGCACTTGCCAGAACCCAGACGCCGTGTCAAGCGACGAGAAGACCTTGGCTCCGGACAGCTTGCCCAGGGTGTCTTCGATGGTCGGCAGAGTGAAGTGTGAACGCTTCACGGACTGGTTCAGGCGTTTGAGATCCACGCAGATGCGGACGGAGCCATTCTTCTTGAGCACGGGCACCATGGGCGCACACCAGTCGGTCGGATCGGTGACTGGAGAGATGACTCCCATCTGGACCATCCGGTCAAGTTCGGTCTTGACCTTGGCTTGCAGGTGGATGGGAACTCGTCGTGCGGTCTGGCAGTGATATGGTTGGGCATTGTCTTGCAGCTCGATGGTAGCTGCAGGACCGGACATGCGACCAATGACAGGAGGAGCGGACGGAGGGCTTGCGGATGCCTCGGATACATCGCAAGACAGGAGGTTCAGGTCCTGGCACACACTGCGGCTCAGGAGGTTGCTGGGGCCATCAACAACAATAACACGGAAAGTGACGTTGCGGTCCTTCCAGGAGCTGGCAGCAACAAATGCGCCGTGTATGGGTAGAGGTTGGCCGTCAGGTCCAGTGACCTTAGTGGAGATCGGCGTGAGCTTAGGTTGAGGACTGAGGCTATTGTAGGACGGCAGTGACAGGAGTGTGCAGTCTGCGCCAGAGTCCAGCTTGAACAACACTGACTGGCCATTGATAGGGAGCTCAACAAGCCAGGGTTCAGTTGAGTCAGGAATGGATACTGAACTCAAAACACAGATACTGGGTTCCTGTGACTCGGATGAAGCACTACCCATAAAACAACTCGCACTAGCACTAGCAGAATCACTCACCGGATGGTCAGACATCTCGCTCGCGCCCACTTGACGAGAGCTACGACACACTTTGGCAAAGTGACCACGACGCTGGCACTTACGGCACTCGATGGACCAAGCAGGACACTCGCGGCGCGAGTGACCACTAGATGAGCCACAGCCGGAGCAGGGAGCGCGCGGAGCAGAGGTTGCTGGAGGGCCACGTGTCGAGTAGCTAGGCGCGGACTGGCGAGATGCAGCCGGAGCATTCTTCGGTCTGCCAGTTCCACGAGATTGTTTGTGATGTCCGCGAGCGACAGCGGCAGCGACGGAGGGCTGAGTGGCTGCGGAGCGCTGAGTGGCTAGCTGGATTTCGAGGGTCTCAGCTGCCTTGGCCTCCTTGAGAACATCGGCGAGGGTGAGGGAGCCTATGTCCTTTTTCTGCATTGCCTTACTCACTTCAGAATCAGCCATGTGGGCGACGAGGTGATCGCGGATCCGTTCTGACGGCTTGTCGAAACGGCATCTCGCCGCGACAGAGTGGAGTCGGCTTGAGAACGTGGCTACGGACTCACCGGGGAGCTGGCGGAGACGAGCGAACTGCGTCCGTTCGTGGATAACATTGTCCGCAGGTGCAAAGTACTTGTCGAAAGCATCGACCACTTTATCGAAGTCGTCCTTGTCGGAATCTTGGGCGAAGGACAACTCACGCTGGAAGATATCATCCGCAGTTGGGCCCAGAGAGTAGATGAGAGTGGAGATTTGGACATCTGCGGATTCGGAAGAGAGTTTGGTAGCAATCTGGAAGCGTGTGAATCGGCTTTTCCAGCGGGGCCAATTCTCAGGTGCGGAAAAGTCGAAGCTTTCAGGGGGCTGAAATTTCGCCATGGCGAGCGGGTCCGGTGGCGAGGGTTCGGGGTACCAGTTCTGACACCAAGTGTTGCGTTACTGCAACAGCACTAAGGGTAAATGCCCATGCACACTCTCTCAGTCCAACACAACCATCACACTCCGGTAGGAATTACAAACTACACTTGATGAAGACAGAAGGAGAAGTGGAGAACACGGGGAACAGAGTAGGCATGTAAACAGCACAGGCACGCAACAGTTACCGCTGGTGCATGTGCGTACGCGAAGGTGTGAAATAGGAAGCGGGGTCAAATTACATATGGATGCACCATGCCAAATATATAGGCACAGGTAGGTGACTGTACAGTATATCTCTGTTACTGGCCACCTGTATAGTTGAAGTAACTCCAAGGATGCATGGCACACAAAGCGTGATATACTTATTACTAGTACATGTATAAGCGGCACCTGCTGCTACCGCCATGGGGAGAAAACAAGTTACGACACCACAGGCGAGGTTGAACGGGGTCCAGGCTGCCTCACGGCACACACAATACAATCATTTTATTGACTGCTTCAAGTCAAACAGATGCGGATACATACCGTAAAAGCCCGTGTATACGCCAAGAGACATGTCAATGCTGTCGTGGCATAATGGAGTTAAAACATGACAGCCTAGAACTCGTCAAACCAGTAAGATTATTATATTACACTTAAGAGGCACGTCAGCTAGGCAGCTAGGCAGACATAATGCAAAGGAAGACTGACTCATAATGAGGTAAGACATCGTCATTATTTGTCATGCGTACTTCAGTACATCATAGTGCTTCAAAGGAACGTGGATCGGCAGACATAATGGAACGTGGATCGGCAGACATAATGGAACGTGGATCGGCAGACATAATGGAACGTGGATCGGCAGACATAATGGAACGTGGATTGGCAGACATAATGGAACGTGGATCGGCAGACATAATGGAACGTGGATCGGCAGACATAATGGAACGTGGATCGGCAGACATAATGGAACGTGGATTGGCAGACATAATGGAACGTGGATTGGCAGACATAATGGAACGTGGATCGGCAGACATAATGGAACGTGGATCGGCAGACATAATGGAACGTGGATCGGCAGACATAATAATAATAGTAGTAGATCAATCTATAACAATTCTCAGATACATGTATCCATGTAACATTTTGGAATTCCTCAACGTTGCAATGGAACTCAAAATAATACTCCTGGTGATGTCTCGCACTCAGACAGGTTTCAGCTCTGAAGGTAGTGGAATGCAAGATACTTCAGAATTTTCTATAACTAAAACCCCCCTCATGTCACTGTACATGCGGTGCAAATATTGAAATGTGAGTGAAGAGTCAGCTTGTACTCGATCAGTGTAGCTGGACAGAGCGGCTACTGTGACCGGTAGGACATGATCTGTCTCACCGGACTGACTAGGGCGTCCAGATATTGCTGCAGTCATCCTTGCCCTCAACATCCAAGGCCACCTATTCTCCGTCAGCACTCAGTACATGCACTCGCAGACACCACCTCTAAAGGTTCCGTTACGCTTTCGGCTAGTTTACCTGAGTAGCTTTGATCCTCGGTGTCTCCATCAGCCACGTGCAAAGGCTGATTACCATCAACTACACAAGCAGATGGCGCAGCGGAAGGTTGACCACCACTCATTATTGCTTCTTCCTCCGGGTCCTCATCAATAACGTCTGGCCATTCTCCTAGGAGAAGGGAGCCGACGCTCTTGTAAAACTCTCCTTTCGGTGCTCCCATTTTAAGTACCTGAATCTGCAGCAAGCACGCACGCACAAATTATAATAGGTTGTGCGTCTTGTGACTGTCAAGCACTGGACCAAGGTGGTGTTTTTTAGGTCTACAAGTTAAGCATGTGCCAAGTTTAATGGTACGTGAGATTTAGTTGAGCTTTTGCTCCTGCTATACTTCTTGCGCTACTAGCATTTTCTGACCCAATAACACTGTCCCATTGCCACCACTTATGCGGCGCCAACTCCTACACCGGCACCAGATATCTAGGCCCGCTAGCAAACACTCCAGTAGTGAATGTTGTTGTCTGATGATTGTTAACATCTGTAGCAGCACCATGGTCATCGTGTATAATAGTACTTCCTCCGCCCAGGCAAAATTTCCCTTATCTCCTTCAGCCCAATGTCAGGTGTCTGACAGGAATTTTCACATCTTGTGCACTTCACCATCATGATCATACAAATCTGCTGGTTCAGGCGTACCAGTTCCAAACAAGTCGGCGAAGTCGCCAAGGAGTAAAGAAACAGGAGTAGAGCGTGTTGAAGGCGAGTGAACTGGTAAAACAAAACACGAGGTCAGTCACTGGTCAAGGCGGGTGCTGCTAGAGTACCACTGGAGTACAGAGCAGAGGTGTCATGCTGCGAAAAGCCAGTGTGTTTGATTGCATCCGGCACAAGATGTGTGTACGGTAAAAATGCACGTGAGCTTGAAGCTGAGAAAGCCACTCAGCGACGCTCGCCCACATACTGCAAAACTGAACCAGAACCGGTACAGGGCAAAACAGGGGGGAAAGAAAGGCTTCGATGATAGGGTTGCCACTCACCCAGCTCATTCACCTGATGTCAAAGTGAACGATCCTGCAAAGTGACGCTGAGCTCATCAGCTTTGGCTGGTAAGAAACCCGACCGATTCATGTACTCATGAAGGAGGTGAAGCGCTTGGAAAAGTGTCGATACGAAATATTTGCGCTTCTGGAAAGTGCGAAGTACTACCCGACAACAAGTGCTGCGTCGGCTGATGACAAAGGATGACTTCCACATTTTTCGACTTGGATAGTTTCCGGCTCTTGATGTTCAACGACTCCTCAACTCATTCTGAGTCGTTATAAGCCGTTCTGAGAACCTGGAATGTATCAGTAAAAAGTGCAAAGATAAGCGAACATTTTGCTTGGGCGGAGGAAGTATCTTGTTTAGAAGTTCATCTTCTGCTGCACGTGTACAGTGCAACTCTCAGGGTAGGACATACCCTTATATGGGCAACAGGAATCTGTGCACTTAGTATCCCAGGTACTTCTAATCCTAACATACTTCAGAGTACTGGGCAATACACATGTACACCAGACCTTGCAGGCGCGTCACACCGACTTTGGAGGTGGGGCGGCCATGGAAGGGGGTCCGGGGGTCCTCCCCGGAAAAAAATTCAAAAATTGAAGCCAATTGCAAGCATTTCCGGGCATTTGGTGCCATTTCAGTGTACGGTAGCTACAATGAAAGACTTTTTGATTCTGCAAAAAACCAAGAAGAAGCTACGATCGGGGACAAACATTACCCTCCCCCGGGAAAAAATTCAAAAATTGAAGCCAATTGCAAGCATTCCCAGGCATTTGGTGCCATTTCAACGTACATGGACTTTTGATTCTGCAACAAACCACGATCGGGGACAAGGATTTGCCACGTTTGCGCTGAGATCATCGCGCTTTGTTGCAGAGTGTTAAAAAAAAAAAACGGCCGAAAAAGTGGGGCGGCGCACGGCCAGTGCGGTTCCGACGCCCTTGCCTTGGGCAATACACATCTACACCAGACCTTGGGCAATACACATCTACACCAGACCTTGGGCAATACACATCTACACCAGACCATGATGCGTTCATACTAAGCAAGTGTTCGTACCAAGCAAGTGTACGTACCAAGCAAGTGTACGTACTGCCGGTAAGCGAGTTTCACTGCACTTGTAGTGTCATCCTTCTGCACAACTGGGTTCAAGGTCAGTGTTTTGCACTGCACTGTCTCTACATCCCCTTCTTTGCTCAACTATTGTGTTTACCGTAGTGACGCACATACATGTATAACTTTATAAGCACATGTGCCTATACCCGGGCATAAGCACATGTGCCTATACCCGGGCATAAGCGCACCCTCACAAATAAGCACATGGGCTTATAAGTGAACCTAAATGCAATTCCATCTGCGACACACAGACACCACAAAACACCATGTTCATAAAGTTAATGTGCATTGCGGTATTGCACTATGTGCATAGTTATGTAAGGTACCGGGGCGCTAGCAACTCAAGCGCATGCGCCTATGTGCGAGACAGAACGACCCGCAAAAAATAGCAAAAAAACGCAAAAACTCACTCATAAGCGCATGTGCCTTTATGTGCGTCATTACGGTACTAATTTGTTAAACATTTTTATGCATAGGCCTCCTGCCTACAACACCCATACACCTTGCTCACTACCTCCTGCCCACACCAGCCACACATTCTGCACTAACATCACACTGCTAGCCATATCACTGCCTCTACAACCCCCTGCCTACAACAACCACACACTCTGCACACAACCCCCTGCCTACAATAACATAACCGCTAGCCCTGAAACCTATACAGCCCCCACATTCTCACTCAGCTTTTCATACAACGCTACAAGACCCACCCTCTCCTGGCATATATGCACACAGCGCTACAAGACCCACCCTCTCTTGGCATATATACCGGCATGGTCGGTACCCCATCCTCATGTTGCCTGACTCTGATTGCGAAACTGCATGACACTTTTTAAAAGTAGCAGCAAACAAGCCTTGAGGGGGGGGGGGGGGATTACCCTTGTTGGTCTGCTGTATACATTTTAGTATGGCTTTAGTATTACGGGGACCCCTCAACAGGCAACTTGAGAAGACGATGGGGAATCCTGTACACAATTGAACATTATTTATGGCGTACAATTGAACAGTTCAAATTATTTCTCAATGAAGGCAATGTGTCTGAAATAGGGAGATTGGCGATGTTGGCATATCAAGCCGTGCATGAAACAGTGCTACTCTCCATTTTGAAACTGGGGAAACTAGCCTGGAATGGATGCCATCATAGGGTTCTCAGCTTAGCTACAACCCTGCAGCTCAGATTGTAGTGCACCATATGAGGCTTCAATCCACACAAAACTCACCTCCTCCAACCGACAGTCGCCAAACGAGGTGTCAACGAAGTCTTCCCACATATGCCTCCTTATCTGGTTTCGCCCATCCTTGAATATGGTTGCATGCGGACGAAAGGCATGACCGCCTTCACCCAGTAGACCTGCCTCTGTGAATCTGGAGCGGAGTACCTCTGCAGCCAGCATTCAGCAACACAGCACATAGTGCATTCTGCCAATATCACTGGCTTGGGGAGGGGGGCAGGGCCATGTACTAAAGTCTGAGCTGCAATGTGAGCTATTTTACTTGTATATGTATCTGGTTGCTGAACCGGTGCATAATGTAAGTCTAGGTGCAAGTAGAGTGCTGCTCAGCAGCATTCAAGCGATCAGATTTCATTGGCGATGAAATCTGATTGCTTGAATCAAGTCTGCACCCTGTGACGGATCACCATACCAGTGTTCGCTGGTCTAGAGCTGCATGCGCACCGTGCCTGGCGTGGTATGGACTCGCTTGATCGGATTGCACTGAGCAACACTGTACACTGTACACTCTACACTCTACTACTAAGCCTTTTATGGTCATAGTTATGCCATCCAGTCTCTCCTTCAAGATCTGCACTGAGATCTGCTGCTTTCCCTCCGGGCAGCAATGTGTTTCAAAACTTTCAAAGACTGCCTCATTTGTATGTACAACACTACAAACAGCCTGGAAAATAAACATCACCATTAATTTTATCCGCAAACGCAGGTTTTTTTACTACACTGTAATTTGAAATTCCCAACTGGCGGAGCCATGATGCACATGATTACATTCTTCCACTTGCACATACCGCGCACTGTAAAAACTGAGCAGACTGACCTACCGTTAAAACCCCTCAGCATCACCAGGCCAGGGTGATCCTCAGGGAAGTCTCCAAATACGACGTGTCGGCCAAAATTGTTCAAACCGTCGAGTTTCACTGTGGGAGGCTCCTCGCTTGCTCCAGGGTAGGCTTGCACAAGTTTGTACACATCCTCCTGGCAGCTCTGCAAGATCTCATTAGCCCTGGTCCGCACAGCGAGTCACACAACATACTGATGCAATTTAGTATGCATCATTCTGAGAAATGTCTTCAAATAATGTATGATTGCATGATTTGATTGCTGTGCAGGGCAGGTCCATGTACAACACAACACCGTACATGTACTACAGGATCACAACACAACACCGTACATGTATTGAACAAGTCAAGCGAGTAGGAGAGTGTCATGTCCTGAACATGGACCATAATGTATGTAGTGCGCATGCTCGCACAGGAGCTGGGTCTTTTTCGGATATGGAGTTTGAGATGTACTGAAATCTGTAATGGCCTCGAGTGTGTGTGTGATCGAGCTGGATGAGTCCGAGTAGAACCCACCTGGGGCAGGACACAACAACTGGCGACGAAGATATGGCTCGGATATCATCGCTTCAGCCGTTTACCGGCGGCGACTTTGAAGAGTTTGAGGAAAGACTTGAATTCTATTTCTTTGCCAATGATATTGGAACTGTGGCTGCTTCGGCCAATGCTGCAGACAAGTTGGCTGCCAGCAAGAAAAGGAAGGCTGTATTAGTGAGTTTGCTGTCTGAGGAAGTCTACTCGATTTTGAGGAGCCTCTGTCTGCCAGCGAAAGTAGCTGACAAGAAACTGTCGGAGATTTGCGATCTTTTGAGGAAGTATTTTCAACCTGCAATTTCGCAAGTTTCGGCGACGTTCAATTTCCATCAGTTGAAGCAGAAGGAAAATGAGTCGACTGCGGATTTCATCATTCGTCTGAAGAGATTGGCTGTGAGGTGTGAGTTTGCTGATCACCTCGATCGAGCGCTTCGAGACCAGTTTATTGCTGGCTTGAGCAGCTCATCCACTCGAAATTTCTTATTGACGAAAGAAGATACTTCGGCACAGTCGTTCAATGACATCGTCAAACTAGCTTTGACGCAGGAATCGGCTGCGCGCGCGGCCGAGTGTACGCATGACCGGTTTTTCTGGGGCAGAAATCAAATGTATTGGTGAAGGGAAGTTCAATGTCATCATTGATGGTGTGGAGAAACCAACACTACTCCGTGTGGTGGATAATGGTGGTCCGTCATTGTTGGGCAAGGATATGTTGTCCCAATTTACTCTACCGTGGAAACAGATTGTCAATGTCAATCATGTTCAAATGGATGGTAGGAGGAGAGCTCTCATTGAGGAATTTGAGGAGCTATTCGATACGACTCAGGTTGGCAAGCTGAGGTCGGCTCAAATCACCCTGAGAGTGGATGATTCTGATCCAATTTTCCACAAGGCGCGTCCCGTACCGTTCTCTATCACGGAGAAGTACGAGGAGGCTTTGGAGAAATTGGAAGCAGAGGGAGTTATTCGCAAAGTTGAGCACTCCAAATGGGCATCGCCTACTGTGCCAGTACTGAAATCGGATGGTAGTATCCGAATTTGTGCTGATTACTCTCGCTCAATCAATGCCAAGTCTGATTTGGAGCACTACCCGCTACCTACTATTGAGGAAATGTTAGCGAAATTGTCGGGGGGAGATAAATTCACCAAATTGGATCTCTCCCAAGCCTATCACCAACTGGAGCTTGATCCAGCTTCTCGGCCGTACACAACAATCTCTACTCACAAGGGGTTGTATGAATACGTGAGATTGCCGTTTGGCATTCACTCGGCAGTGGCAATTTTCCAACGCACAATGGAATCCATATTGGCAGATCTGCCTGGGTGCATCGTCTATGTGGATGACATCCTGATTACTGGGAAGGATGAGGATGAACACCACAACAACCTGATCAGGGTACTACAGGAGGTCGGGATGAAGCTTAATCCCAGTAAGTTTCATTTCATGATGGATGAGATTTCCTACCTGGGTCACACGATTTCTAGTGCTGGTGTGGCTCCTACAGCGGATAAGATTGAGGCAATGCGGGACGCTAAGGCTCCTTCGAATGTTATCGAGCTTTAATCATTCATTGGAACGGCGAATTTCTTGCGACGGTTCATACCTCATTTCGCAACAATAATGGTACCTCTGTACAATCTGGTGAAGAAATCTGCTGAATGGCAATGGGACCCCGGAATTTCAGTGCGGCCAAGCTGTCCTGGCTTTGAATTTCGGCAAAGGAGGAGATAAGTGGGCCCCAGCCGTGGTCACGGCTGTTCTCAGTCCGATGACGTATCAGATACAAGTCGGTGATGCAATGTGGAAACGCCATCGCAACCAGCTCCGTCCTCGGCAAATCCCTCAGTTCGATGCAGGGGTGTCTGAGCAGAGTGGAGCAAGTTTAACAGCCCAGGCACAGCCGTCACTCAGCAACAACGACGCCAGTGTCACGGCAGCGGAGCTAGGCGCGCCGGTCTCAGCAACAACCGGTACGAGTGAGTCTGCGTCGGTTAGCACTTCACGTGCCAGCTACAGCAAGACATCGTCACCGCAAGCTGAACGACGGTCAACCCGCGCTACTGTTCGACCAGTTCGTTTCAAGGATTGACGTTCAGAACACACAGTTCATATAGACCTATTCTAGTCTGTGGAGTTTTAATGATATATTTTGGACTCTGCTGGATATTGTATATAATTATATATTTATGGTGTAAATATGGTGTATAGTGTATCATGAAATATTATGTCTCGGCAGTTTTGAGTTTTGTGATTGCATCTTGATATGTTTACTATTGCATAGTTCTAGATGCTTCGCCTCAACTAGTGAGGGGAAATTGTCATGTCCTGAACATGGACCATAATGTATGTAGTGCGCATGCTCGCACAGGAGCTGGGTCTTTTTCGGATATGGAGTTTGAGATGTACTGAAATCTGTAATGGCCTCGAGTGTGTGTGTGATCGAGCTGGATGAGTCCGAGTAGAACCCACCTGGGGCAGGACACAACAGAGAGAAATCCACCTTCACTGACCTGGCAATCTTTGCTAGACTCTCTTCCGATATCCCATCACCCAGTGTCAACATGAAGAATGTAACGTGAAGCTTGACAGGATTCTCCACGGCAAACTTTAAGCGTCCATTTTCAGCAAGAATTGCCGCTTGAAGATTCTCCACAGCCTTGCGTACCTGCAAGATGCAACACACCAGCAAGAATTCTATTTTGTTCTGGTTGCAATGGCTATCCCATCCCAAAGAACTCATACTTGAGTGCTTTCAGCCATGCTCTTATCAGTTCATTTTGTGCTCGATACTGTTAATGGGCAAAGAAAAAGACTGAGCATATAGACCCAACCTGCAGGAGAATATAGCGACGATCAAGTGCTAGCCGCTAACTATAATGGCGGCTAGTGTTGCAATTAGCGCTAACGCTAATTGCAACACTAGCCATATTTGTATCAGACTGAAGTGTGAGCAGGGCATGGGGTGTAATTTGTAAACACTACAGGGGCCATGTCCAAAAATAGCCTGGCAAATGAAAGCACGTACTTTACAGTCCATTCATTGGAAACTGGCACCCTAACCTTTTGGTGTCTCTATCACATAGTTGTAGATATCATGAAAACAACAGTACATCCTGCATTGTGTGACCCAGGCAATTACTCCTTTCCACATTTGAGGCCAGAAAAGTCCAAGAACAGGGAAATAGAAATTCAGCCAGGTTTTACAAAATTAGGACAGGTATGCCATAGCAAAACGTATGGAGAAGCAGATCCAAAACCCAAATTTTTGAGATTTAAAGTGGGTTTTTGATCCTCAATTAGGCCCAAATCCGACTTTCAAAAGCCAGCGGGACAGATTCCGATGAATGGACTTTAGGTATATTTTCTCATGTACAACTGTCCTCCCAGCAGAAGAAAATGCACACGTCTGTCCTCCCTGCACGACAAGCATCTGCACAGTTAGCACCAGCCAAAACTACATGATTGTAGAACAGAATCTAACTACATTGTACAGTGGACACTTCACTATAGTGTACACTTCACTACAGTGGACACTTCACTACAGTGAACACTTACTACAGTGGACACTTCACTACAGTGGACACTTCACTACAGTGGACACTTCACTACAGTGGACACCTCACTACAGTGGACACTTCACTACAGTGGACACTTCACTACAGTGGACACTTCACTACAGTGTACACCTCACTTTTTTTTATCACATTGCACATACCTACGGAAGAAGGAGAGACAAGGGGAGACAAAACGAAGACAACAAAAAAAAACCCAAAAAACCATGGGTGTGTAGGCGCTACATGAGCTGCGCTGGTGAGATGCAGTGGACTCCCCCGACCAAGGGTCTCGGGATTGGCATACACAGCAAGCACAATGGGAGAGGGGGGGGGGGGGCGAGAGGAATGGCGGAGAGAGAGAGAGAGAGAGAGAGAGAGAGAGAGAGAGAGAGAGAGAGAGAGAGAGAGAGAGAGAGAGAGAGAGTGCAAAAGAGAGAAGAGAGAGAGAGAGAGAGTGCACAAGAGAGAAGAGAAGAGAAGAGAGAGAGAGAGAGAGAGAGAGAGAGAAAGAAAGAGAGAGAGATGGGTAAGTGAGGGAAAGAGAGAGAAAGAGGTGGAGAGATATAAGTATAGAGAGAGAAAGAGTTCTGCGGCATATCGTCGCTATGACTATAATGCTACTTTTAGAAGAGGGTCAACATAATGATTTGCGTCCACTGATGGCAGGCCAGTGTGATACATGTGCATGGCTAGCACCAGTCATGAGCAGAGCACCAGTCACTCTGTTGCAGGTGACGGTATGCAGCAATCTTGAAGCTCTGCAGGTGTTTCCGGGCTGGCTGCTTGTCCAGAATTGCCCGAGGCTGTGGCAGTCTATTCCACACTGGCACGATGCAGTATGGGAAAGAGCGCAGAAGGTAGTCAGAAGCTCGTGGCGAGAGATTCAGCTGAAGCTGGTGGGGATGGTGCTGTGCTTGGGCTGCTCGTGTGCGGCGATAACGTGGCGGTATAGCCGGCGGGGGGCACATGGCTGCAACTTGAGGCAGACCATGGCCACACATCAGTTTGCACAAGAGGCAGACAGCAGAGACCTTTCGCCGAACAAGGAGGCTGGGAAGAATGGTACCAGGGCCAATGACATATGGGGCGCGGAGCTGGACAGCATCCAGCATGGCCAGGTGTGAGGGAGCTGATCCCATCCACGCAAAGGGGGGCATATTCCAGCATTGGCCGGATGAATCCTTTGTAGACAGTGACTGCCCGCGTGGCTGAGGAGGGGTGCTGCATTCCGCAGGAGGCCCAGCCGCTGCTAAGGGTCGGGTTCCACTGCGGCTCCGCTGCTCCGCTGCTCGTCTTTCGCGGCTTGAAACGTCATCATTACCATAGTGACCGCGGCTCGAGCTGGAGCAGCGAGGCCGCGGCTCACCGCGAGCTTTTGCTACGATTCTTGACCAAAAACTGCGAGCCGCAGTCGCGGCTCGACCTGTTTCCCGTACTTTGCATTGTTTCGTACGCCAGAATTTTAAAATTCAAAATTAATTTTAATTCGTTGCGCAGGCCAGAACATGAGAATTTTTTTTTCGCGCGCAGGCAGGTCAAACGTCATCAAAAAGTGTAGACCACGACCGCGGTACCACGAATGGCGAGTGTCAATGGAACCGCGCTGCTCCGCTGCATGCAGCCAAGTGCCGCGGAGCAGCGGAGCCGCAGTGGAACCCGGCCCTTAGCACGTGATGCAACTTGCCGAAGGTGGAGTCTGTAGCTCAGTTTAGAATCAAACATCACTCCGAGCACCTTCACAGATTCATCTGGTGGGAGAGGAGTTCCACCAAATGACAGCTGGGGAGTCACTGTATCCTTCCGCTGGTGCGACAGAGTGATAGTTTGCGATTTCGATGGCTCAAACGCAATCTTCCATCTCTTGCCCCAGGCATGAAGCTCATCTAGGCTGCGTTGTAGTGAGGCATTCGAGGCTTGATCAAGGAGGGAGTACAAAGTGGTATCATCAGCAAAAGTGTTGAGGTTTGTGCCATGCGACAAGCAGCTTGAAATGTCGTTTACGTACATGAGGAACAAAGTAGGTCCAAAGATACTACCTTGTGGGACGCCAGACTGGACAGGGTGCACCGATGAGCTCTGGCCATGAACAACAGCTTTAATGGTGCGACATTGCAGGTAGTGGGTAAGCCATGCGAGCAGTGAACCCCCCTATCCCCAGCTGGTGGGCCTTGTAAAGTACGCCAGCATGAGACACTTTGTCAAAAGCCCCCGCTATGTCCATGGCAACTGCTTGCATAGCTCCACCTTGTGCCATGGCATAGGCCCACTCATACTGTAGGACAGTCAGGCGGTCTGCAGCTCCGGTGCCATGACGAAAACCGTACTGACGAGTATTCAGCAGACGGTGGCGTTCCAAGAAGTTGACTACAGTGGACACCTCACTACAGTGAACACTTCACCACAGTGGACACCTCACTACAGTGAACACTTCACTACAGTGAACACTTCACTACAGTGGACACTTCACTACAGTGGACACTTCACTACAGTGAACACTTCACTACAGTGGACACTTCACTACAGTGAACACTTCACTACAGTGGACACTTCACTACAGTGGACACTTCGGTACAGCTGACACCTCACTAGAGTGGACAACTCTCCGTCAACATAAGGACATGCACGTCCACATTCAGGACACATGCTTTCAGTCCCAACAGTTCCCGATCAGCAAGCTATACAATACTCTATGTCAGAGACTCACATAGTAGAGTACTCACTCCGTGGCTTTGTCCGCCCTGTGCTAGAGTATGGCATGCTGGTGTGGATGAGCGCAGCCCCCACCACCTTGGCCCGCCTCACTGCCATCCAGCGCCGTGCCCTGCACATAATTGGAGATGATTCATACCTCCCGAGCCTCGACATTCGCCGTACCGTAGCAGGGCTCTGCTTTCTGTACAAGCTGCACTTTGTGGAGGGTCCGGAAATGGTGAAAGCCATTCTGCCACCATCAGCAGCCGCACCGCAACACCGCATGCCTACTCGTGAGACAACCAGATCTGCAACACATCATCCATCGCAACTCACCAGTATCCTTCCTCCTCAGGCACGAAACAACACGCTCCGCTCATTTCCCCACTCCCTCATCCCAACGTGGAATCAGCTCCCACCTACCCTTCTGCAGTCTCCCCCTTCTCGCAGAGGCATGCACACGTTCAAGAAAAACGTCAACGACCACTTGCGGCGCAGCAAGTGGGAGTGGGCCACAGACAGGCTATGATCTCTGCCAACACACCAGCCTAATTATACTGACCGCACTCCAGCTCCCTTCTACCCCTCTTTGATCCCCTTCGCTCAGCCTTAAAATCCGATTATCAGTTCACTCCATCTTCCTACGGTGCACTGCTTTTACTATTGTTTTGTCCTTTCCCAATCTCAAATTCTCCCCATTATCGATTGCAAAGCCGGTGCTCCCCTCTTGGATGCACATGTTTCTTTTCTCCTATGTATCGGCGCACAGGAGTAACGATGATTCCGAGACCTTTGGTCGGAGGAGTTACTTTTGCCCCGCCCCCACTTCCATCCAATATGCCACCGCCCCCGCTGTGCAGCATCTGATGGTACTGTGGTATTCAGTAAAAAAAAAAAAAACTCTGTGTTGGTCTCAACACGATAGGTCTCTGGGGAAATGCAAAAATTCAAGGAAATCCTCTGCAACTTGAAGGGGAAGTATACCCTCTAAAATCAAATTTTCACCAGTTGTTGTCCTCGGGGTGTTGAGTCAAATGGTCTTGGTCCGAGGAAGCTCAGACGCTTCCTTCCTCCTTTATTCCCAATCGAACTCGCCCACTTCCACCGAAACTGGGTAACTATGCCGTATGAGATGGAGATTTGTATGCAAAATGTCACTAAAAGCGTCATTTTGTTCTTATAACAAACACGGATGACCGCAATTGTTCCATACATTGTAGTCTTTTGGACGCTGAGTCGACTGGTTTTGGTCCGAATAGGCTGCGATGCAGCGTTGGGCCCTTACTCCCAATCGAACACAGGTGAGAAAACGGTCACGTACTCATGCGTACACCAGTCCCCTGGTCATCGTGCCCGCAGGCTACAACTTTTACAGTGTTCCTGTCACTTGAGTTGAACCTTTGAGTTGAACCTTGGTGTGAAAGTTGTAGCCTGCAGGCACGGTGACCAGGCAACTGATGTAAGCCCGAGCACAAATTATGACACCTCACCTTTATAGATTTGAGTGCGATACCAAGAAAATGCGTGGGTCTAGGTGGTCTGGGCCCATCCGATTTGGTCTTTCTTGCCGGCTTCCTCCTCTTGCTTGCTGTGGACAATCTTCCATGAATTCCATCTACAAATGCATAGGAAGATCAGAGCTTTAGAGCGCAGATGAGAAGAGCAAGTCTCTGTTTTTGTTCCGTGTATGTTTCAAGTTCAAACTACTTTCTAATGTGTGCTTGCTACTTCAAGAAGTATTTTTTCCAGTATACATGAATTGCGCTCCCTAGCTTTGGCTTGGTTGAGCACACTTTTTGGTTAACATCAAAGGTATTTGCCCTCGTACACAGCTCGCAAGTGTTTACTGCAGTTGGAGCACTCCGACGACTTTTTAGCGCTTCCAGCCGGTTTAAAAATATTTTGTTGTTCATTAGATTTCATTGCGATCAGTTCGGCCAGTAACTCTGAGCTCCGCTGACGTGACTTAACAAGGTCAAACCTTTAGCTGTCTGGAGATGCACTGGAGATAGAGCTCGCCGTTGTCCTTCTGTCCCTCAAATAATCCATCCTGCTTCATATACTTCAAAGTATCTTGAAATAACAGTCATGTACATGTATGCTCAATCTCCGGACAGCTAACTGTTTCGACCTTGCTGGATTTCATTTGCGACGCTCAAAGTGACTAGTCGACCCAATCGCAATGAAGTCTAGTGGACAACACAATCCTTACACATCGCGTCGCAGAAAAAAACATCTTCCTGGCCGCTTTGGCTACACCCCTGACAATGGTTTTATAAGTACCGTATTTTCTGCGGTATTTAATAGCTCCACTGCACTGGGGTCTAAGGGTGCGTTTACACGACAACGCTGTACCATTTTTGCGTTTTCGATCCCGCGAAGTTGCATGTGTTTTCGGGAGTTTACACGAGAACGCTGCAGCGTTTTCGGGTGTTAACACAAGAACGCTCTGCGTGCACGGAAACGCAGTCCACACTGGTGAATTTTCGGCGCAAAAATACGAAATCAGCACGTGCGGATCCAAGAATGGCACAAGGACACTCACAGCGATGCCAAGTGAAGTTTTGGCTTTCTCTTTCCTGCTTAGCTTGTCGATTTGTTGCTCGTAATAGGTCTTTTTTCCCCTTCAGGGAAATTTTGCGTATTGACATTCATCAGTCAAGCATGGCTGAAGTTGATTTGTCAAGTCCAGATAATGGACCCACAACCGCCTACCTGTGGCAAGCAACGGAAGTAGAAGTGGTACCAAAAAGAGAAGCAAAGGGAAGGAGGAAAACGGCGCAAAGGAAAACATTGTTAGGGAGGACGATGAAGTCGAGTTGCTGCTTTCCTGTGTTGTTGACTACAAGACAACAAAAGCTGTGGAAGGAACGGATTGAGAGAGTATCAAGTCTTAAGTATTTTGATATTCTCGAGCTGTACTAAGAGTCGTGTCCTTCAACAGAGGATGCCCAAAAGTCTGGAAAGAAACTCACGCATGGGAGGAACATTACGAAGGAGGTGCTGGCTTCTAAACTGAAGGCTGTACGCATCAAGTACAGAGAAGCAGTTGTAGACGGCCGACGAAGTGGACACGGTCGGGTAGTCACATTATATTATGATATCTGTGAGACGATTTGGGGTTTGGGGTGGTTGGGGTGGGGTGGTAGTCCAGCCACATCCCAAACTTTGGGGTGGGGTGGTAGTCCAGCCACATCCCAAACATCAGGTGGAATCGAGACGGTCGACGTAGCTCTTGTTGAGAATGAGAGTGCTCCCCTTGGCATTCCAGCCTCACCACCAGAGTCTGTCAGCAGTATCATCGCGCCTTCACCAGCATCTTCGGATGGTGATTGCTTGGGCTGTGTAGACGTTGCAGGTGTGGCAGATACCACGGTTGAGACCAGGGCAACAGCTCGCACCATGACAATCAATGACAGGCGGTCGCTGCTGGACAACCTGAAAACGCACAAGGAGAAGCTAAGGAGAAAATCTTCCACTGATAGCCAGGCCCTGGCTCTTGCACAAGAGGACATCGCCTTGAAGAGGAAGTTCATTGAGAGGATGGACAAGATTGATGATGAGAACCGGTCAACAATGAACACCCTGACGGAGAATATGAAGAAATTTCAAGAAAATGACCGAGAACATGGCGGGTGGATTCAAAATGTTGGAGGCCCTCATGATGCCTCAACCCCAGCCTACCCAACAGCCGCAGCGCCATCCTTACACCCCGTGCCAATCGTCCTTCAATGCTGGCTATGCAGCTACAAGCATGCGCAACTCAGTTCCTAGAGGTGCGCAAGAGCCGGCTATGCCTTACACTGGTGAATGGTCCCAGTATACCAATCCGAAGATGGTGATTGGCCTCAGTAACTGCTAGGAGTGGCCTCTCTCCTGCCATGTATGGTTTGTTTCGCATATTGTGAGTGAATAGCATTTCTGTTTGGTCCTACACAATATGCAGAATCCGAATGTATACCGTCTTTCGTTTTTCTTGCACACAGACAGCTCTTTTATGAGTTCCATTTTTGTTACGTAGCTTGCTAGTGAGACCCTGTCACACTGCATCCTTGTGTACACGTATGCTGTGTGGATGAACTGCATTCCTGCAGTGCTGAGATGAGTGTGGCACATTCCTGCAGTGCTGAGATGAGTGTGCCACATGAGGATTGTCACGCAACTCCAGGTACCGTCGTGGGAATCGGCCCTAAGGACCATTCTCCGGTAACGGGGCGCCACTAAAATTTTCAACTGAGTTCGAATGGTCAGGTGAATGACTTCTGACCAAGCATTTTGGAAGAATTCATTTCCGCTGATTCCTCACAATCATTGCAACCACTGGAGTACAAGGCGCATGCCAGACTTTGCAACCACTGGAGTACAAGGCGCATGCCAGACATTGCAACCACTGGAGTACAAGGCGCAAGGCGCATGCCAGACATTGCAACCACTGGAGTACAAGGCGCATGCCAGACATTGCAACCACTGGAGTACAAGGCGCAAGGCGCATGCCAGACATTGCAACCACTGGAGTACAAGGCGCAAGGCGCATGCCAGACATTGAATTTGTTTCGCAAACTAACTTACTGTAAAACGGGTAACGTTTGCGACAATAAATGTTTGCGTTTTACAAATTGAGACTGGCTTGCGCTGTTTAATGTTTGCGAGTCGTTCTACAGTCGTTCTACAGAGTCGAGTCAGCCCTTGCACTGAACTTTACGTGGCACGAGTTTGCGTTGTCCAAAGTTTGCGATTTGGGGCCTCTCGCAAAATTCGCAAACATTTTTACGTTGCAATAGTTACCCGTTTTACAGTTAAGCGGGATTCACAGAAGCGTTTTTTTGCGATGCGACACGCGATGCGACAGGCGCGGAACTGGGAAAACCCCAAATCGCAGCCATGTCGCACCCCACGCAACTGCCGCAACTGGGCCATCGCAGAAGTTGAGCTTGGCTCAACTTTTGCGATGCGATGCGATGCGACAAGCGATTTGGCATACGATTTTGACCTTTTCTACAGCAAAGTTGTACAAAGGTTCAAGAGTTGCCTATAAATTTGTACAGGTTGTACCAAACCGCGCGAATATCATGGTGACGTACCCAAATCAGCAAGACTTTGTCGCATCGCTGACTTCTTCTGTGGATGGTATTTCGCGAGTTCGCATCACACGCGTCCGTCGCAGATCGCGTCGCATCGCGTGTCGCGTCGCAAAAAAGCTTCTGTGAATCCCGCTTGATGGGTACCGGTACATACAAACTAGCTTAATGGGTACCGGTACATACAAGACGTTAGCAATATTTAAAGAATTAAGAAGCAATACTGAAATTCCAGCAAAAGTTTCCTAGCTTGTCCTTTACTCGGAACAGACTACACGTAGAATCTTCGTGTAGTCTGTGAAATGATGGATTGCACTACATGAAAAGCAGTCAAATGACACTATACATGCATGAACCGCTGTAGCGCTGATCGATTCACATCCAGCATTCGGAGTCTAAGCCACAGCCTAGCGGGGCAATATTAGAGTTTCTATGCGTTTAAAGTGCGGCTGATACGCCAGAACTGAATACGGTACCTTGTGGTTGTGTGTAGACAGCAATTACATTGCCTGACAGACACCCACTGATCACGAAGTCTAAATGATTACCCATGGATTCAACCGAGAATATGATCCACGAATAACCCACTCAACAAGCCCCGCTGTAGAAGCAGCACGGTACAGCAGAGGTGTGTTCACCAACGTACCAGGTACAGATTCCTCCTCTTCCATACAATCCAAGACCTGCATGCTAGTACCGTCACTGCTGGCTTTGCCGCAGGCACTGTCTTGGCTATGTGCTGCTGATGGTGAGGCAAGAGGATCTCCGAGACTGCATGACACTTCCTCCATGTCCTCTTCCACAACGAGTGTGTTGTCCGGCCATTTTCCCAACGAAAGTGACGCGATAATCGAGTGAGGCTGCTCCCTATTAGACTTGGCTTCAAGCAGCTGAACCTAAGCAGAGGGGAAATAACACAAGAGGTACCAATGTACTGTAGTAGTCACACTGCGACACACTGCGGCCTACCCAAGCACAACACCGGGCTAGGAAATCAGCAAAATTTGAGAATGCATCAGGTTGTAAATTATCATTTAGGACTTGAACACCAGTAGTTTCTCTCACACCTTTTTAAATCCTGGAGCGTTATAGTGTACACTGGTTCTGTATGTTAATGCAGTACTGTAGAGTAGACGGTTTCAAATAGGAAATAGGTTGCAAACTGGAATGGTCTCAATATTAACTTTCTCCCTTGGTATTTTGATTAGAAAACGTATGTCACAGTGAGACTACGATGTGTTTTACTCAGCGCCAAAATTCCATGGCTCTGCGATGACCAGAAGCGCCACACCAAGCATTTGAGTTTTTGACGTGTTGCTTCCCACTGCGACTTGAGTTTTACGTCTTTCAAAAAATCAACTTCTTGTCGCAGGTAAACAGCTCGCCAATAAAGCACCGTATACCAATGAAAACTAATGGAAGCACACACAAGGCTTATTGGTGCTCTGTACTGGCCGTCGTGGAGTGATAGCAATTACCTAATTTCAGAACCCGGAGTGAACTTGACGTGCAATCCAAAACCTTTCCAGTTTGGAGCCACCTCTATAAACACCAACAATTGAGGGCAACTTGGAGGCAACGAGCCAACACAAAGGAGTGGTTCAGATCGATCGACTCTGGCCTCAAAGCAAACTTCAACATGCCAGCTTCCCAGGCTTCCACAAACATATTTCGAGTAAACAATCCACGCTGATGATCGGTTTGGGTCTACACAATTTTGCTGTCAAGCCGTTCCGGTATCGAACCGTCGCCTCTACATGAATGTGTGTATGTATGTGTGTATGAATGTGTGTATGTATGTGTGTATGTATGTGTGTATGAATGTGTGTATGTATGTGTGTATGAATGTGTGTATGTATGTGTGTATGTATGTGTGTATGTATGTGTGTATGTATGTGTGTATGTATGTGTGTATGTATGTGTGTATGTATGTGTGTATGTATGTGTGTATGTATGTGTGTATGTATGTGTGTATGTATGTGTGTATGTATGTGTGTATGTATGTGTGTATGTATGTGTGTATGTATGTGTGTATGTATGTGTGTATGTATGTGTGTATGTATGTGTGTATGTATGTGTGTATGTATGTGTGTATGTATGTGTGTATGTATGTGTGTATGTATGTGTGTATGTATGTGTGTATGTATGTGTGTATGTATGTGTGTATGAATGTGTGTATGTATGTGTGTATGTATGTGTGTATGTATGTGTGTATGTATGTGTGTATGTATGTGTGTATGTATGTGTGTATGAATGTGTGTATGTATGTGTGTATGTATGTGTGTATGTATGTGTGTATGTATGTGTGTATGTATGTGTGTATGTATGTGTGTATGTATGTGTGTATGTATGTGTGTATGTATGTGTGTATGTATGTGTGTATGTATGTGTGTATGTATGTGTGTATGTATGTGTGTATGTATGTGTGTATGTATGTGTGTATGTATGTGTGTATGTATGTGTGTATGTATGTGTGTATGTATGTGTGTATGAATGTGTGTATGTATGTGTGTATGTATGTGTGTATGTATGTGTGTATGTATGTGTGTATGTATGTGTGTATGTATGTGTGTATGTATGTGTGTATGTATGTGTGTATGTATGTGTGTATGTATGTGTGTATGTATGTGTGTATGTATGTGTGTATGTATGTGTGTATGTATGTGTGTATGTATGTGTGTATGTATGTGTGTATGAATGTGTGTATGTATGTGTGTATGTATGTGTGTATGTATGTGTGTATGTATGTGTGTATGTATGTGTGTATGTATGTGTGTATGAATGTGTGTATGTATGTGTGTATGTATGTGTGTATGTATGTGTGTATGTATGTGTGTATGAATGTGTGTATGTATGTGTGTATGTATGTGTGTATGTATGTGTGTATGTATGTCTATTTAAAATAGTGTGTAAGCTGGGACAGTAGAACACTGATATATCAAATCTGACCGACTATTGTAGGTAGATGTACTTTGAAGTACCAGTACCCCGCCCCCCTCCCCCCCCCCCCCATCACCACCACCACAACCACCAAGGCCACCATCGCCACCTCCACCATGAATCACCGGGGTCATGCTTTGAAGGTGAGCGGACGAGTGAATCCTGTTTGAACATTATGGCATGTACACCGTGCACACATTGCATGTTGTGCATCAAATAATTCACCAACTCCCCAAATCATGTGAAGAAGAGGTTGGTGCGACTTTGGCGATACTTGGGGAATTGTGTGTTGCTCCCTACGTGGGAGCTTGCGCTATTCCTGCCGGTCCTCAGCATTTGTTCAGCACCTCCATGAGCGACACTGACTCACGCTGCTATCTGGTGTTCACGAGTTGTTTGTCGTGCTGGAAACGGAGCGTCTCTGTAAGTTTGTATCCCTGGTGATGTTTGTGCCTGGAGAGCACTATATATGTGGTGCTCTTCAGGCACAATCTTCCTCAGCCTACTCAAGCTCAACGGATGAGGGGTGAATTCCCCGAAACACTGTGTAGTGAGCAGGGAGTGTTGCTTTCTTGCAGGTTTGCCGAGTGGAAGGTTCGATGGACTTCTCGTCTTCTCTGGATGGCAGTCGTGAGTCAGTCAAGTGAGAATTCAAGTCGGCAGGAATAGCGCAAGCTCCCACCTAGGGAGCAAGACACACTTCCCCAAATCATACTCATTTGCCCCCCCCCCCCCCAGCGGAAGCAAGCTCTACATATAAAGACAGTGAGCTACAATTACAGTGCAGAGCCTTGGACTGTGACCTTGGTACACTCAGACATTAGTTGCACTCCGCCACACGGGTTTCTTTCACAGTTTGTAAATCAAGGCGGAGCGCTGTCATGGTACTTTGCGGTACGTTCACACACGCACGCGCATACACATGCACACACATACATACATACACACATGAATACACACACACACACACACACACACACACACACACACGTACATGTACATCTTGATCTTGATCTTGCTTGCAAGTATGGCTACGCAGTCCCCAACAGGACAGGTCAAATGGTACTAGTCACCCTGCTGCATCGGTGGTGTGTCCGGCCGCTAGTCGAGCGGAAGGTCCGGTGATACATACATACATTCATACATACATACATACATACATACATACATACATACAAACACACGTGTGCACACAGCAAACTGGAAGCAGGTTCCACACCAATCATAACTCATGATCCTGAGCTCACCGCAAGCAATGGAGTGTCTCCAAACTTCTCCTTTGCCCATGACTTCCACAAGCTATGCCAGAGGCGACGAGAGCGGTCCTTAACCAACGGTACATGTGGACGGTAATGCTGCAAATCGTTGCTTTCAGCGGTGATACCAACTTCTTGAAATCGTCTCAAGATAACCTCTGCCACAAGAGAAAGCGCAAACACCCAGTCCAACAAGAACGCGACGTGAACATGCAGGACCCCGCCAAGACTGAGCACTACCAATCCGCCGCACACAGAACGGAGGAAGTGTAAATGTATAGTTCTGACTCCCCGTATGTATAGATTATAGACCGGTTAGGAGGTCTATACAGGATATATAGACCGAGGTCCCCCGAGGTCTTTTACGAGGTCTATATATCCTGTATAGACCAACTATGAGGTCTATAATCTATTTCTGGTGTTGAAGGATATGCACGGCATGGATGGACTAAGCAACTTTTCATTTAAAAAAGCAGCCAGAACACGAATCGGATTCGTCTTTGGACAGTCATAAATCTACTACTTCAAGTACGTTTCACTGTCTGTACACACCGTCAACGTCATGCAAGTGCAATTCTGTTTGCTGATATTCTCCGAAATGCGAACTTGATCATGGAGTTCGACTCTCCTGGGAGTGCAAACCTGAACATGAAAATCGCCTTGCTAAACCTGCGTATTACTACTCCTGCGTATTACTACTCCTGCGTATTACTACTCCTGCGTATTACTACTCCTGCGTATTACTACTCCTGCGTATTACTACTCCTGCGTATTACTACTCCTGCGTATTACTACTCCTGCGTATTACTACTCCTGCGTATTACTACTCCTGCGTATTACTACTCTGAAGTACAAGTATAAGTGTATAACTTACTTTGCAGATTGAGAATCAAGTGATAAGAAGCATGGTCAGAGGGAGAGGATATGAACAGGTCACTGTGTCCGTAATTAGAGATTGTGCCAAGCGGTAACAGCGGAGGCTGAGAGTAACTTGTCAGCAGTTCAGCAATGTCACCTTCACAACTTTGCAAAGCTGCCTCTGCTCTGTGAAAAAACACGCACGCACGCGTGCGCGCACACACACACACACACACATATATATACACACATGTGCACGCACGCACACGCACACACACACACACACACATACACACATGTGCACGCACGCACGCACGCGCACACGCACACACACACACACCATTGGACCATTGGACGCCCATCGCCAGAGGCGATGATAGCGATGCTACAGCAGAAGCCATAGCAGCTTGTGCTGGGATTCCACCATTCAACAGCTTGCAAGGCTGAAGAATTGACCGCCACTATTCAGCCTGGTCTACACCACACAGCTATGAAGTGGCTTTTTTTGGCCAGTGAATCCCTACTTTTTGGTCTTTTTCATTTTTTTCACGCACACACATCACACCACATACTCCGGCATGCACTGGCTGTTGGTAACCACCCAGGAGAATGAAAGAACAGTCAGGTGAAGTCTGAGAAAGAGAAGAAAGACGTGTGTGACCATAATCGTCAGGAATCGAACCCACAACCTATCGATTGGAAATCGCTGAACATACCACTGCACCATATGAGACACACACACACACTGTACAGATGAAGCCTGGTCAAATGACCAATTGGCCTGGACGATCACTTGGCCTGGACGATTACTTGGCCTGGACGATCACTTGGCCTGGACGATCACTTGGCCTGGACGACTGCTACTCAGTGACACCACATGTTTCGAATCCTAGTGCGCAATAGTCACCAGAGTTCTGAGGCCATAATAGTTGTACTGAGTTGAATGAGTGGTGACTGGACGCAGGTATCATCTCTACTTGGTACATCTCACCTTATAATGACATCCGGACCAGCAGCAATAGTACATGCTGTATCTTGTTCATCTTTACTGCCGGGACCGGTCAGGTTCATGCAAAGAAGCAGAATATTCAAGTTGACTGGCGGCACAACAACGTCTTTCATCCAACTGCGCTTCTTGATCAGACCCTCCTGGACCTCGCGCACACAATGTTCAACCTATAAACAGACGTGCAAAGTGATAAGCCAATGCTGCACGTACACATGCACCAATGCACGTACACATACACCAATGCACGTACACATACACCAATGCACGTACACATACACCAATGCACGTACACATACACCAATGCACGTACACATACACACATATACGTGCATGCCCCCCCCCCCCTCCCCAAACAGAATGATATAATTATGTGGACACACACACACACACATACACACACGCACACGCATACACACACACACACACACACACGCATACACACACACATATCATTCTTCGGCACTGCCAGAAACTGGCCACATGGCCCGAGACCCCTCACCTGGCAGAGCTAGAGGGAAGACAGATTCCGAGGCTGAGGAAATTTGGGAAGATGACTCAATCATCCATTGAACTAGCGAACAGTTGGCATACATGGGGGCCCTCGGTCTGTGGTGGAAAGTATGACAGACCTACTTCGAAGTACTTGGTAGTCACACGGTTTTCTAACTAAAATGGTTACGGGTCTCATGCAGAGCTCGTGCGATCATATTTCACACCATCGGTTGCCATGTGAAAAAATCAGCTACTTGATTGCACTCCCTGTTGGGTCACAGGCATCAATTATGATGCAAAATCCTGAGTAACCAAACCAATGTAATGAACCAACTTTGAACTGCACTGAGTACATAATGACTGATCTGTGAGGTCATCATCCCCATGTTCCTGTCCTGTAGTCACCGTTCATTTATTTAATTCGCATGACTAGACCGCTGAATTAACGGTGACTGTTCTGGATGGTGCAATGCAAGCCCCGTGGAACAGTGGTCAACTGGTCACTTGCCTGCCTGGAGACAACTGGAATAGCGACGAAATGAGAAAACGTCTTTGACGCTCTCTCCTTACGCCCGGGACGTGAGCTGTGCTTCAACTGCTTGCCCGAATCTGCTGCTGCTGCCAGCCCAGCTCCCCCCGCTGACTCCACGTCAAGGTCACAGTCTTCGACCAATGCCCCTGCCACTGCCACACTGGGTTCCACAGCGGCACTAGGTCTAGGTAGCGTCGCAGCAGTAGCAGTAGCAGCAGCAGCAGCAGCATTAGCATGTTCATACATTACAGTTGGATGAGGTGGTGGAGCCAACTCGCCAGTCAACTCCCAGTGAGTTTCCTCTGGCTGCTCTGTTCCATCCTGCGACATGTCTTCACGAAGTGCAAGAAGTTTTACGTGCACTGCGTCTGTTAGTACTATCAAGAGTATAATTATGTAACCCGGGGTTATACTCTTTAGTCTTGGTACTATTTTACTGATAATAACACGACTAATGCCAATACTAGTAATGCTAATGAGCATTAATTTAGAAAAAGAAAAAGAAAAAAAAAATTTTAGTGATTGGGAATGGTAGATCTAGTCTTTTCGCTGCTTGACATGACGTGAGCATGAGAGGTATAGTAGATCAAGATCATACAGTATGTAGCTAGCGCCTGAGCTAGCTGGGGATAATATTTTTCCCTGGCACCTGACACATTTTTGTGACAGGCGCTGGGCGCACGTGCAGCGTCCACCTGCGCTACCGGTTACCACTGGTTACCGCACTAGCGATAGCTAGCACTCATCGCCGCCCGTAGATCTATGCCACATACCGTAACTATAATAATAGACACCCTTAGCAAACAACGGTAACGCTATTTTTTACGGTACTCGTACCTTGATCACCCAAATAGCGTTGAAGCTGCAGCGTATAAACGTTATGGGGGCTGATTTATCGTTTTGACCAACGGTACGTGTTTTGGCCAAATATTGCATAGTCCGTACGCAATTCACCTTGTATCGCGTATATGGTGACAAAAATGGTTGTACCGCGCGAAATCAAAGCTACTCTCGTGGCAACAGCGTACTAAAAATAGCGTGCATCTTGCTAAAGGTCGAACCCAAATCACGGTATTTTCCCCCTTACGATAATACCGTTACAACATAACGTTTTTTGCTAAGGGTGTCTATTATTACGGTATTTCCCCGTAAGTAAGTTAGTTCTCCCCAATGGCAATGGCAATGACTTACTACTGTCATGAACTGCTGTTCATGTACTTGTTATGATTCTTTTCTACACGTGTATTTTATTCTTTTTACCAGGCGTGGGCCATCCGGATCCCCTGGACTATCAAAATAGGTGCCTTATTATATTTCTGAGTGCAATAAAGAGCATATTATTTTACTTACTACTGTCACTTAGTACCAGGGAGTAGTAAAATACGTATAATAATGTATTTTACTACTCCCTGCTTAGTACCCCCTATAAAAAATACACTTTCCACTGCCGAGGTTATCACCCCGAATTGACAGTTCCCCCCCCCCCCCCCGAAAGATAGTAAAGTTCGTACCCGTCCTACATGACTGTACAGACACCGTACAGTATATACATGTACATGTACATCATATGCACGGACACTAGCACTATAATGTACTATATATGTAGTAGAGGTGCGCAGCCGCAGGCTTCCCACTGCGTGTCATTTACCCCCCCCCCCCGATAAAAAGTACTCCCCGAAAGATAGTACCACCCCCGAAAGTTAGTACTCATGTGGCTGCTAAGTTCGAAAGTTAGTACTCAGTACGTACTATTAAACTTACGGGGAAATACGGTAGTAGTACATGACTGTACTGTATGCGTTGTCCCGTTCTACTTGTAGCTATGCTAAGGCTATGCTAAGGCTATGCTAAGGCTATGCTAAGGCTATGCTAAGGCTATGCTAAGGCTATGCTAAGGCTATGCTAAGGCTATGCTAAGGCTATGCTAAGGCTATGCTAAGGCTATGCTAAGGCTATGCTAAGGCTATGCTAAGGCTATGCTAAGGCTATGCTAAGGCTATGCTAAGGCTATGCTAAGGCTATGCTAAGGCTATGCTATGCTAACATGATTGCTATAGCATGCTACTGTACTCACTCCCTCACCGTACCCGACTACCGTGCCAACTTTTCTCTCTGTCTCTGTCTCTCCCTCTCTCTCTTCCTCCCTCCCTCTCCCGCTCTCTTTGTCCCTCCCTCCGGAGTCCCTCCCGGCTCACTCCCTCCCTCCGGAGTCCCTCGCTCCCTCCCTCCCACCCTCCCCCTCTGTCTCTCCCTCTCTCTTCCTCCCTCCCAAAATACTCCTCCGGTTTTAATTAAGTCGACCTGTCATGCCCTAAAAGCTAAATTCTGAGCTCATCACGGTGAGAGAGTTCTCGAGATATTGATTACTCGAAAGCATGACCAGTGTGCCACACCGCACACTCATGATCACACAGGTATCATCACGAGCCAGTCGGTGGAGAGAAAGTGACAGTTTTTGAAACGATTGTGGCAACACCAGTGCATGTACTGGGATGCATAAGCACGAGCTGTCAGCAATGTACAAGTAAAAACATGTTCCGATAATAAGGACCAATATAAGAGTCACTCAGACGGAGAGTAATAAAAATCAAATTCATGATCGCATGACAACGTGAAGAAAATGATCGTAGCTGGTTTGCTCAGGAAAGAAGACTGAGGCGTTACTAGTGCATCGGATATACATGTAGATTGGTGTGTATTCCTTGGCTATACCCTGACTGAGTGAAACTAGTACAATCATGTAATCTAATATTATCAATGTGCCTACGTAAACTAAAACTGTAAAGAAGTTCAGCATGATCAGCAGTCGGTAGTCGGCTGCCGGATCGACTAGGATTCTAGCCACCAAAACAGGAGCAGCAGGCCTACAGCTTATCATGAAAGGTCATAATTAGCCTAGTCATAATAACGATCATTACTACTTTAATAGCCTAATCAGTAGTCTAACTAACATTTACATTTACCTACCGTAGTAGCCTACAAATCGTGTTATTATGTTCAAATGTTTACAGAAGATCCGTACACAGTTGGCACTGTACGGGACAAGCATGTCTCGTAGTGTAGGAACGAATGGGCGTGTAAAGAGAGCTGCCGCTACACCATTCAGCTATGCACAGTTACAGCATAGGGCAGCAGCCGTGGCGGCCAGCATAATAAAGCAGAGCTTATAGGTAATACTTTGTGGTATGTGGCAGAGTTTAGCAAGATGTGGTCCAACGACCACTGTTCTTGTCAAGACTTCGAACTCTCAACATTACCCGGACTTGTGAGACATGAACAGTGAACACCAATAATTAGTAATTAGTAGTCTAGCTGGCTGCGCTTCTCTAGCTGCTAATGATAACAGAAATCTTTGCTGGCGGCGCTTTTCTAGCAGCTAACTCAATCAGACTTCATATGTACAGCAGTGGGCAGAGACGAGGCCGGAGCGGGAAAATCAAGTTGCAGAACACTGCACGGACTCTTACAGTACTTGCTCAGCGGAGTCAACACATACACACACACACACACACACACACACACACACACACACACACACACACACACATACACACACACACACACACACACACACACACACACACACACACACACATAGGCGGGTCTGATTAGATGCGCAAGAGAGAAGCCAGTCAACACATAGGCGGGTCTGATTAGATGCGCAAGGGAGAAGCTCGCTTAGACCAGCGTGCGTATGTCTATGTGAAGTGCTTGTAGATTGAAGACACATACGTCATGATGCTCTTCTCATCCGGTACGCGACACATCATCATGTCTTCCACATCCAGCATAGCTGGAAGACCGGCTTTGCTGTAGATCACAGAGAATCATGAGCAGGAAAGAAGCAGCATACCATCGTCATGGTCAAGCCATACTAGATCAGTGTCATATACACGTCCCCCACTGTCATGGTCAAGCCATACTAGATCAGTGTCATATGCACATCCCCCACTGTCATGGTCAAGCCATACTAGATCAGTGTCATATACACATCCCCCACTGTCATGGTCAAGCCATACTAGATCAGTGTCATATACACATCCCCCACTGTCATGGTCAAGCCATACTAGATCAGTGTCATATACACATCCCCCACTGTCATGGTCAAGCCATACTAGATCAGTGTCATATACACATCCCCCACTGTCATGGTCAAGCCATACTAGATCAGTGTCATATACACATCCCCCACTGTCATGGTCAAGCCATACTAGATCAGTGTCATATACACATCCCCCACTGTCAGGAAAAAAAGATGCCAGTACCAACATCATAGCAATAGCGAATGTCAACCGAATAGCACGCAGAATGGAGCTGATCAAAGCTGACTAAGTTTGAGTTATGCACGGCTGGTGGCCAATTTCAGTGCAAAGACTACCTTTGCGCCCACCAGTTTGGGAATAGCAACTAGCCATGGTATACATGCACCTATAATACTCTCGGAGCTCATTTGCACATGACTGGATTTCAATGTGCTAAGTTATAAACTTGCCCATTGCTCCACACAATACGTTCATACACACAAAATACTGAAGTGATAACAGATTGCATGTCGGAGTCTCATTGACTGCCTGCCCTGTCAATTTTCGACTTTTCATGCTTGAAATCAGAATTTCAAAGCCCTTTTTCTTTCTTTCAATACGCATGCATGCACTTTTCTTTTTTCCCCGTAGCCTTTGCAAGCACAAATGAAGAGAATGTGCAATTAAACTGGTTGTGAACTACTTACTCAGAGGCTGCAAATGCCAGTTCAAAGTTGCGCTCGGCAGACTCAGCCGACAGCTCATCATAGGGTATGTCGTCGGGGCAGAACGTACTCATAAGAGCAGCAAATGCCAGGCCATTTTTCCAGCTCATTTTGAAGTCCTTGATCTCCACGTTCTATCCGCAAAGAAACAAGCAAAAGAACATAGGTCAATGAGTGAAGCTGATGGTCCAGAGATTCTTCTCTGCTTTTGTGTACAGTTTCTGTAGTGTAGTGGTTATCACGTGTGCTTCACACGCACAAGGTCCTCGGTTCGAACCCGAGCAGAAACTATTATTTTATTTTATTTTTCAGAGGGAGATTCTCTTGCTGGATCCCGTCAGCGGAGCTCAGAGGTACTGGCTGAACCGATCACAATGAAATATAATGAGAGGCAAAGCATTTTTTTTAAACTGGCTCAAAGCATCAAAGTCACAGAGCACTGTGAGTGCACTCACAGTGCACTCACAGTGCACTCACAGTGCACTCACAGTGCTCTCACAGTGCTCTAACTGCCATAAACACAGCTCGCGTTGTGCAAGGCTTTATACCCATAGACTAAGCCTGGCCTTGCGTTGCTCAGTGGGTATCTAATAGTAAAGACCACCAGAACTTCTGAATAACAAATGCTGCCAGATAATACATGGAGCACTGTACAACTAAAAATGTAACTCCTACCAAGCAAAATAATCACGTAAGTGTCCACACAGGACTGAGACGCCAATGCATGTGGCCTGCATGGTCTGTGAGGACAATGCAGTCCCTGCTCAGCGTGCTGGGACGTTGCCACCCATCATACCCCACAGACCCATCATGCACACCGTACAGACTGCTTAACGGCATAGTAATAAGTTACCTCATAGTGCACGGTTCTCCTGCGGCACCACTCCAGCAACTGCTGTGGACCAGAGTTGCGCACGAGGGCACGGCTCGGGCTAGTCTGTGGAGAGCTGCAGAGCACATGCAGTAGTAGCACAGAGAGAAAAGAAGTAAGGCTACGTAAAGACTTCCACTGCTCGCAGCTCTAGATTATTGAAGGAACGGATGTCCAATGCTTTATTAACCCTTTCCATGCCATGGACGCGTATACGCGTTTTTTTAGTATGAGCCGATTGGCCACGGACGCGTTTACGCGTTCTGCCTGGACTGTACAATGTACACTGTACATTATGTGTATCACGCGCTATAGACGAGTGTACAAACTGTTGTAACTCCGTCAAAATATCTCGGACTGCTAAGGTTGAGACACCGCTGGAAAGGTCTTGAGCTCAGCTTTCCAGGGATATAAGGTTCTTCGCGATACGATAAGGTATGACCGAGCGGCGATAAATTGAACGGCCAGAATGCGCAAATTTCATTTTTTGGCGATCGATTCAAATTTTTGTTCGCGACTTCGTGCGGGCTAGGGGATTTCCCCTAGACACAGCGCGTGCGCAGTCAGCTGCAACAAACGCGCTTGAATCTAAGCTTTCCAACGCAGTTTGAATCGTGAAAATCAGTTCACAATGAGCAAGAAGACGAAAGAAAACATGAGAGGCAGTCGTTTTGTTATTTTCAGGCATGGTAGGGGGACTTTGAGAGCAGATGGAAGTGGCCCTGGTATGCCTGTCGCGCTGTGAGTCCCTGAAATGGCTTCCTGTTGTCCAGATCTTTCCAACAAGCCATGGATCGTGAAAATCCATCAAGGTACAGTGAAATAGCAATAAATTTCGTTCTGAGGTGCGCGTGCAGCTTTGAACAGTTGAGCTCAGCGCCTGAACAATGCGTGGCCAACACATGAAAACATGCTGGCATGGAAAGGGTTAACTTCAGAATGCTGGTCCAGACCTTTGGGATGCGGAGCTCATTATTCAGCGAGGCTATGGTGTTTGTTTTACATTTCGGGCCTAAGATTATTTTGAGACATGCACTCGCGGCATACGTGAGCCCAATTTCCTTCTGATAATTTAGAAAAGCGATCCTGCCAGCTTTTCTATTATTGTTAACATTGGTGTCCTTTAGCCTGCTTGGGTAAACTTGGCAAGAGCAACACAGCAATTCCCAATCAGTCCCCATCAGTACAACCGCAGGAACAGCACCGCAGTTCTACTTGACATTCTCAAGCCCGGCAGCATTGCGAGCGAACAACTCTAATTCCTTGCCAACAAATTGCATCGCAGATCGCTCAATTCGTTTGGCAGGAGAACTGTGAAACATGCCTTTGTGATAACACAACCAATGGCGTGGGCAGCAAGTCAGGACCCTCCTGAAAATAACTTCAAATTGCTTGCGCTCAAGTGGACTACTGCACAAATTTGGTTCGAGAGACCTAACTTCGTACCCTGACCTCGGATAACTTTGGAGTTTTTTTTCAACCGATACCTGAGAAAGTTCTAGTGCCAATAGACCTTCTGATTGTCGAAATCGGCCATGAAACTGCTGAGTTACGCTAGGTTGCATTTTGGAGAAAAAAAGTATGCGTTGCACACTGGTACGGACCTACCGGTATCCGTACTATGGGCGTCAAAGGGTTAAACCCTCGTAAAAACAGTTTAACACATCCTACACTGCACTGTAGTGTTTGCTGCACTTACGCAGAATTCAGCTGTGCAGCGAATTGCTGTCGCTGCTTGCGGCGGATCAGCTCTTCCTGTCTCTTTGCCTCCTCCTTCAGCTTCCGCTGTTCCTCGTAAGACTGTGTGGACGCGGTAGAGCTGGTCTTTGCCGGTGAGGATGAGTGAGAAGAGTTGCCACTCGATGTTCCCTTCTTGCGTGCCTCACGCTGCAGCCGTCGAATTTCCCTTCTCTCGTCATAGGTCAAACTTGGATCAAGCGGGTCCACGGACAGAAGGTCTCGCTCTGGCTTGGTTGGCTCCGGTGCTTCAGCTGGCTTTACACTCACAGATGGTTCAGCTTCGCTGACCACCGAGGGCAATTCAATGTGCTCTTCTTCGGCTGCCACTGCCATGCGTGACGAGCTAAGTCCGTCAGCTTCGTCAACATCTACGCTAGCTGGTGCTGCTGTCACTGATGCTTCTACCTGCTCTGGAGAATTCCTGCGCATTGATGGCGGAGGTACAGGCTCCTTCTTGGTACGTGGCATGTTAACTGCAATTGTGGCAGTAGAGCTACATATGCCATTACTGCTGGTCACATTGGTAGTGGTTGTGCTAGCCTTCTCTGGCTCTGCCAAGCAATCAGTGCTATCACTCTTCTTTAGTACTGTCCGGAAGTCTTCCTGGGCAGCTTCCTCACGACGCGGTGCGGCACTGGAGCGATCTTTCGTCTTGACACTCTTGCGCAACTGGCCGCGGAAGTCCTGCTGCTCCGCTTTGGCAGGTTTCTCAGAGTTAGCCTTTCGAGTGACCTTCGGTGATGGAGCCTCGGTCTTTTTCAGCACTGTCCGGAAATCTTTCTGTTCACCACCACTTGCCTTGCCAGTCTTGCTTGGAGGTGCAGATGAGCCAGCACCTTTTCGCAACACAGTGCGGAAATCTGACACACCCTCGCTCTGACCAAGGGCAGAGGAGATCATGTCCTTTGATCGTCCCGTCTGCAAACAGTATCACAGAAGGAAGCAAAGCACACAAGTTGAGGAGAAAGAGACAGTGACATATTAGCACAATCATGTACACAGTGTGCGTATGCGCATGTATTTGCGAGCATGTGCGTGACGTGTGTGCATATGTGTGCGAGCGCGCGCGCGTGAGTGTGTATGTATGCGTGAGCGTGTGTATGCGTGTGTGCCGTTTGTAACATAAATTCAAGCTGCACATCATGGAGTAGCTACTAGAGAAACTCGTTAAGACTCGTCTTGTGCCGTTGTCTAGAAATTTACGCAATGATAAAAAAAATTGCATGTAAATTCTCTACAAATATAACAGCATCATATCTAGCATTAGATCTAGTAGCATAACTGGCAAAAGAAGAGAAAATTCCCTACCTCATCTCCACTGGAGGTCTTGCCCGATCGTCTTTCACTAGGATCTGAAATAGAGCTGGCTTGACTTGCTTGACTTGCTTGGCTAGCCTGGCTGCTGGTGTCATCAAACGGGACGTCCTCTTGCCCGGCATCAGCCGATTCAAGATCTCTCCGCTCACTGAACGCAGGCGATAGGTCAGCAACCGCTGTGCTAGGCGATAGCTCCCCACCATCCTTGCTACTGCTGCTGTCCACCAGCAAGCAGCAACCACTGTCCACTTCCTCTAGAGTAGCATCCGTCTGCTCTGTTGCTTCGAGTGCCTGAACCGACGGCTTCGCTACTGCTTCTTGAGGCTCGACATGACTTGCAATGACGGTGGGCTGAACCGATTCATTTGATACATTAGAAGAACGAGGTGTGATCGTGACCGGTGCTGCAGAAGTCTGGCCATGGCTAGATATTGAGCCTTCAGATACTCCACGTGAGCCTCGCTCTGCAATCACATCAGAATTAGGTGTACATGTAGTTGCAAAAAAAGAGACAACTATGTCACATTCTAAAGCCATAGTGTGTGTGTGTGTGTGCATGCGTGCGTGCGTGTGCGTGTGTGTGTGTGTGTGTGTGTGTGTGTGTGTGTGTGTGTGTGTGTGTGTGTGTGTGTGTGTGTGTGCCAAAGTGTATCCTCTTCGGCGAACTGGACAAGACCCGGCCACGTCATGGGCCCCGGAAGCGGTGGCGGGACAATGTTGTGTCCGACATGAAGGACCGCCAGATAGCGGACTGGTACGACCTCGCCCAGGATCGCAGAGAATGGAGATCAGCATGCAGCACCATTCCTCCGACCGAGCCCGTCACCTTAGATTTCGTTTGCACTTGTGGAAAGCGCTATCGCCATCGCCAGGATTTGACTCGCCACGCCCGATTCTGCTCGTGACTTGAACACTGTTGGTCCCTTCGGGACCTGCTATCATCTCCGGATGGGCATATTGTATTGTATTGTATTGTGTGTGTGTGTGTGTGTGTGTGTGTGTGTGTGTGTGTGTGTGTGTGTGTGTGTGTGTGTGTGTGTGGGTGTAAAAATTTCGCGGAGAGGAAGCAGATTTGTTAGCTCCTGGTTTTCTCTTTGTTGGCCTCCTCCACAGGGCGCCTTGGCCTTCTGGTCAGGGTCGTCCCTGGGTATTGACTGGCAGTAGGCTTTTCATGCCTTGCAGCCGGTTTCGCTCGCGCGGAAGGACATTCAGTGAGCTGACGACAAGGGCGGGTAATTTGTTGCCGTCACCGTCTTCTTGCGTCCTTTCCGCATCCTCCGCAGTGGCGTGGCGAGCCTCGGATCAATCCCCAGCCTGTAACAATGCAGTGGCGTTCGGCAAAACACGTGGATTCCTGGATGATAAAGGATACAGGTCACACTCGCAACAATTTATTCCTGCGCGGTGATAGCTGGAATTGTGAATTTGTCGTGTTGTTTGGACCTGAGTGGCCAGTCGTCGTGCGGCGATGGTGTAGTGATGTTAGCTTGCTGCGCATACTCCTCGTCGTTTCGTGAAAGTACGTCTTGTGGAGCCCTTGTGGGACGTTCGGTGCCCACCCTCCAGCTCAAGATTGTGCTTTCCTGGTGCATGAAGGCCGAAGCAGTACGCGTACAGACGTTATTGTTGAACAGAACATCATGTTCACATTAATTTTGTTCCTTTTTCAGTCGTTGCATGTTATACTTATAGTGGACCTACAGCAGACTGTTCATCTGGTTTGTGATATTTCCTTCCTCTGTTTGTGAGTCCCTTTCCATCAATATGGCAGCTTGTTTTGATTTCCTTTTCTTCAATTCATTTTGCTGTACTTCCTGTTTTGTTTGCGCCACTGCCCCTCACCTTGCGCCCAGTTCTCTGAGTGGAGGGCGGCGTGACCCCAAGGGGTAGCTGATTGATAGTAGATACCGTACTGGCAATATATGTTGCCGCGTAACGCGTAACGCAGGGGGGTGCGGCGTAACGCGCGACCAGGCTAGTGCGACAAATTTTCGTTGCGTTCGTAACGCGCGTCAGGCGGGGTGCGGCGATCTTTTCATTGCAGTTTGCACTGCAAAGGCTGAAAACTGTGAAAGCACGTGTACCGCGTGGCAAAAAAAGGACTGCGGCAATATAGAAACCTGTGTAACGGCTCCTGTGCGACTTTGCATGTAACGCCCTGCGTGCGGCAAACATGTGCCAATGTAACGCTTCATGGCCTCACTGCGGCAACATATATTGCCAGTACGGTAGTAGTGTGTGTGTGTGTGTGTGTGTGTGTGTGTGTGTGTGTGTGTGTGTGTGTGTGTGTGTGTGTGTGTGTGTGTGTATGTGTGCGTTCGTATGTGTGTGTGTGTGGGGGGGGGGGGGGGTGGTTAGCTACAGTAACACGTCAAATAATCTACATGGAGATAATAATTTTAATATAGCTATGAATAGGATGAAGGCATCACACAACTACGTTACTTGTTCGACATGTATGTGTATTTTATAACACGTCAATTTAGAGAAACTGGAGCAAGATATACAGTACATGACCATCTCTACATGTTGGTGTTAAGATATACAGTACATGACCATCTCTACATGTTGGTGTTAAGATATACAGTACATGGCCATCTCTACATGTTGGTGTTTCAAACGTACATGACCATCTCTACATGTTGGTGTTAAGATATACAGTACATGGCCATCTCTACATGTTGGTGTTAAGATATACAGTACATGACCATCTCTACATGTTGGTGTTAAGATATACAGTACATGGCCATCTCTACATGTTGGTGTTTCAAACACCCACATGACACATGGTTAAAAACTACTAGTAGATGCAACAAATGCAGAAGTGGAAACAGACCTAACAATGCCGGAAGTTCAATTGAGAGAAGCATGTCCACGTACGTCATGATTTTCAGGATGCCAGTAATGATGTGCAGGGGCTGTACAGGGTGACTGAGGCTAGACATCAAAATTCACCATCACTCACCCTTCCTGCTCTTTCTAAGCTGGCGCAGTCTTGCACGAAGCTCCTTGCGTTCCGTGTAGCTTAGCGTGGCTTGGATCTGCAGCCGTTACCAAGATACACACCCACACCAATGAAAACTAGTTAGCATAACATAGGTATAAGACGGTCTGCACTACCTGTATCTCAACGCCCTGCTACATGTATAATACACGTACAGCGCGGGTAGGTTACAGTGAGACAGTCAGGATGGGACAGGGATCGTCACAGGATAGTGAACACATTGGATGGGACAGGATGCCGGTGAACACATTCAGAACATGTGACACTACCATCATAGACCATTGCTGTGGGCAGTGTTACTATTATGACGGGCAGTGTTATTGCTCAGACACAAACGTGTGCACGTTCTGTAGCACAAATGTCTCTCGTATCACCGCCAACCTGCAGTATCGCCGTACACAATCACAATGTCATATCACCACTGCTTATCTAGTCCCACCAAGTGGCTGTGTGACGGATAATCCTAAATTGCACAACTCATTTTCCTTTCCCCCGGCTTCTCTCTTGAGAACTCTTTCGAAAACTTGAATGTCACACAAGTAGAAGCTGGACAGGTTGCTCTGACATTGAGTGGTGTCACACAGCGCACACTGTGAACCTATACCATTCACCATTCACCATCACCAGTTCACCATCACCATCACCAGTTGTCCTACAAGTGAGCAGTCACTCTGATATCAGTGCAGCTCCTGATAAAACGGGAAAACTTGCAAAACAGACTAGTGAGGCTGCATGGCAGACACAGACTAGCTGTGAAATGCACCGCTTACAACAGGAAGTCACTGTCACAACGAGTAATTGTGTTCTCGCCGGAGAATAGAATTGTGAGGAACCGTAAGGACGAGTCAGTCACGAGGTACAATACAGCGTTGTCATCAAGGACTTGAATGGATTGGTGGCAGTATTCCCAGGGTTCTTATCTAGTGACAGACGATACTAGCTGCAACTTGAACTGACAACGTGACCCACTGTTGACACCGGGAGGCACTGGGAGGCACTGGATACTAGTAATGGGTACAATTCAGGATTGTCACACCATGACAAGTGCCAACACCACTTTGCCTTACTGCGCAGTCCAGGAGAGCCCCTCAATAGGCCTCTGCGGCTTTTGGACAATCCTTAAAAATAAAAATAAATCAATTAAATAAAAATCAGTTCTATAAACACTCGGCTCACTGCCCACCCAGTACAACAGTCACAGGTATGCTAATCGGCTACCCAGAGCAAGGTGGTCAACATATACATGGTCTCCCAGGGGTCACTCTAGCCTAGCAGTACCTAGCAGTACCACTTGCAACAAAACGTCAAAAGCTAGCAATGACACATACTAGTACTAAAGTAACACTGAGTTAGTACTTAAGACCCAGGTGATACATGGGACGCATGGGCTACAGATGGACAACAAGATGCCTGCTAGGTGCATGCAGTACACTACCATGTACCAGTCAGGACGTGACCAGGTGACCTAGGCTACAACCTGCCAGCCCAGGTATCCAGTGTCAAGTGCCATTACTGATTCACAAAGCAAGTGTACTTTGGTAATGAGGTACACTATCTACCTAGGGATCCCAGAAGCACATCTGTGACAACTGTTTGAAACAATCCAACATCTTCTTCGTCCCTCTACACATGATTCCAATGTTAGGTGAATCTCCATAGCATGGGATCAAGTACATGTAATGCATGAACTGTGGTTCAGCGGGTCTGTCTACCCACGCCCACTAGTACTACTGGCCTGTGCCGTTGCCTGTCTAAATGTCTTGTGCTCCACCTCTCATACCATCAGAATCTAGTCAACCATTCCATGCGGTGCTGAAAGCCAAGAGTTCCCACTAATGTGGCTTACCCGTTTTAGCCTCCAATAAGTCAAGATTGTAATGTCACAGTAGCAATACTGAATTCGATGTTGCCATCTTCACTCGGTCCATCCATTCATAGTAGTACATGTAATAGGTTTTCCATTGGAGTGTTCCCGCCTTGCGCCAGTATCTTCTGTATAAAATAGCATTATTCAGCTTAACCATTTTCATTCGACGGATGCTTCTCCTCTGATGAGTTCCTGTCATCTTATGGACCGAAACAATATGATTGTGTCAGGAGTAACACTACTTGCTATCGTGGAGTGTGGCTGGTGAACTGTTCGTGCTGTTATCTGCAGGCGTTGTGTGGTCTCGTCTGGTCAAGAGAAAAAGCCTGTTACGACTGTAATGTAGCGCCACACTGACTTATGTGATGAAATCCAAAGGCAAGATGCTACTGTATCTGGTCCTTGACAAACACAGTATGCAAGGAAGTTCTTCTTGCCCATTAGGATGCTGCACTAGGGTGTCTGTTGTCAGTCCTATAGTGCATGGCCTGCTTTCGCCTTGCCTACACACACAACAGCTTGGCGGTAAACCAAGCACACTGATGTAGTGAGGATAACTAAATTCACAAACCCCATCATAAGATTTCTTCACTCCTCAGAGGAGCTGAAAGGATAGATGGTCAGCACAAGTACAATAATAGGAACACGGTACAGCACGATATGGGTGCAGGTGCAGGTGCAGGTGCAGGTACAGGTAGGTACATGTCCAAACTACACAGTGCCCCACGACACCTGCTAGAACACTGAACACTGTCACTGAGATGTAGATGTACTGTCCGTGATACTAGTACTGAACACACGCGGCATACTGGTGACAGCTCCAGTGTGTACAATCAGGATGCTGCAGCCACAACAGGAGCACTAATTCAACTCTCAAACAACAACATAGTACTCGGCGGTACATGTGTAAGTACAGTGTATAGTGCAAGTATCAATAACTATCCCACAACCCCCCCCCCCCCACACACACACACACACAGGCAGTGCTCCAGTTCTGCTTGGAAAATGGCTCCATGCAAGCACAGCAGGTCTCAAAGCAATCATCCTGCTGCCCTGTTGTTGACATGTCCTGGCCTTCAGACTGGAAAACATTTGCGTTCTCCTGCATTTTTTGACCTATCACCCTGTCAAGTGGCTTCTTGATTGGAAGAAGAGCCTCTGAGTGGCTCAGAGCACAGTTCAATCAGGGCTTTCTCTTGCTCTCTCTCTCTCTCATCTACTTAGACTGAGTTAGAGGGGCCCAGTAGTAGAAACAAGGTAGATGAGATGAATACCTCTACAGCAGGGCTCCAAGGGAAGCGGCTCTTCATTGTACAGAATTTTGTTTTATCACTCAGAAAGGCAAACTGTGGTCTCTAAACTGAAGTACACCAGCAGGATACAGCAGGATACTTTCTTTTACAAGATTAGACTCCCTGTGCCTCTTGTAACTACCAGACCACGCAGTATTCAGGGCTTCCTTGAATAATGGTCTTGGCGGTTAACGGTTGGCACTGCTGAAAAGCACCATGTCTTGTAGAAGTGCCGGTGCAGCCAGGGCTAGAGGATCTCCTACACTCACTAGTAAACGGCGTATAAGAATGATAAAACAACCTTTCCCTAATGATCCTCTTATCACACAACTGCTGTACTGACATGGCACCACAACAAGCACATGCACTGCCGCACTCCTAGACTCCTACACATGCACCACAGCTTGTAGCAGGGCGCCTGCAGTAACCTGCTCAGCAGATCAGGCTGCTGTGAATACCGTATACAGCAATGGGACAACATTCAGCACAACTGAGTCTGGACTCTGCAGCCACTATCATTGAACTGAACTGAAGTCAATGAACAGCATGAAATTGAACTGATCAGGACGGAATTGACATACTAGTATCCAATTGCCTAATGCCAAAAGATTCTAGAAGCAAGACATCTGATCTACACCTAGCTCTTTTCCCTAGTAGTACTGGTGATGTACCCAGAGTGTGCACAGTCAGCTAGACACTAAAATACCACTGCTGAAAACCATGTTGCGGGCAGGCAGGCAGTTCACACATAATTAGAGCATTCCAATGTTGTGCAACAAATGCTGCATGGTTTCAAGCAGGCATCCACTAGTACTAAAGCTAGATGGCCGTGCAGATCTGGGGAATGCAATCAACGCTGGCTCTATTCTACACCAGGCCCAAGGCCAGAGCCAGGATGTTTTGAGTGACCATGCCTGCAGTATTCCTAGACACCTGCTCAGAGTGAAATGGCCTGGTCCAAGGTAAACATGCGAAATCAAAAAAGGAGATAGCCCTCTTTTCAAGCACAGCTGTCATTGGAGAAAGCTACATCAATGCATTAACCCGGCACAACAGCAATTGTAGCACTCCTTGTGACTTCAGCAAGCCCATGGCAGTTGCTGGACAACTGGACATGCCTATATAAGTAACTGTTGTATGTACGGGCTTTGAAGCAAAGTAACTACTAATGCAGACTATAAGCAGGGCTGAGGGGTGAAATTCCAGACAAAGGGGCAACAACACAGTCATAGTACCTTCAGTACTTGTAGGCAAGCAAAATGACAACATCCCACTAAAGCTCAGTGGACCATGTCAGCAGCAGCTAGCTATTACTCAGAATGAGTAGGCAAACCACCCCGGGCATGCACACTGCCCACAGCGCCCAAACATGCCATAAACAAACCGTTTTTCCTCCATACACACAAAAGATGCATGTCATGGACACCACTGGAACCTCAGACTCTGCCCAAGTAGACTGCATTTGGCTGTTCAAGGCTGTATACAAACTGCAGGTGTTCATTGCCATCAGTTTTCCCTGTTGCTGCCAACCACACTGCTAATGTATTTTGAAATCTACTGAGGTCTGTCTCATATTCTCAGGGAATAGCACTGCGAAAACGCAATCTTCCTACAGTGTGAAAACGCAATCTTCCTACAGTGTGAATATACTGTGACGTCACGTGTTTTGTACATGTGTACAATGTATTTGTAAGAACATTGTCTCCTGATGATTGCTTCACTAAGCATGAAACTCGCGTAGAGACTGAACGCTACAAGTACACGTATGATTCACTGGACTTGTGTACACACATTCAGTATGACCGTATACCAGTAGTTGTTTTCCAGCTTTGACGTCCAGAATTCGTGGTCTTTACAATATGCACTATAAATGGCATTCCTCCAGTATCTGGTAGTTATCCCCAAGCAGACATTGCATGTGTTAGTTAGAGCCAGTGTAGTGCTGTCTGTGAATTATGTACAGCCTACCATACCAGATAGATAGTCCCTGTAGCCTTATTAGTTTGTGTTGTCACTTCTTATCAAACAATACAATTTTCTTATCAAACAATACACGTCAAACATGATAGAACACTGAACAGGACCCATGCACAGAGCTGCCTGCCACACACTGAGTCACTGAGTCAGGCTGCTGTCAAAGCTGTCAAAGCTGTCAGACTCAGAGGTCATAACAGGCTACAGTGTACTGCACTGCTGAGTGACAGCCACCCACTGGCACTGGACATGCCTGTAACATAGCTATTGCCAGTACTATTGGCCAAACAGCACCACTACCAGTGCAGAGGCTACCCTCTAGGGTTCATTGAATAGTGTTAGGGACTACATGTAGTACATAATCATGATAATGTCATTGCACCTGGCAGGCATGGCAGTAAACAATAGTATTACCTCACACAAAGTCCCAACTGGGACCTGACAGGAACATACACTGGGAGACAATTGCTAGCCCTCCTGCACACAATGCATCCCATACTGGGCCTGCACAGCCACTGAGGGCAAAACAAACAAACTACTTCCCAATAGGCCTCCCTGGGTAGCATTACCATGAGTGGTGCATACTCACAAGTAAGTTACACACTGACTAGAGTCCAGCGCACCTTGCCGCAGAGAGTAAGTCTAGCCTAGACCAGTGCAAAGTCTGCAATGATCAGTAGCCATGCCAAGCCACCATATAATTCAGTGTATCCGGGCTCTCCAATACCATGGCCAACCCATGCAAAGCTAATGCTGGTTGCCTAAACGGAGTGAGAACTCAGACACTACAATCATAAACACTCTGTACTGACTATTGTTACGACTTCCAAACAGACTTTAAACTAAATTCCAGTGTACATTGCAAATCTCTGTGTGCAAGCATCTGAGTATCATTGTGTGTCTCTGTGTGCAAGCACCTGAGTATCATTGTGTGATACTAATAGACTAGTATAATTACAGTAATCTGCATCTGAAAAGAACTATAATTGCAATCACCTAATCATCTAATTGCAGTGTGCCAGGATGCTTCTCTGAATACTAGTACTAATACGAGCCCCACTTCTTCTTCCACTGGCTTGGCTCCTCATCAACAATGACTCTGCACCTACACCCCATTGAGAAGGAACTTTGTCAGTCCACTGTACCAAATTCATACTGATTTACACAAATAAAACATAGCCTTGTTCTGCTACATGTTACAACACACCACTCAACAGTGCCCTGGATTCCTGGGAACTGCACCATTACATGAACCACCTTGGCCATCATGATCACCAAACACCTGCACTGCTAAAGCCTAGGTTACATAGAGTTGAAGTGGGATTATTTCTCAAATGATTATGTGTGTACAGACTTGTCAGTGCTGATATGGGAAAGCCTGGAACAATCTGATTTTTGCCAGATCCGTTTACAAGGTTTCACACGTCGTTCCGATGAACCCCAGGAGCTCGACAACGAAAGGAGCATAATACTAGTCCCAATATTTCTTTACATTACATCATGAGTGAGAGTGTGTGGGAAACAGTCAATTTTTCTCACCTGTCGCTCTATAGCCTCTTCTTCCTCGTCATCCTCAAACTCACAGGCACTGCTTTGATTGCTACGCTCGCTGTCGACGTCTCTCCGCTCGGAAGCGCGTTCCAGCGATTCAACCTGAGATACCGTGCTGCTCGCGTCCGATTCCTGGCCCTGTTCGGTAGTGGCATTTCCTATGTCCAGCTCCGCTGTATCACTGGGATCAGCATGATCCCGGTGAGTGACTACAATATCCACTTCCACTTCCGACTGCTGCGCCTCACGGCGCTCGATCGCCGGTTCAACCCGATCGACGTTGTCCACCTCTTGTGCGGCGACAGGGGCATTCTTCAGCTGTTGTTGATCGAACTCCTCCTGACTGATCGCCTCTTCCACTTCGTCAACACTCTCTTCGACAGCGTTGGGCTCGTCTACCTCTTTGGTCAACACTGTCACGGCATCCTCGATCTTTGAATGACCGACATCCTCACTGGGCGCATTGTGCGAGAGATTCTCATCAGCTGATTTGCTCTTGCCGTCATCCAGGCTTTTCAGCCCGACGGAAAACTTTTTCTCGATGCCGGTCGATTCCTGTGCATGAGGTGCACGCTGCGAATTATTTGTAAGCTCGTTATCCTCAGCTTTTTTGCCCGTTGAATCCTTGGCATTTTGCCTTCCAGTTACTCGACGCTCGCCAAGCGCTGAACTGGTTGTACCAGCTGCACGTACACCAACAAACTGATACTGGTTAGCTGGTTTCTTGCTCGCCGCCGTTGAGCTAGCTGCTGCGCGGCTGGTGCCTGAGCGATAATAGCTAGGTCCGGAGGCCGGGGTCTCTGTCTTGCTGGGTGCGCTTTTAGCGCGCTGCTCTCGAATTGCTTTGCGAATGGCTGCACGTTCGTCGTACGTGGAGGCATCGTTCATCTAGGCCCAGCATGGACACATCCATACACCACAATCCACAGGCACAGACAGGCAGAAGCAGGAGACAGGAATGCACAAAGAGAGCGGTCAGATACCGTAGATAGCTGCACGCTACATGGGCAGATCACTACGTGTGTGATCTCTTCTCACTTCAGTTCAGTTCAGAGTTCAGTGAAGAAACACACTAACAACACAATCATAGCCATGTAATCCACCACCACCACCAGCAGCAGCACCAGCAGCAGCAGCAGCACCACCACCATCACCACCATCACCACCACCACCACCACCACCACCACCACCACCACCACCACCACCACCACCACCACCACCACCACCACCACCACCACCACCACCACCACCACCACCACCACCACCACCACCACCACCACCACCACCACCACCAGCAGCAGCAGCAGCAGCAGCAGCACCAGCAGCAGCAGCAGCAGCAGGATAGCTACATCACTGACACTGCACTGGCACAACGCTAGGAAAATCATTAACACCTAAAATACGAACAATGCAGAATACTGCGATGGTGCTGGGTGTGGAAATGAAAACACTAAAAGTACAAGCGCAAGAAACTATCACTGAGAAGATTGCATGATCAGAAACATCACTGAGAAGATTGCATGATCAGAAACTATCAGCGCCCTGGCACAAGCGATCAAGCACAAAACCATTCCTGAGAGGAAAGCTCACCATGTTTTGCAGCGTCGGAATGTCCAGGGAGGAAAGGTCGGCCATGGTTGACGACGTTTAGCTGCGATTTCGGGATGCTAAGCCGATGGAAGAGATGTCTGCTGCTGTGCTCGTTAGTCCTGCACTGGTCACTGGTCACTGGTCAACGTCAGCTGCAGCAGCGGAATCCAACCGAGGAGGTCACAAACTTGTTACTGAGGCGCCAGTGTTACAGGGGAAGTAATTATTTTTTTAGTTAGTTACTGCCACCACACTATGTACTAGTGGCAGTAGTGGCCGTCACGCTTGGGCCAAGTATCAGCTGACTGCGGTCGTAGGTGGAACAGGGCAGTCACACAGACACTCACACCCTCTCCCTCGCCAATCACACGCATACACTCAACAACAAGAAAAGCAGCACCATCCACAAAAAAGCCGATCACGAAACGCTCAGCTGAACGGAATGAATTTTCAATGGACTACTTTTCTTCTGTGCTACCGCTGGGAGCAAGCACTGAGTGTTTTTATACCGGGAGGAGCAGATTGAATGGTTGTATAGTGCTGGTGAATGACGCCTTGACGGCACACGACAAGGCCCACCGCGTTGCTGACAAGCAGTACCCGTTCTACGCAGATGTCAAGTAACTCTCAGCACCGCACGCCTTTTCTATTTCTCAGGAAGACCCTGGGCCGTCTCCAGGTCTCACTCTCAGCTAGTCTTGACTCTACTACTGTCAGTACTGGAAGTACAAGTACATGACCATGCATGACTGACAGTCTGTACTGATGTAGTGTATACAATGTCATGTAGAATCTACACGACGTACATGTACATGTACATGTATGAGTCCTATGTGCAGTATGAATACTATGATGCCATTGATTGGTGGATAGTGGCTGACACCGACCGCGTAGATTTCATGCATGTACGATCGATCCAGCAGATTTCATAGCAGCTAGCAGACATCCATACAGTCTGCGTACTGCCACTACTGGCTAGCTGTGCGTGTGCCACTGCAGTCACACAGTGCAGTGCCAGAGGGTAGTGGCCTGGACCACTAAATAATAATAATAATATACTGTACCATGAATACTGACGTTAGGAAAAGTCAACTCCTCTACGCCCTAGATTAGAATAAAGAGGGTCAGAACCGGGTCTAAGACCCATAGGGCCATAGTATCCATACGGTTCAGATGGTGAACAGACCAGGGCTAGCTCTACCAACCGTGGATGGTTTTAGTAAGGTCACTGTTTCCGAGCACGGTGTCCTCTCCACCTTGTTACATGCTGTCAACCAACATCACGATAGTACACACATGTAGTACTAGTAGCTCATTGTTTTTGGTAAATGAAACATTGAATTCGGATTATCGTTCTTACCAAGAGTAGCTCATTATTTTACTCTCGCTTTACTCGTCCAAAACAGCGCCAGGGTACCAGGGTGGGCATTGCCCGGGCCTTGGTACTACTGCTGCAAACACTACACTGTCTGTACACTCTGGACTGGATAAACGTTGCATCCGTTGCGTGGCCGATGAGTATCCATTGGCCCACACTCTTCCCCTGTACACCAGGCTGGGTGTCTGCCCAGTGCTGGAACGAGGGGAATGCAAGCTCCGACTCCTGACGTTTCGAATCCGTTCTGGAATCGTCAGTGAGCTGTTGTATTGTATTGCAAGGCCCGCCGACAGGCATGACCACTCGAGGTCAGTTGGGACGCAACCTTCCCCTCCCCCTGGCCCACAGTGCTTCTGGCGCATGTCGACCGCTTCTAGCCAGCTGCCGACTCTGGAATGGCCTGCCCGACTGTACGAAGTCCATAGTATCTGTCCGTGAATTCAAACGCATGCTACGCGTATTTTACTTCGGTTAAATGTAATGGCTTTCGTAACCTGCTGATAAGGCTCAATAGAATCATGCTACGATGACCCGACTTGTAAATTTGAGATCCCTTTTCTGTCCGTCTTAACCCTGCCTCCCCTCATTGCTACTTCCATTTTCGTATTTTTATTTTTATTTATTTCTCTCTTCATTTCTGACTAGGCACAGCAGAAGACATAGCAGCCAGAGTGTCTGCTGCAAATCGGGCATTTGCAAGCATTCCATGGAAACGCCACAACCTGAATTCCAGGCTGTGTATGTTTTCCTGCCTGATATTGCCTGTCTTACTGTATAACTGTGCGCTTTGGACCTTATCGCAAACATTAACCGACGTCGTCAATGTATGGCACCGGAAGAAACTACGTACCATCATTGGTATCACGTACCCACAACGAATCTCGAACACAGCGCTGTATGCCAGAACCGAGCAGACCCCACTATCCCAAGTCTGCAGGCAACGGAGACTGCTGTGGTTCGGCCATGTAGTGAGGGAAGGCGAAGAATCGTCCTCTTTCCAAGCCCTCCTAATGTCAATCAACACAACAGACATACGACGACCCCGAGGACGACCCCGTCTGAGATGGATCGACGTTGTCAAGAAAGACTTACAATGCATTAATCTGTCGCTTCTGGATGCTGTGCAATCTGCTTCTGATAGAGCTGCTTGGCTCGAAATTGTTAACAGATGCGTTGACCTCATGCAATGAGTGAAATGCGAACTGTCATTATTATTATTATTTCTGACTCTTCTTACTGGTTGTCATCGCTTTCATAATATTGGGCAGAACTGCCCGTTTGCCATGCAATGTAAAATACATAAACAACAACAACAACAACAACAACAACAACAACAACAACAACAACAACAACAACAACAACAACAACAACAACAACAACATCAACAACAACAACAACAACAACAACAACAACAACAACAACAACAACAACAACAACAACAACAACAACAACAACAACAACAACAACAACAACAACAACAACGGCGGAGTTCTGGACTGATCGAAGAAGGACATACCACGGTACATACTAGTACTTATTACTAGTACACCACACAGGACAGTAAAATCATGCATGGCGACATGATGGATGCATGCACCTGTGCAGGCTGTGCAGCTATGGCGAAGTCAGGCTTCGTCAGAAGGGGGGACAAAGGGGACCAACTCAAACTACTTCCGGACGGAGGTTGAAAAAGAAACCACAAGCCATTACTGGTAACAATGCAATACAGTCAACTAACTTACTTCGCTTATAACGACACTCGGCGGGGCATCAAAAAGGTGTCCTTATTCGCGAAGTGTCGTTATACCCGAAATCTCAGTGGGATGGGACTTTGCTCTGGACATGGAAATGCTGTCGTTATTCGCGAATTGTCGTTATATCCGCAGTCGTTATTAGCGAAGTTGACTGTACCGTTTGTTCAGCAGAGAGAATTTTTCAAGTTTTCATAAAGGAATTCAATTTGAACCAATTACTGTAGTAGTATTTACAGACATGCGCTAGCAGCCTAGTACCAGGACAGCTGCTCTTGCTGAGTCTTGGCAACTCTTGTCTTGCCAAGGAGCCTGCCGACTGTCGTCAGTCGCAGAAGAACACTACGAGTAATACGTGGTCCTTTTACTTGTGCCCGGTCTACCCGTCTCAATCCGGGCTCCGGCCGTCCGGGGTAGCAGGTGCCAGTGTCACTGTCACTGACAGACACGTTCTTGCCAGTATGCAGTACTCTAACTACATGTAATACTAAACTGTGTATTTTGTATACTAAGGCTAGCTGTGTGATTCATGACCGTCAGACACCACTGTCACCATAACCAGGGCAGGAGTCCAGGACACACTGAACTGAAGACTGACATGACGTCTACACTAGTCACTAGCCTTTTTTTTTTTTTTACTACAAAGCACTGGCCAGCAACATAAAAGGGGAGGTAGACAAAAGTGGACAAGCGAACTTTGACAACACAGAGGAGCGTGGCATGCGTGCCGATGAGGTAGGTCAACCTCCCCCGACCTAGTGGTCTCGGGTTCAACAGTTGGTCTACGCATCAGGAAGGGGAAATGGACAGAGAAAGGGAGAATGAGCATGAGGAGCTTCCCAGGAGAGGAAGAGTGAGAGAGAGAGAGAGAGAGAGAGAGAGAGAGAGAGAGAGAGAGAGAGAGAGAGAGAGAGAGAGAGAGAGAGAGAGAGAGAGAGAGAGAGAGAGAGAGAGAGAGAGAGAGAGACAGAAAATGATAATAATAGAGACAACCGGTTATTCTCAGTGCTGGTGGACTTCAGTGGCCCATAGCCAATTGGTCTGGCGGAGGTGATGGTAGGCCTTGGTCTTGAATGTCGGCAATTTCTTGAGAGTTGGGCGTTCGGCGAGGATTGGGGCAGGCAGTGTGTTCCAGCTCTCCAGGACAAAGTATGGGAAGGAGCGGCGGATGAACTCTGGACTGGAGGCTGGCAGAGGAGTTGCGAGTTGGAAAGAGTGGCCACCGAGGGACTGGCGTTGCCGGCGCGTCCGGGGTGCAGCGTTAACTCTTGCTGGGGGAGGTACCATGTTGGTAAGCAGAGCTGGACCTGGTATGCATTGCAGCTTATACAGGTAGCACAGCCCGTAAACATGCCTTCGGATTGCCAGGCTGGGGAGCAATGAGGGGCCAATAACCTTCATGGCTCGACGCTGGACCAGGTCCAGCTGATGGAGGTGACAATGTGCCGCACTTGCCCAGACGAGAGGGGCGTACTCCATTATAGGCCGTACAAATCCTTTGTACACAGTTAGGCGCCCTGCACTGTCCAGGATCCGAGATGCCTTTCGGAGCAGGCCGAGTCGCTGGTTGGCTCTAACGGCAAGGGAACGGATGTGGGCCCGGAAGGAGAGAGTACTGTCAAATAACACTCCTAGCAGCTTGAGCTGAGGGCTCTCAGGCACCTGCATGCCATCAAATGTGAGCTGTGGGACATCCAGGGATGGTCTGTGGCGGTCAAGGAGTATTGCCTGAGATTTTGATGGCTCGAACTTTATCTTCCATTGGGCACCCCAAGTCTGCAGGCGGTCAATAGATGCTTGGAGGCTATTGCAAGCAGCAGCGATGGTATCTGGGTTTCTGATTAGGGCATAGAGTGTTGTATCGTCCGCGTAGACAGCTAGACTGGAGCCTGGGGCTAAACACTGTTCTGCATCGTTTACATATAACAGGAAAAGAGTGGGACCTAGGAGGCTACCCTGGGGCACTCCAGCCTTGATCGGGAACAGTGGGGAGGACTGACCGCCAACAACTACAGTCAGTTTTCGGTCATGGAGATACGACCTTAGCCAAGCCAGGAGTTGGCCGTGGATGCTCTCCACACTTTTTAAAACTACTTCTGCAGCCTCTACTACATCATGTACTACTACTAGTGCATGACTGTAGTACTACTACTACCGGTAGTACGTAGTGCAGGATAAAAATTAAAAATACATGACAGGTACAGTATGTGGCACTCTATGACCATATATGTACGCTGTCAGAACCTGAGCCACAGCATGCAGCGACAGTTACTACGGAGGATTAGCAAGACGAAATTCGCGTTCGCTTTCCAAGGAAAGTCGAACTCAGTGACGGAATTCGCGTTATGAGAAAGGATTAGC